ATATATATTTTAAATTAAAATTTTAATTATTCGCCATCCTGCACACACATATATTCAATCTTTCTTTAAAATCAGATTTTGAAAAGTAAAAATTTTGAAAATTTTGAAAACTTTTTTAATTATGGATATTCTAATTTGAAAATTTAATTTTTACAAAAATATATCTAATCAAATTTGTATCAAAATATAAAAGAAAAAATATTAATAAAAATATATACTTTTTTCTTTTTTTTTTATCTCTCCATCGCTAATTAAAAATATTTTATATTTTTATTTGAATTTATTTTAAAAAAATATATTCGGAGTAAAAATTCGGATGTTAACAAAAATCATTTTATTTTTTTATTTTATTTCTCTAAAACATAAAATATTTAAAAATTATAATTTAAACAATAGAATTAAATATTTAAAAATAAAAATAATTAAAATTTTAAAATTATATCCTTATCATATATATTTTAATTAAAAAAATAAATTCAGATGAAGATAAGAATTTTCAAACTTGGAAATGCTTATAATAGTTTACAAATTATTTAATAAACTGAAAAAGTAAAAATCAAAAAATCAAAAAACTATTACAACGGAGTAACTTTTTTTTTTCAACAATTCACCTAAATAAAAATGTTTCAATATATATAGATTTATATATATTTTTAAAATTAAAATTTTAAGCTATTAACGAATCCCACATATATATTCATTTTATTTAAAATAAATTTTGGAAAAAAACTGAAAATTTTGAAAGATTTAATTATATATATTCTATTTGAAAATATATTTTTTAAAAACATATATCCAATCAAATCGTAAAAATATAAAAATATATTAATAAAATTGTCTCTCTTAATAAAATATTATGTGTATTCTATTTGAAAATATATTTTTTAAAAAAAATATATCCAATCAAATCATACTAATATGAAGAAAAAAAATATTAATAAAAGAATATACTTTTTACTTTTTGTTATTTTTCTATGCTATGAAATATAATATTTTAATATAATTAAAATAGAATCGAATATTTAAAAAATGTAATATAAAAATGTAATATATAAAAATTTTCAAATGTTTTATTAACATGTATATTTATTAAAAATAAATTTAAAAAGGATAAAACTTAAAATTTAAAATGCTTAGTTATCTATATATATTCATTTAAAAAAGAATTTTAACAAATTATATTCAATCAACTAATAAAATGTAATATTTTAGTTAGCTATAACTAAGGTTATTTTAACATATTCAAATTTCTTTAAAAGCACTATAGGAAATCTCATTATTCTCATATATATATATATATATATATTTCCAAACTTGTTATTAGGTAATGTACTATTTTGAGGTTTGCCAAAATTTTTTGTTTATTCATAACGTTTTGACAACTAGATTAAAATGAACCGCAAGTTTACACTAAAACTATTGGGTTTAGGAATGAAAATGGGTAAGGTTGGGGTCGGGTAGTGCAATATTCACACCCAAACCCAATTTTATCCCTAATCTCTACACTCGGGTCGGGTAGTGCAATATTCACACCCAAACCCAATTCCATCTCTAATCCCTATACTCTATCCTGTATCCTATTGGGTAGGGAATGTTATACCCATCCTCAAATCTAATGGGTTCGGGTATATCCTCAGGTACCATTATCCGTGACAACCCATGGGTATCCACTATCCATAGATACCCATTTATCTACATAGCCATATTGTTTAAAAATTATATTATGAATTAAAAAAAATAAAAGTATTTATCCAAATGATTTATATAGTACATAAAAAATATAAAAAAATAAATTAATACGTAAATAAATGTTTGAAGAATGATATATTAAAACTTTAATTATAAAGTTGTTCTTCTTATCAAAGATCTTGCTCTTTGTTTCCTCCTCGCATAGGCAGCTTTGAATGCGACTAGCCATGGTTAAGAATGAAAATGAGACTTAGTCTGTTTATAGAGAATCTTGTGTCATTTCCATCACAAGTCCTCGTAGGATTAAAGTGTATAAGCCAATTACATAAAACACAAATTGTGGTCAATACTAATATATCTTAAAAGGCCTAACGTTCTATTACATCCATATTTTCTAAACATGTCATTAGTATGCATTAAATCATTTTAGAGTCTCATCATGCATTAATATGAATTAATTATGATTATGGTGAATTACATTGCCATAAGGGCATTTTAGTAATTTTTCATGTGTAGAGACTGTGTTTTGACAACACAGTGCCACAGTGCAATTTATGCTAGACAGTCAGAATTTGTGTTATGCATATGTGTAGTATTAAATTCTAACCATTAACCAAATTAAATCTGCGACATTCTGTAATAAAGATAAAATTGATGTACGCACCTATGCATTCTTTACCTAATGGTTTACGACTAAAAATTTATGCTTTAACTATCGTGTAAAGACCAAAGGATATTATTTTAAAAAGATTCTTTTGTTCAAAAGTTAAAACACTAATACTCAATGGGCAATACCCTTATACACATTTTTAACCTATGGCTAAAGTTTAATACATTTTTTTAGCAAAAGAAAATCACTCACAACTCACAATCAACCAAATTCCAAGGCCAACTCTCTTCTCCCTCTCTCTTTTCTTTCTTTCTTCTTTTTTTTTTTTTTTTCTCTTCTCTCACCACTATGGCCATAACCTTTACTTGCCTTTCATTAAAACGCTTTTCGTCTTCATAAATAAGTATTTTAGAGAATAAGACCCTAAAGTGCACGGATTTGAGTTTATTTCTCAAGTAAAGCTTTAAGCGTGATGGCTTTTCTCTTTTTCTTTAATGCTTTTCTCAAGATAGGCTAGCTAAGTTTATCTCTTTATGTGGCAATATTTTAATTAAATTTTTTTATGCCTTATATTGCCGAATTTTAATAATGAAGTTTATTTCTCAAGATAAAGCTTTTAAGCGTGAGTTTTTTCTTTTCTTCTTTTTCTTTTTTAATGCAATTTATTAATTTCTCAAGATAAAGCTTTTAAGCTTTTAAGTTTATTTCTCTTTTATGCTAGCAATAATTTTTATAAAATTTTAGTTTATGCTTTTTATATTGGCCGAATTTAATAATGACTTTTTTTGAAAATCTATGCAGTTTTTAGGGATTTGATGCTTAAATCTACATGCATGAATGTTGTAGATGTTAAATATGAATTTTTGTGAAATGTAAATATTGTTTATTTATTCATCTAGGGTTGGCTAAACCTTATAGTATTATTTTTATAATTTTTAAATATTATTTTATGTATGTGATATGTAAATATTATTTTGTGATGTTAAAGATAAAACAATAAATATCTTAATTTAATTTTTGGACTTGATATGTAAATATTATTTTATGTATATGTTATGTTTGCTTATATGTATTTTCCTGTTATAAATGGGAAATAAGCACCACTAAGTTTTATGCTTAGCACGTTGACTTATCACACGCAAGTTGCTGATTTTGGGTAAACAATCCACAACAAGCATTAGAATATTCAGAGGCCTCTATTCCATTACAGTCAATATGCAACCGGTTTCTCTTTTATTTCAGTCTTTAGGAAAATCTAGCAGCATGTAAATATAATTAATGCATTAGAATGTTTTTTTTTTATTTAAGTCAAAATGTTATAAACTAAATATTTGAAACAACAATTTTATTTTCAGAGTCAGAATATTTTATGGCATGTAATGGATATCTTAAATGCTTTCAATTAAAAGGAACTGATTTATTATTTTTATTGAGTTTTTATGAGATGTGTTGGATGATGGGTTGAAAATGTGGAGTTGTGATAGGAAAATAATTTTGAAAATGATGTTGAGATGTTTATGAATTATAGAAGTGTTTTAAATGTTTTTCCTATGTTTTTATGATATTGAATATACTGGGGAATTCTTGCAGTTCTTCTGTAAGATTTTTCCGGAAATTTTTCTAAGTCATTTTTGTAAAACTAAAAGAAACGTTTTTAAATTGTTAAGTATTAAGCATGTTGGTTTAATACTTCAGTGCTAAACCTAATGTGACTCTTAAGGTCCTGTTTTATGAAACTAGATTTTGGGTATCACACCTTCAATTTCATCTAAGCATGTTGGTTTAATACTTCAGTGTTAAACCTAATGTGACTCTTAAGGTCATGTTTTATGAAACTGGATTTTGGGTATCACACCTTCAATTTCATCCCGAACTTTTCAAGTAATTAATTTTACTCTAAATCGACTTTTATACCCTAGGCACCCTGAACTTATCAATCTAATTGCAATTACATCCTAATTTGAATTAATATCCAACTCATTATTTTTGCATCTTAAAATTGATTCAATTTTAAAATTAAATATGCAATCTTAAAATTTTATTTATTTATTATATGAATACTTGTTTTATTATTTATTATTTAAATACTTGGATATGGAGTATATTTTTTATATTATTTTAATCAAATTGCAACCTTAGCTTAGTTTTAAGGTGCAACCGAAATGAATCGACAAGTTTAAGGTATGTAATTCACTTTTAAGATGCAATTGCACGGGTACAATTGCACTCTAAAAGCAAATTAGGGTGCAATTGCAACTAAGTTGATAAGTCAAGGTATTTAGAATAAAGAGGTCGATTTAGAGTGAAATTGCAACTATTCGAAAAGTCGGAGTGAAATTAAAGATTATGTCTATCTTAAAATGTATTTATTCAACCAATTTTTGTAAAACAAAATATCCCACAATTAATAGTAGGCCATCACAATTTCTTACACCAATTAGTAGATGACAAAGTAAAGATAGTTGGTGCAGGCGGTTGGGTTTATTAATTCCATTATGGTTCAGTCGTATCCTTTGGCAGTCGTGATTTTGGATATCAAGGCCTTGTTGGCTAGGGACTGGCAGTGCGTGGTTCGTCACGTTTATCAAGAGGATAATTTTGATATTTGATCATTTGGCGAGGTTGGGACATTACTCTCTTCTTCATTGTGGATATTTTAGGATTCTACTATTAATTAAAAGCGTTTTTCACGCTTCAACTTTAGTACTATAATATATTATTAAGGCGGCCGGCGGTTCTGGAATTATATATATGGGAAAGTTGGTGTCACTTGGTTTATATATTCTGGTCTTCAACTTGATTGTACATGACAAAGTTAGTTGGCACAGGAAGCTAATGAACACTTTCCTTATGAGATGTTTCACATTTTAGAAATCAAATTAAAAATATTGATAACTCTCTATATTTATTGCTAATTTTCTGTTGATGATACACAGGATTCTCAACTTGAGAGATTGGATTTCCTTCTGAGAAAGAGAGAAAAAAAAATAGAATAAGAAGAATTCAGGGTACACTTTCAGATTCCATAAATGTTGGTATGTTCTTAAAAATTCTTATTTATAAGTAATTATTTACAATATCAAGTTTAATTGATTTGTTTCTAATTCTTTCATTATCAAATCCTGATACTTCTAAAATAATTCACCTTTTGTCACTACATGCAGTGACAGATTAGCCATGGCAACAAATATAGTTCCTGAATTATTAGCTGAGCATAATTATCCAAACTGGAGTGCTTGCATTAGGAACTATCTGTTAGCTAATGATCTATGGGACATAATTGAAGCAAACTTCGAACCTCCTGGTCCAAAAGAATCTGAAGCTGAATTTAGATCTTGGAGGAGAAAGAATGCGGCTATTTTACATGCGATTCAAGTTTCTTGCACATCAATAAAACTTTCTCAAATTAGAGAAATTGATTCAGCTAAAGTTTGTTGGGATACTTTGGCAACAATATATAAGCAACAAGAATCAGAAGTTGAAGACGATTCTGATCCAGGTAATTGAATTTTAATCTTGAGAGGGTCGCAACCATATTAGCTAATATTTCATAAAATGAAAATAACATAAGTTATTTTTTTATTGAGTTATATTTGATAACATACTTTGGTAAATTAAAATGCAGGATCAGAAAATGAAGATGATAGTGATTCAGGTAATTAAATTTAATTTTATCTTGAAAGGCTTTAAATCATATTACCTAATATTTTTACAATTTTAATTATATATAAATGTCTATTTTCTGCTAAAGTTAGCAGGAGTCCTTTGTCTACAATATATGAGCAATCGGAATTAGAAGATGAAGATGAAGATGAAGATGACACAGGTAATTGAATTCTTATCTTGTAAAGGATTTAACCATATTACCTAATATTTTACATAATCAGGTTAATGGAAAAAATGAAATGGAAAATTTCCATTTCAAGTGAAATGAAATGGTAAAAATGGAAGAACTCAAAATATGATAGAAAAATGAAGTATTGATATGTAAGTAGCCTCTTTTGGATCATCGCTGATCATTTAGTTGATTTGAAATCAATTAAACTTAGGATTCAAATTTGATTTAAGGCAGCAAATTGTTTTGGAATTTAAGACTTTCAAGTCAATTTCTTAATTTTAATGGTTCATACACATATATGATGTGAGTACTTCCTTTCTTCTTTTGTTTTAAAGGGAAGACGAGAACAAACTTACACCAAGACAAAAAATATGAAGATCCATAACAATTTTTAAAGAAAATACCTTCACAATATTTTAAAGAAAAAAACATCAAAAAAAGGAAAAACTACTTGTAATTTCACATCAAGCGAGTGTATTGAAATGAATTCTGTTTTCATTAGAGATGGGTTACATGGATTCATGGAATTTTACAATGGAATACATAACGTTTTGTTCAAGGCAAAACGGATCTGGGAATGATAATATCCCCAATGTTGTTGTGCCATGGGTCAGCCAAGTGAGTTGCCAAGTTCTCCAATGGTCCTGTTCCAGGGTATGCTGATTGTTGCACACAGAAACCCACAAATGCCAACAATGCTAGCCGACCTGCAAAATAACGCACGATAATGTCAGAAATAGTATATAGTTTTATGATTGATTTTATTCAATTAATAGGTAGCTTAACCTTACCATTCTTGAGTTCTTTAACCTTGTATTCATGGAACTTTTTAGGGTCCTTAGAGTAGCCTAAAGGGTCAAAAGCACCACCTGGGTACTTCTTCTTCTCAGGGTCTTTCTCCATACTACGTTGGTGCTCAACAAAAGCAATGGCAATGAACTCAATGACCAAAATAGTAGGGAGAGTACCCCATGGAACTGGTTGGCCCAAGTAGGTAGCTTGACCACCAGGAATTGCAGCCCACTCTTGTGCCTTCACCCAGTTCCCCAATCCTAAGGCCTCTGGTACTAGGATTCCAGGCTGCATATTTGCATCCATTAATTCAATATAATCAACCTTTACTGTCAATCAAACCACAAAACAACAAAAAAAAAAAAAAAAAAAAAAAAAACATATTTTGCAATCCATATAATTCAAATATAATCAACCTTTACTGTCAATCCAACCACAAAACACAAAAAAAAAAAAGAAAAAAAAAGAAAGAGAGAAGAGAGAACTTACACAGCAAGATTTAGCCCATCTGCATTGGATGAGTTCAGGGGGATCCTTAAACTTCTCAAGATTTCTCAGGGAACTTCACCAAGCCGAAGTGGGTCGAAAAAAAAAAAAAAAGAAAAAAAAAAAGAAAGAGAGAGAGAGAACTTACAACAGCAAGCATAGCCCATCTGCAGTGGATGAGTTCAGACTCCTTAAATCTCTCAAGATTCTCAGGAACTTCACCAAGCCGAAGTGGGTCAAACCCAAAATCACTAACAAAAACAAATAAGAACACAAATCAAACACTTTGTGACAATTCCTTCCTAATCTTTTTATTCTCTCTTTCTACAAATTAAGCAAAGATTAACAATCCATAAGTTTAAACTAATTGAGTAAGTAATTAATTACTAACCCAGGAGCTGATCCATCTAAATAAGGAGGGCGAGGCTGGCCGGGCATCCAATCAGCAGACATGGAAATACGAGAAGAAGAGCCATTGAAACTAGGAAGAGGAATTGAAGAAGCAAATTTAGATTTAGAAGAAGAAAGAAGAGAAGGGAAAGCAGTGGCGTTAATGCCACAGCTCATTAAAGTGTTAGCAGCCATTGTTCTCTCTTAGAATTTTGAAATGGGTTTGCTGAGAATGGAAGAGAGCATGTGAGGAAGAAGATGAATACAAGTATATGGAAACGAAAGATTGGAAGCAAAATCTAGAAGTGGATTATTATTGGCTAAGAAGACTTGCTTCAGATTTGTTATTGGGCCACGTAGGATTTGTTAATCCGATTGTTTGGTTATGTGGAATATCCAGTTCTTGTGTGGTGGTGGTTTAGTGCTAGCTTAAAAAAAATCATACATATGTATGTCCTTTTTAAGCTCTTCAAAAAAAACCTTATCAAAAACATATGTATTGATGATTTACTTGTAAAAAATATCTTATTAATAATTACTATGAGCTTCCTAATTAATAATGTAATGTTATAAATATTATCAAAAACATATTTATTTTCAAAAAAATCTTTCAAATGTTCACAAGGAAATTAAAAAAATAAAATTGACCGTGTATGTCTTTTGTTGATAATTAAGTATATTTTAGGAATTATAAAATTATACAATTTTTTTAACCAATAAAATTATACATTTTAAATTGCAAAGCATAATGTTGAATTTATCCACTTTAACTCGATATACAATTTACTAAAAGTTGAGCTTTTAAAACGATTTTAACATGAGCTTATAATCAAAACATCATTTGATCTTTTTTTTTTTTTAATTGTTAGCACACATAAAAGACAAATAATAAAAAGAATCAGTAATTTGGTTTTACCTAACTTTAGCGCAATAAAAAGATATTTGGAATTCGTTTACAAGTGAATTCTATAATCATGATTCATTTATTCTAAACGGGCTATTAGAAGAAATATTTAATAGAAAACCAAAATATATCAATAAACTCGTTCTGAAATAGAAGTTTTGATTTTGGTTTCTAAAGAATTGATCTCAAATAGCATTTTTTTAGAATTTAGAATCACGATCCACGTATATTTTTCAGAGTAATTATAAAATAAAAATATTATATCATATCACCGTTATGAATTGAAATGACAATTTAATTAAAAAATGAGAATAACAATTTAATAAAAAAATGGCAATAGTCAAAGGTAAAATATGTCGAAATTAAATACACATGGATTAGAATTAAAAATATACACTTCACTATGTCAGAAATTACACGTATGGATTAAAGATAGAGAGAATGGATAGAGATGGAAAGAAAATGGAGTAATCAAAATAAGATCACAGCTAAATGTAAAATATGTAGATTAAATTTCAAAATAAAAATGGAAAGATAATAGATGGAGATCTCGATTAAATTTAAAACTAGAGATGGAAAGATAACAAATAGAGATGGAGCGCAAATGAAGTCATCAAAATCTTTTTTATTTTACTTCACATATTTCATTTTTTTTTTTTATATATGTGTTTTATTTTTATTTGATTGTCGCTTCAACCTCAAACCTTGACATGTATCATTGTGCCATTATACCATCTTTAAATATTTGGAGTTTTTGCATCTGTGGTGGTTAGATTGGTATGATCAGTTTTCTCATTTGTGTCTTTATCACAATTATTTTTACTAATTTAGTGAACTAAGGAAAAATCATAAAAGCCTCTAATGAATTAAAAAATATATATATCTGAAGGTTTTAGGAGTTCCTTAGTTCCCTTAAAATACAATTTCTAAATGAGATAATCTCAATTTGACCCCTAAATTTGTTTAATGGGATCAAAAAGTCAAATTTGACCTTTTATGTTAATTTAAACCCTAAACTTGTTTAAAATGATTAAAAAGATCAAATTTAAATTTTTAAGCCAATTTAATCCCTGAATTTGTTTTAATATTTTTTTACAAATTAATAAATTGATTTAATTTAACAGGATTGATTTTTCTTCCTGTAATAAAAGTAGCATATCAAACTTTTCCAACACTTCTAAATTGAAATTTAAATTCATAAAAGCGTCATTTTTGCAAACATAGTAAATTTATAAAAATGTAATATCATTTTAATATGTTCAACATGAAAAATATATGGATTTTATATCAATTTTAAAGTGTTCAAATTAATAAATATTTATGAACTCAAAATCATTGATCAAGGTAAAAAGGATATAATAAATTTCATATATAGTTTTAGAACAAGATTCAGAGTATTTTGTCAAGCTTTTCTTAGAGCGTTAATAGAAGGAATTTGTACTCTTGTTATCGAGAAGAAAAATATATCTTCTGTACAAGAAGGTGGATTTGACTTATATACAGAGAATTTAGTAATCGTCAACCGCATCATCTATTGATCTAACAATATAAATAATTTGTTTATGCCAGCTTAATTTGTTTATTTTCTAACTGAATAAGTTGATGTTTGAACCCAATTTGTAATCCAAAGTATAGTTGGTTCATTTTTCCTTTATTTCATATTTAATTAATTTTTTTAATAAATTATATAACTTAATCCCAACTATAATCTTAAATCCACAGTTAAATTAACCCAAAATATTAAATCTAATCTTTTTTTATCATTTTAAACAAATTTAATAGGTAAATTGACTCAAAATCTTAAATCTGATTTTTTTAATCATTTTAAATAAATTCAAGGATAAATTGACAAAAAAATCAAATTTAATCTTTTTAATCCCGTCAAACAAATTCAAGAATTAAATTAACTTTATTCCTTCCAAAATACACAAACCTTATCCTAACTTTCCTATGTATACGTAAAAGTACTTTCATAACTTAAAAGTGTGGAAAAGCTAAATTTCTATAGAAAATGAGATATTTAAAAAATATAATTACATTAAACATTTACTTATTTACATTTATCCTTATCTACTTCTAGACTTGCTCTATAATCTAGAATATGAACTAAACAATTTAAAATAGAGATTTATGAAATAGTCTCCCATGAAATTAATTGTCATATTGTTTTTATCTCATAGGCAAAATGAGGAACTTCATAGAAGGTCACTCATTCTAAAATTTCTGTTTAGTGAGTAGGCTTAACTCTAGAGTTCTTCCAACTCTCCAAGTTATTTCACCAAAAAGGGCTTCTAATAGTTAGTTTCTCCTTTTTCGATATATGATCTAATTTATTTCTATATCCCGTATTCTACTACCCATAGCTAATTTGTTATCCTAGAAGTTAGTCAGGAGCTTTGCTCTATCTGCCCTTTTAGAATCACTTTATCTGGTCGGGACGTCACATTGTACAATTAATAAAAATGAAAATTTTTCTTCCCTATTAATCAAAGTTGGATATTGTTAGATAATTTTTTTAAAAAAATATATTAATATTTATTATTGTAGCTAGAAAAAAAGGCGGCTTGTTTTTTAAATTGTCTTGTAAAGATTTTTTATTTTTTATTTTTTATTTTTTATTTATTTATTTTTTTTTTATTTTTTTATTTTTTTTAAAAAAAAATATATTAATATTTATTATTGTAGCTAGAAAAAGGGCGGCTTTTTGTTTTAAATTGTCTTGTACAGATTTTTTATTTTTTATTTTATTTTTATTTATTTTATTTTTTTTTTATTTTTTATTTTTTTTTTTGAGAAGGTCTTGTAAAAGAATGTTTTAAATTTTTTTTTTATTTTTTTATTTTTTTTTTTGAGAAGAGTCTTGTAAAGATGTTTAAATTGTAAGTACTGAATTAACCTACCTTTAAAGGTAAGTACTAAAATAAAATCTTTTCTAGCTATAAAGTGTAACTTCTAATCAAAGCAATTCAAATCACATGAAAATGTTATTATCATGAAATAATTAAAATATCAACAATGCATAATTTTAGGATTAATAACATAAATTAATAAAAATAACAAGTTTAGGCCAATAGTTTCAACAAATTAAATTGTAAGTATTTGGTTTGAAATTAAATTAGTGATATAATTATAAAATCTAAAAGGTACTATACAAAATTATGAAAACTACAATTTTGTTACAAAATTCAAATCAATAAACTTTTAACTTTTTTCTTTTTTGCAATTTTTCTAGCGATTTTTTCTAGTGGTAAGTGCATTACGATCTAACAACTGATTTAAATTCAAATTCTCCCTCCTCCAATAATTTTTTTTTTTTTTTGGTTAAATTAAGCCTCTTTTGATAATCAATTTCTCCTCAAACATCAAACAAAGGAGTGTTATTTTAATCGATGTTGGGTAAAGGGGTTAATTGAATTTTTTTTTTAATTCTTTTAAATCCACATAAATTTTTCTAAATTAAACCCTATTAAAATTTAGATTTAACTCTTTTTCTTATAATATATATCGATCCTGGAAATAATTTTTTTCATACACTATTGTAGTACTAGGATTTCAAGCGTAATGCAACTCTCATTTGACATTCTAAAATGTAAAGCTCATTTCAAATGAATTTTTATATTATCAAAAGAAGTTTAGAATATGAAATTTATTCATGTTATTTGTATTTAATACAAATTTAGAACACAATTTGATGTGAAATAATTCTATAAAGTGTGCTTTAGAGAAAGAAAATAAAATAAGAAAAAAATAAAAATGAAAGATATGGAAAAGAGAAACAGAATAAAAAGAGAAAATGGATATTTTTGTTTAAAATTTTAATCATTTAAATCTTTTGAAATTTGAAGATTTATTAATTATATGAAATCTAATTTAGTCCCAACCGTTTCATAAAATTGAATTCTGAACTTAAAATAAATAAAATTTAATATGTGAAATATCTAAAATTAAAAAAAAAATTTAATTTTAAAATTATAAAATTTTGTGAAGTTCATTAAAAATGTGATGAAATTGCCTCGCTCTTAGTCAAATAAACTGGCTAAATTCTAATTCCGCGGGATTTAACGGTCTACACTTTGTAACTTCCAGTAGCCTCCACGCTCAGGCACAGCAAAACCCCGGAAATTGCCAAAAAAAAAAAAAAAAAATTAACAAAAAAAAGATTTAGACAATACTAATCAGAGCATGGAACGTATGCAAAACTAATAAGCCTAACCTCATCTGATCTCACTCTCCAAGTTAACCCGCTCGGCTCCCACTGACCACCACAAAAAAAAAAAAAAAAGATTAAGAAATACTAATCAGAGCATGACACGTATGCAAAACTAATAAGCCTAACCTCATCTGATCCTCACTCTCCAGTTAACCGTGGCTCTCCACTGACCACCCCATAGCCACAAAGCTCAAAAATAAACGAGAAACGCACCTATATAGACTCTGCCCAGTACTTTACTGTTTCAAACGCTACTACGTCTCTAATGTCTGCCTCTCATTTTCCTTCACTTTCCTTCTCCTTCCTTAACTCAATTACAGTATTAAACTGAATTAACTAAAAGTTTATTAACAATCATCCCGCCATTTTCAAACAAAATGGCTACAATAGCTGTTTTTGCGTCTTCATCGTCGATGACAACGCCTACTTGCTTTCTGCGTGGGACGAAGGAGACCAAAACCGTGACAAAGAAGGGGAGAAGTCAAGAAGTGAAGGTTATAGGAAATTTCAGTCACTTTAGAGATGCCGTAAGGAAGGATTTTCAGTTCTTGAAGAAAGGGATTGGCAGAGGAATTGATTGGGCAAACGAGGCATTTCGAATTCCTCAGGTTTTCAAAACCCTAGATGATGTTTTGTGGCTGAGGAATCTGGAGGACCCGAAAGCTCCTCCTTTGGAGCCTGTTGCTTGGCCGCAGACTTCTTATACAGGTCAAGCTGCTCCTTGTTCTTGTTTTTGTGTGTGATTCAGTTGTTAGAGCTAATTTAGTTGTGAAAAGATAATTAATTTTCCAATTAGGCTTCATAAAAGGCTATATTTCATTGTGTATGCTTGGTTTCTGGAGTTTTATTATAGCTAGTTTGATTATGTTGTTGGACATCGTTTTGGTTTAATAAGCATTTTTTTCATGTTTAAAAAAAAAAAAATATTAGCCTGTTGTGGTGCTAGTTATGTTTAAGAATTTGATTGTGTGATTTATTTTGCCATTCAATACATTTTGTGTGTGGAATTGAAATATATAATTGAGAGTATCTGTTGTAAAATTCATTGGTTTCTTATCAAGCATGCAATGTCCTTGCTTTTTGGATTTAATTGGTAATTATTTGTTGTATTTTGCCAAGGTGGTCATAGCATTTTCCTGACTTTGGGTTGTATTAAGTCTTTTTTTTTTTTTTTTTTTTAAAATGAACTTGAGGAATTTCTTCATTATTGTAGCCAACATCAAAAAAGTATTCACAGGACTTTATGGAACTTAAAATATCTGGGTATTTTTCTTACATTTATTTCAATATCAATGTTTTGCTCCTCACATAGCCAGTCCTGACTTTGAAAAGTTGGAAGGCTGTTATTTTTGGATGGCCAGTGATTTAAATGAGAACAATTCTTCTAGATAGTTGAACTCACATAACTGGGATGAGCTATCTCTGTCTGTGTGTGTGTGTGTGTGTCAGTGCACAGATAAAGACACAAATGTCTTCTTGCATGCATCACATGCTTGTATATGCCATATTGATTGAGGAATTAAAACCTCATTCATTTTGCTGATATTAAGATGTGGCATATCCTAAACAGGACTTACAGGAGTTGATTTAGTCATGGCTGACCTCAAAGCCTTAGAAGCATATGCTAGTTACTTCTATTATCTGTCTAAGATTTGGTCCAAGCCGCTTCCAGAAGTCTATGATCCCCAAGATGTTTCTCACTATTTCAGTTGCAGGCCTCATGTAGTGGCCCTTCGACTTCTTGAGGTATATCTAAAGAAGTACTAGCACGGTGATGCAAATTTGCCATGTAGGTTATGTTATGAAGACATTCCTTTTGGTTTATACTATAATTTCTAATTCATGTTGAAGTCAAGCCTAATTCAGGTAATATTATGAAATTTATTCTTATCGGCTTACTACACTGTGTATTGAAAGGTATTTTCAGCCTTTGCTTCTGCCACAATCAGAATTCGAACCTCCAGGATCAGAAAGCTTTTAAGGCCAAGTTCAGATAAGGAATTAAATGGGAACATCTCACAGTATGATTTTGGGCTGGTTTTAAAAGAAACAATGCTGAACTTGGGTCCCACTTTTATCAAAGGTCAGCATTCTGGTTTAATTGGAATTTGGATTTCCAACATTAGAATTGAGACTCTCTTTGTTGATAATCATGCCTGTTTTTTTGTCTCATCTTGTCATCCACAACATTACCAATATTCTAATGACATGCCTTTGCTTGCTGATGCAGTTGGTCAATCCCTTTCCACAAGACCAGATATAATTGGTACTGAAATTTCCAAGGTTAGTTGGAAGTTCTTTTTTCCCGTTTTCATGGAAGAGATAAGTTTTTAAACCTGATTGAATGTAGGAAACAAACCCACCTAGCCAACTCAACTACTTGGGGATTAAGTTTAGTTGAATGTTCACTTTTCATAAGTTTATCTTTTGCTGGTAAAATCATACTTAGTTCTTCATGGTACACCATATTATATGTGTTGCAACTACCATTAACTTCTGGTAATGAAATTAACAATCATGTGCCTTCTTTTCTTGTCTTTGTTTGCTACATTTTATTAACATCTTATATCTTGTGCTGTCTTGTCACATGATATCCATTTTCTCGTTTGGTGACAATAGAGTTTTTTTTTTTTTTTTAATTATATATTTGGTTGCTCGAAAATGTAGCCCAGTTTACTATATAGGCATCCTTTGGAAGAAAGAAGAGAAAAAAGAAAAAGAGGAGAGTGGGAGAGGAAAGGGAAACAAAGTACGTACACAAGTTTTTAAATTAACTTAAACATTTATAATTCTATTATTAAAACTGAAAGAGGGACTAGTTGTTATTTCTGAATAAAAAAAGATTCTTAATACTTGTGAAATAAGAAGCAAATAATCTTCCCATAAGAAAATTTCTCATGAGTGTCCAAAGCTCCTGAATAATGATATATTCAATATTTAATAAATAGAAAGATTTGAAAGTTGCATTCTTTTCCTAAATTGAAAAAAAATACAAGCCACAATAAAAATCCAAATCTCATAATTAGAAGAATTAAACAAAATAATTCCAAATTTTGTTTCCTCATATGCATGATTTTTAGTAGGTTAATGACATATATGATTTCTAAAGTATTCATGCAGCTAATTCTGTGTGAAAGAGTCCATGCTACTGCCTTGGCATGCTGCAAAGATGATAATGATGATAGTATTGTTAATTATTATAAAGCTAATAGTTTCTCCTGGGTGAAAAATTTATCGACTTATTCTATTTGTTGAAATGTTATTTTCCATTTTAAAAAATTTTTGTTTTTTCGTTATGATTGCAGGCACTTTCCGAGTTGCATGATCAAATTCCTCCTTTTCCTAGGACCGTAGCTATGAAAATCATTGAGGAAGAATTAGGTTCTCCTGTTGAATCCTTTTTTAGCTGTATCTCTGAGGAACCTGTAGCTGCAGCATCATTTGGTCAGGTGCCTCTTTTACCTAATTTTTTAGTGGATGAAATATAAATAAGAAAATAAAATAAAAGAAAAGAAAAGAAAAACTGTGCAAACATTTCTGCCTGTGATTGCCGTTACCAACATTTTAATGTCTTATGATTTGTATTTGACAACATTTTAGGTGTACCGTGGAACTACTCCTGATGGCTGTGATGTTGCTGTGAAAGTTCAGCGTCCTAATCTGCGTCACGTGGTAGTCCGAGATATCTATATTCTTCGCCTTGGGGTCAGTACCAATCTAAATTTCTTTGTCTTTGTTCCTTTTTTTTTTTTTTTTAGTGGTAGCTCCGACGATATCTATCATTCTTCGCTTGGAGTCCAGCTTACCAAATCCTAAATTCTTTGCTTTGTCCTGTTTTTTTTTTTTTGTCTTTTTAAATTGTCTTTTTTCCTTTTTTTTTTTTTTTGTCTTTTAATTTTTGGTTTATGGTTAATAAATGACTTCGTTATTAATGTTTTCAGCTGGGATTATTGCAAAAAATAGCAAAGAGAAAAAATGACCTTCGCCTTTATGCTGATGAGCTTGGCAAAGGTTTAGTTGGGGAACTGGATTACTCTCTAGAGGCTGCCAATGCCTCCAAGTTTCTGGTATTCACTTGTTTGCATTCAAGTTCAACTGCCATTAGTTTAATTATACATTAGAGAAGTGTTCACAAGGAAGACATGTTCTATTATGTGTTACACTTGTGCCGGTATGAAGGCAGACATTAGTCCAAGAAGTTGGCAATGAAGCATGTACTCTGTTGTCCTGCCCACCCGTAGTGAATCCCAAAGGAATTAGAATCGATGATTGAGGTGGGAAGATGTCTAAATTACTCAATTTAAATGGTTTTTGATATATGGGACTCATCGCCCTGTCTGATTCCTTTGCCTATAACAACCAACTGAAAAAGGGAGGCAGAGGGGTGTGCTTAGAAGTTTTCTCTTAAGGCTCATTTGCAACTTAGGCACAGATAGATGGGAATATTGGCAGCATTTCTAATGTTGGTAGAACCTGTGAAATTTGGGTGAGACAAGTAGAGGGTAGTAGCAAGGACCAAGCTTGGTGGTCCCACAAAGGAAATGGACAGAAAAATGAAAACAAGGACCTTTGAAAAAAAGAACTTTCCAGTTTCACCTGGTAACTGACTTTTTATTTTGCTTAGTTGGATGGAATTTTAAATAATGTGAAGGAACTGCTAACTGGAACCCCGTATAGTTTCAGGGATGATAGCTATGGAGATTTACCATTAGCAATTATAGATAGTATTTGGCTAATTTCTCTGGCTCATATTTACTATATCTTGCTTTTACTACAGGATGCTCATTCATCCTTTCTGTTTATGCGCATTCCAAAAGTATATCATCATTTAAGTCGAAAGAGAGTTCTGACTATGGAGTGGGTGATTGGGGAAAGTCCAACTGATTTACTTTCTCTAGCCGCTCATAACACTGTTGATCATGGTGCTGCATCTTCAGAAGGGCAGAAAATTGAAGCAAGAAGGAAACTACTTGATCTGGTATGTTATAGTTGCATTATCCTCATTTATTATTTCTCAAAAGCTCTAGTAAGTTTTGGACTCCTATATTCCTACATCCAGTGTTCTCCTTGCTTTTGATTTGGATGAATGTCTCTCCTAAAGTCTTACTGCCTCGACTCAGCACCACCCCCACACCCCCCCCCCCCAAAGTCTTACTCGCCTCGACTCCGAAGCACCACCCCAAGCCCCCCGCCCCCCCCAGAAAAAAAAAAAACAAAAAAAGTGCTGTACTGTAACAAAGATATTCTTCGCATTTTCTATTTGAATTAAAACAGTATGTCCTTCTGTTTTCAGGTAGTAACAGGAGTGGAAGCATCGCACGTCAGTTCAGCTCTCTTGAAACAGAAGGTCCTATTCGCAGTGCTGAGTCCACATCAGGAAACTTGCGTTACACATTCCATCTGGACCAATCTGGAGCCCGGGCCATTTGCTCTTCCTGTTTAGGACTATTTAGAAATTTCTTCATATCTCATAGCTCTAACTGAAGTTGCATTGACTGCTGTAGTTACTATCCTGGTCGTATGTTGATCACTGTCATATACTCCTCGGTCAAACCATTTGGTTCGCTTTTTTTTTAACAAAATCACATCATAAAAAAAAAAAAAAAAAAAAGTGCAGTGATGTAACAAGATTTTCGCATTTCTATTTGATAAAATATATTCCTTCTGTTTTCAGGTTAGTAAAGGAGTGGAAGCATCACTAGTTCAGCTTCTTGAAACAGGTCTATTGCATGCTGATCCACATCCAGGAAACTTGCGTTACACATCATCTGGACAATTGGGGTACCATTTGCTCTTCCATGTTTTAGACTATTTAAACTTCTTATATTCTCATGCTAACTGAAGTTGCTTGACTGTGTAGTTATATTGTCTATGTGAACTGTTATACCTCTCGGTAAAATTTGGTTCGCTTTTTTTTTAACAAAAAATCATAAACTTTTGTTTGGTTTTATTTTTATTACACCTAAAAAATAAGCTAAAATGAACCAAACCATTTAGCTTTCGTTTTATACATTAATTGGTTCGGTTCAATTTTCATCTTAAAAAATTTTGACTTATATGGTTTTTACTTGTTCAATTCAGTTTCTACCCAACCAAAGAGTGCCCACCTCTACTATTTGGTATTGAGTTTGAGCTGCATTTGTAATATTTAAAGCCTAGCCAACTGTGGTTTGGGAAAAGCTAAGAGTTTGGATTTCCCAAACCATGGATTTCCTAATTTATTTTAAAAAGAAAATAAAAACAATGCAAAATGCAGTTCCAAAAACTGGAGCCTATATCCATAATGGAAATATGGCTTGAAATCAGCCTTCATCTTAATGCAGAAAAATCAAACAGTAAAAATTTGGAAATCCATATTGGAAGATCTCAATATTCACTTTTATGCAATGCTTGTTCACTGTTCACCCTTTTTAATTTGGTGCCAGGTTCCTGGATTTCGGTTTACTTTGCCAAATGGAAAAGAAGCATCAGTTTGCTATGCTTGCATCCATAGTGCACATAGTAAATGGGGATTGGGCATCTCTTGTCGGTTCTCTTATCGAAATGGATGTTGTAAGGCCAGGGACTAGCATTTGGCAGGTTACAATGGTAACATATCTATTTCTGTACCAGATATTGTCCAAATATTCTAACATGGGGTGATAAATTTGAGCTGAAACAATGAGATTTACTTTACTTAGATTAAACCTACGAGCATCCATTTATCTTTGTCAAGTTAAAATTTTTTTTCTCAAGCACTCAAATTTTAAGATTTATATAGTATTGACTGTTACATAAATAATTCAGGAACTGGAAGATTCCTTGGGAGAGGTGCAATTTAGAGATGGAATTCCCGATGTCAAGTTCAGTAGGGTAAGATTCAGATGCTGAGAAAACAAGTGCTCCGTTTTAGTACTGTATTTTTTATATCATTGAGGCAAGATCTACTTATGAGAGTCACAGCATATTGGTCATTTAAGCTAAAATTGGCTGGTCCAACTGGCTTTTGTTGATAGATGATTGAAAAGCTTACTGCAAGAACCTATGGACTTCTGCTATTTGATGAATAAAGTGGAATGTCATCCATTTGAAGCTGTAAGCTTGACGTCAGACATTCTTAGTTCGTACTGTTAGATGATCAGTATTTTGTAGCCAGAGCACCTGATTGGATTTTTTTCTTATGATGGTTCCTAAACTATATATCAAAAATGGCAGTCCCATAAGTTCCTGAACCATGTATCAGAAATGGCACTCCCATTTTTTATCAATCATTTTGCTATATTCATGTTAAATCAAATGGGCAAAGTATTATGAATGATACACTGCAGATAAGTTTGAGTGGTTAGTATCAACTAAACAATCCTAGCAACTTCTTGGCCATGGCTTTTTTCGGTTCTTAATCCATACTGCTTTGGTTTTATCCTTAACTCTTCTTCTTTATTCTGTTATGCATGATTCTTTTGGTTGCTTCATAATAGTAACTGGCTGACTGATACATTAATTTTTGAAGGTTCTCAGCAAAATATGGTCTGTAGCTCTCAAGTATCATTTTCGCATGCCACCATACTACACACTTGTTCTACGCTCTCTTGCTTCCCTGGAAGGTAACTTGCTGAATGCCATATATCCCAATACTCATTTTCATTTACTAGTATTATTTATAAGAATAGCAAGATGTGTGTTCTTTCAAAAACGATTCTCTTTCACTAAAATACTGCATGATTGAGGTAGGACTGGTCAGTTGGGTGCATTGGGACCCAAGTCATCATTTACAACTTGCCTTTCTGCACACATTTGCAGATGTGTCAATTTTTTTAAGCAACATATTTAGGTTTCACTAAGTTGTAAACCATGCACCCATTTGAACAGCCCTAATTGAGGATATTTTTGGTAAGCCATGATGGAAGATATTTAGTGTAAATATGAATGCATTTCATTGCACAAAGTTCAGTTTATCAAGCATAAATTCTGTCTTGTCCAGCTAACTGCAATTTTAACTTTGGGCTGAAACGCAATTTAATTCAGCAAAAGTCATAATTGGAACTCAATATGTTCCCTCTGTTTCCCAACTTGGCATTTGCATGGTAAATTTCAACTGTGTTTTTTTTACTTTAACAGCACTTCGTTTGTGTTCCATACAGTTAATCACAGATGGTCACTGATTTGTTTTCCATTATGTTCTCTCAGGTTTGGCAGTGGCTGCAGATCCAAACTTCAAGACATTTGAAGCTGCATACCCATTTGTTGTTAAAAAACTGCTCACTGAAAATTCGGCTGAGACAAGGAAAATTTTGCATTCGGTATGAAATGCTTAACCTTATATTTTAGTTGTTAAAGTTAAAGTCAAAAGTTTAAGTCACATTCCAAACACTGAACTTGAGGTGATGTATGTGATCTACAAATAGGAAGTTTAATATTTGACTTAAATTTTAATACCTCATGGCTTTTGGTTTCATGACTGTCACCCAAAAGATATCCAACATTTCTGCATGGTAATCATAAGAAGGTAGGGATAATGGAATAACATATTTATGAAGTTTGTTCTCAGCAGAGTTTTCAAACATCTGCAGAGCACATTCTTTCAGAATAATGTTTTGTATGCTGGTTATCACTGCATGGAATACAAACTGGGTTGCTGCAACAACATTATGATTTTATGTAATGATTGTCTGTTATCAATCCTATGCAGGTGGTTTTAAACAAAAGGAAAGAATTCCGGTGGGACAGGCTTGCTCTTCTCCTAAAAGTAGGATCAACTAGGTAACGTCAAGAAATTCCTAGTTGTAACCCCTGGTCCCAGGCTCTTGCTACCATCTATCATGTCCTGTCTGGCACACAGTATCATCATCTTTGAATGTTTATTTTCTTCTCTATCTGGAAAAAAAAAAATGGAAAGACAAAACAAGAAATATACTTCAAGTGCCAAATTCAAGTTTTGCTCTGCATTCCAACCAACTAAAATATGTGTTATTGGTATCATAACATGCGAATGGCTTGCATTTTTTGAATATCATCTTTGGTTCAGTTATGGACAACCATAAAGAGGACCTTATATATTACTGACGTACTGGCATTGCTTATTTTACAGTTATAATTGAAATATTTTGCTCAGTTCTTTCTATTACTCTATCATATTGTTTGTATGAATACTGGTACTTTCTGCAGGAATGTCTTGAATGGAACAATAATAGCACCAAAGAATGAGATTTTCCCTGGTTATCAAGCAAATAGGCCATCCAGTGGTGTTTTTGATGTTGCACAATTAGTTTTGATGCTTTTACCATCCAGAGATGGTATCGTTCTCAGGAAGCTTTTAATGACTGCAGTAAGTGATATTGAACTGTAACCTCCGTGGATATCTCATTATTTTTACTGTTATTTCTTTTTATTTTTCCCCCCAGTATGTGCCCTTACTCTTGCTATCAGTGGTTTATGGCATCATAGTTTCTAACTGAAACTGATATGAGTTGAGCTGTTAGGGCCTTGTAATGATTTGAATGGATCTAGGACTCTCCAGATTAATTCTCATCCATTTTCTTTGCTTATGCATTAAAACTCATTTTTCATTTGAACAAACAGGATGGAGTTTCATTAGTCCAAGCAATGGTTTCAAAGGAGGCAGTTATCTTTAGACAGCAACTTTGCAGGGTCATTGCTGACTTACTATATCAATGGACAGTACAAACTCTTGGACTTGGAACAAAGGCTACTCTGTATGCTTCCCAAGTAAGATTGACTAATGAGTCTGACAAGAGAGACTTATTTCCATCTTCCAGATTGTCCATGCCCATCTATGATTATCAGTCCATCATCAAAGATCGACGACTCAAAATAATCTTCTTCAGGATACTAGATTCTGCAAGGAAAGATCCGGTGTTGATTCTAAAATTCTGCTGGACTTCTATTGTTATGATTGTTACAGCTTCAGCACTGGCTTGTCATCGAGTTTTGGTCTCTTTGTCTGAAGTCTACATCAGTCCTTTATCATTTGCTCGAAAGAGAGTGGCAATCAGTGCATGAATTCCATATTTGGACTCTAATGAATCTGTTCTAAAGAAGATTGAATGCAGAAACCTCCTTGACATCAATAATAGTCTATAACAGAGACAATTAAAGATCCCAGTACGGGCACTAAGATAGAAATTTCGGTTTTTGTGGCTTGAGGATGTGGTTGCATAAGGAGTGGATTTCATCTACCGTATCTTTACTCCTGCCCCTCAACGTGAGTTTCAAGTGTTTTGCACGCAGATAATTCTTTATGAAGGAGGAAGTCTTTAACAGATAAGATGAAGATACATAGATAATATATAACTGTATAAAATGATACCTATTTTTGCTCAAAATAGCTAATGCCTTTTGACTTCTGTAGTTATGATATAATACGAGAGGCAAAGAGATCATGAATTGTATTAGAGGGCCATTTGTAAATTCACTTGTAAATGCCTCTTAACATTCATATAATTGCTTTGACTACTTGAATAATTGGCATTTGAAAATTAGGAAGAGAAAGTGCCAAGTTGAACTACTTTAGAAGAGTCAAGTCAATTAAACTTCTCATTGGATCTTTTGTTTAAATGAATGAATGTTATTAGGTAAGTTTCTGCTTCGTTAGCATATGATTCGAGCTCAATACATAAATTTGATTTTGAATTTTGGCAGATTTTCCTTGTGACACTTTGAATGCGGTTCAATTATGACATTGCATTTCATATTTCAGTTATAGTTATTCTCTCCGCTAAAATAAAATAACTTTGTAGGGATTTAATTATGATAATGCACTTTCACATTTTATTTTGGTGAGGGACGGGAGATTCAATCGTAATCCTGCCCCCAAGAGATACAATAGTCTTCTAGATTTATTTTGTGCAGCAGAACAAATCCTACAAACTCAATATAACCCTTACTGCAAAATAAATAAAAAAACAAAATATATTTGTAAATCTGTAGATTAAAATTTGAAGGTTCTTAAAGATTAGATTGTTTTCATGTCTTAATCTTAACTGTTAATGAACGCACTGATGAAACTAGGAGTTGAGTTACAGCCTTCTTCTTCTCAGTCGATCTATATACAAATCTCATCCTTATTGAGTTGATCGAACGGTTGTTTCTTTTTTAGAGGTACAAGATCCTTCAGTTCGACTTATTCTCAAGTAAAATGTTTCAACTTTAGAGCATGTGTCAATGGGGCGAGCATAGGGCAACGATTGCTTAAAACTCAGATTGTCTAAAAATTTTCTAACCAAAACTCAGGCTCTTTGCTAATCTAAGACCTCTCCGCACTATGCTAATTCGATATTTTTTTTTTCGGGGAGGGGAGGGCTATGCACAATTGGGGAGAAGGGAGAAGATAGATGTAGGTTGAGGCTGGTTTGGATTGATTAATCTTGACTAAAATGGACTATGCTTTAGTGTGTGTGTAATAATCATGACTAAAATTCGTAAACTAACAAACTTTGGTCTAATGACTAAAAAGAACCCTGAACTTTGGGTTTTTAATAATTTTAGCCAATTCTTTTAACAATTATACCTTGTAAATTTACAATCAATAAGAGATATGTCATGATGAGGGTTCTACTAATAGTCACATCAACATAACAGTAACGGTTGATGGACAAAGACCACAGTTGTTAATAAAAAATAAATTCGTGGTATCAATTATATCAATTAAAAAAATTGGCTAAAATTGTTATACAGACCAAAGTTTAGGTTTTTTTAAGTCTTTAGGCCTAGATATTATATTAAGTTTACATACATAAGTAGATAACTTTGTTCTATCATTAACCAAAAAGAAAATGATACTAACAAAATTAGCTTGGTAATAAAATTTGATTATATATCTAATCATAAAATGAGGAGGATGTAAAGATTTAATAATGGAAATTTCCCCAAAAGCAGAAAATTTAATAATATTTACATAGGATAACGCTTAATATGCATATTAAAAATGTTGAATGAATTTACGGATTATGACTTAATTGATAATATAGGTTAAATATATACAAAGAGTTTTCGAATTCGATTCTGTGTGCGATACGAGAAGCTTTAATTGTGGCTCATCAACGATCGGCGAAATGCCAAAATTCGCGCAAATTATAAATACCCACACCTCCCCCAGCCTTTCCTTTCCTTTCTCTTCCTGCTTTCCAACGACAACGAACAAAGTCGTTTCTACTGTCAACTCAAAAACTAATCGGTAGAGAAAAAACACCATAATCAGATCAGCTACAATTTCCACCAAATCAACACTTCCAATTTCTGTTTCTCTACCCTTATCTCTCTCCATAATGAGCTCTCCGGCGATTCCTGGAGTAACCTCTCTCTCTCTCTCTCTCTCTCTCTGTTTTGGATCTTGGTTATTTCTAGTCGTGGCTTTTATCCTCCATCAGATCTTGTTTGCGGCTGATTAATTATCTTAGTTTGATTTGGCTTTCTATAATGTTGTCTGTGATTGATTATAATTTATTTATAGCTTTTGTTAATGGGTAGGGCACCGGCTTGTTTACTGGATTCACAAGGCTATGCAAGGGTTTGGCTGTGGTTCTTATCGCCGGTCACATTGTAGTTCAGATTGTGCCTCCGGCTGTTTCCTATCTCGCTCTTATTCCGGCGAAGTAAGTTGCAAATTGTCAATCGATTTCGTTTTTATTGAATTCTTTTAATCTAGTAGTGTATTAAATAAATATTGTTTTTCAATTTGTATTTTTCAAGTGATGATTAATGAAATCAATGCATATTATTATTGTGTATTTAGCAAGTAGTTTCTTACTGTTAATTGATCTCCAAATTAGAGATAGAAAGATGGTTCTTTTCCCCCTCATTCCTAGGCCTCTGGCAGTAGGTTCGATAATAGAGAAGATGAGAGATTGATGGAATGAAAATTGAATTTGGAGCGACTGGAATGCGTCTTACTGGGTTGCTAACATTGTCCGGTTAGTTACAATAACATAGATTTGATTATTACAGTTTCTTGTGTGTAGATTTCGGTGAAGTTAAGAGAGACACTATTTTTTTAAGTCTGATTTTGAGATTTATCAATGGGTTATAAATCCTTCTCAATCCAGAAATTCAAATTCCATTACAGAAGACTTTTGTGAAATAAGTGGTTGGGCTGCTGTTCTCTTGTTGGTAATTTTCTTGTGATGGAAAACTGGAAACAGGTGCCTTCCTCAATAAACAGGAAGCATTATTCGAGGACCATGAAGTGATAATTCAATTCACCATAATGAAATGATTCCTTTGATGAATTATTACCCCTATTCTTATCTATCCCTCTATTTGAACAGTCCACTAGTTTACAACCAAACCTAACATATGATCCAGTATAACCAGAGTGATTGAAATTTTTCTTGAATCATGGGTTGGGGGATAACTGTATAACCATAATTATTTATAACATGTTGTCAAGTGCCTAACTTGTGGTGTAGGAGGTAAGCTGTTGAAATTCCTGTTCTCTCTCTCCTTTCCCCTTAAAAAAAAATGCTGGGAAGAAGGTTTCTCAAAATTAGTTGCACAAACATGGGGAATCTGATTATTGACATGGATTACTGTTCTTAAAATGCATAAATTTGAAGTCCTTTAAGAAAATGATTGAAGAGTTGTTCATCAATATAGTTCCATTTTCTTTTAGAAGTAAGACTGAAACATGACAATATTTTGTTCAAATGAAACTTCTCTTTTTCCACCATAAATATGGATTCAATTGTATGGAGTCCAAGAATTCTCTTTCAAAAGATTGTTTTCTTGTTGCATGAATATTGACTTGGTGATTGTAATTCACTTACAAGAGTATATAGGTGAAAATCTGCACATCCTTTTTTCTGCATGCTTAAAATGTTAAAACAGATATATTCATGGCTTATTTCAAATTATATTCAGAGTAAAGATTATCAACCACAATTTATTATGATATGATGCACAATTAATCATTCAGTTAGGCTTTGTTAGTTTGTATAATATCTTGTGTTTTTTAAACGACTTCTAAAAGTTGCTGCAAATTATGGCCACATGTGGGGACACATTTTGGAAGTTTCTACTGCTGGATGAGGATCAAGTGGAATTATGACTACTAATTAGTTTGAACCACAACTTCAAGATGTTCATACAATATTTTTTGTTGACAAGGCCGTCTAGATACAAGATTGGAAGGGGAAATGGTCAAAATTGGTAACCACATTCTGTTATTGTTCATGGCTGATTGTAGCATATTTACCAAAACCATCAACGGTGTATCCTTATGGCTCTATTATGGTATGATTTATAGCTATTCTGTCACAATTCTGTTTTAGCTGGTGATGAAGACATGTCATTGAAGGATATATTTATCGAAAGGACAAAAATCATAAGTAGTATGCTTGATTAATAATGCTCAACAATGTAGTGGGAACTAATGTTGTTTTTGCAGCAAATGTTGTAACTTTGAGGAAAAAGTTAAGTAGGTATGTGATTTGGAAATTTTTTTTTGTAGGACAATTCCTTTTGCATGGAACCTCATAACAGCTGGTTACATTGAACAATCAATATATGGGGTATGTAATTCTCCGTAAACATGAATTGTTGTTGTTTTCTTGCTTTGTTCTGTGTATAATTTCCCATGACTCATATAATTTTACTGATGATTAATCTTACTTTCTAGGTGGTTGTCAGCACTTTATGTCTCCTTATTATGGGGAAGCTACTTGAACCTGTGTGGGGTTCCAAGGAGTTCTTGAAGTTCATTTTCATAGTCAACTTCCTCACTTCTGTGTGTGTTTTTATTATAACTATTGCATTGTACTACATAACTAGGCAGGAAAATTACCTGTAAGTGCTTGATTCCAGAAGTGGTAGTTATTTTGTTTGCTCTTGTTGCCTCTGCTCTACCTGCCTTTTCTTCATTTATTTTATCCTTAACTATACCATTGAGATATTTCATTTGACGTTATAGTAAAAGGAAAGAAATCCTAGGTAGCTACTTTTTCTTTCATTTCTATGTGGTTGGCAATGAATGTTGCATTGCTATATTTATATATAACGAATATTGCATTGATATATTTAAATATGGTTGTAATATTTGTTCAAGATTCGACCTAGATATGAATGATGATTACATGCTCTATTAAATACATATAAGTGCTAACTTTCTTTTGTTCGTTCATGGTAGTTATTTGCCCATATCTGGCTTCCAAGGGGTCTTATCAGGTTTCTTGGTTGGTATTAAGCAAATTATACCTGATCAAGAGCTGTCTGTATTAAGACTAAAGGCAAAGGTATTAACTTTGTTTCTTGATTCACTTCTTGCCTTGAAATATCAATAAATGAATTTGTGCAAGCTTTGTTGTCGTCTCATTTAGAGCTGTTTTGAATGATCTGCAGTGGTTTCCATCTCTTGCACTCGTGCTAGCTATTGTTGTAAGCTTCTTTACACCAGAGTCAACAGCATACCTTCCAACCATTATATTTGGCACATACGTGAGCTGGATTTACCTAAGATACCTACAAAGGAAACCAGAAACAAAACTTAGGGGTGATCCAAATGATGATTTTGCATTCTCCACTTTCTTCCCTGAATTTCTTAGGTATTTAATTTTTCTCTAAATGCATTGGTCTTTCTGCCGAGGGAATTTTGCATTTGTTTTAAATGCAGTTGCATCTCAGTTTCTCTCTTTCCATCTCACTCTGAATGTAGGCCAGTCATTGATCCAATTGCATCAATATTCCATCGGATGCTTTGTGGAAGGTCTGAAACTTTGACTGAAGCACAAGGCTATACTCTAGGAGGTGCTCCATTGCCTGGTTCAGATCCCATTGAGGCATCTAGGAGGAGGTAAGAATCCTGGTTCTGGCTGCCCTACTTTTAATTATAGGTCACAAATCGTCTAGTATCCTCTCACCCTTTTCATCCAACACAATCCTTGTTATGGTGCAGCACTAGTTGGATTTCTCATGCAAGAGTAATAATAATAATAAAAAAAAACTTTCAATCTAAGGAGCATATGCTTGTTTGACGATGAAAAATTATATGTATATATTAAAAAGCTATAGCATACCTTTTTTTTTTTTTTTTTTCTCTGAAATTGCTAGAAAAGTCTCAAGCAATCTTAGTTGAAAGTGAACGTATTAGTCTTTTCAGATCAAAAATAAAAAACAAACTATTTGCTAAAATGATGAATTATGTGCTGGTGTGAAGCTAATTGCAAGCTGCCGATCAACACTCCCTTGAAAAGCTAAAACTAACTCAATCATATAATTATTTGTGGTTAAAGAAATAGTTTCCATCTTCTGACCTATCTGCTCCTTGCAGAGAAAGGGGAGCTAGAGCACTGGAGGAAAGATTGGCAGCTGAGAGGTTGGCTGCTGCAAGAAGCGCGGATGAGTCAAAAAAAGATGCATCAGAGAATGTTTGATAGCTCGGAAACTCTCAAGAACCCAAACAGCAAGTGAAAAGTTGTATTTTGATCAACACTTAACAGAATTTGTGCAGTATTTGGAGATCAGACTTTTTCTGGTTTCTAGATAGCAGTTTTGTGATTCATATTTCTGTGGATTATTATTGTTATCATTCTTATTGTAAAAATTCTTGCTACAACATGTCTTTTTTTTTTTTGGTTTTGTTTCATTATGACTTGGTCTTTGTCTAAAACATACGAAGAATAAATTCTAATCAACTAATTTCCTATGCCTTTGCCATTCCATAAATAGATTCTAAATAGAGTTTTCTTGGTATAAAACAATTTTAAATAATTTCGTTTAGAAATTTATATTTTTTATGTTTGATATAAATAAAAATTTATTCAGATTTTTTAGTATTGCTTGAATTAAATTTTAATGATACATTTGAAATAAATTTTATAATAATTGAAATATAAAAATTTATTTACAAATGAATTATTTTAATGAGATTTATTTGATGAAATGATTTTATATAAACTTATTCTAAACATTACCTAAAACAAATTTTTTTTTTTTTATTTTATACATAACGTTGGGCTGAAGAAGAATATTTTTTACATAAATTGAGCTGAAGAAGAATTTTCAAAAGAAAAAGATTATCGAGCAAATAAACGAAACTAAATAAAAAGTTTTAGCTATTGTCTTGTTCTCCATGCTTACTCCGCGTCTCTTTCTTCCAATATCCATATGAAAAATGGAGCTTGTAACAAAGATGGAGAGACCTCGTGACATATAGAAAAACTTTTTTACATATGGACAGCTCGTAAAATTTTTCTTTCTCCCAATAAGAAAAAAATTCTAAAAATTTCTAAGAAAAAAATATAATGTTAAACAAAGAAAAAGTGTTGAATTTTCTCTTTGTTTTAGCTTTTATGTTTTTTTTTTTTTTTTTTTTTTTAGATTAATTCGAGCAAATAAACGAAACTGAGAATGAAAAAGTTTTTAGCTATTGTCCCTTTGTTCTCCATGGCTTAGACTTACCGAGTCTCTTTCCTTCCAATAATCCATATGAAATGGAGGCTTTGTAACAAAAGAATGGATGAGACCTGCGTGCGATATAGAAAAACTTTTTTTTACATATGGACAGCTCGTAAAATTTTTTCTTTCTCCCAATAAGAAAAGAAATTGCTAAAAAATTGTTCTAAGAAAAAATATAATTTAAAGCAAAGAAGGAAAGGTGTTGAATTTTTCTCTTTGTTTTAGCTTTTATGTTTTTTTTTTTTTTTTTTTTTTTTTTTTTTTATGACGTGCAATGCATGTTGACTATACTAGTTATATACTAATTTTTATACCCGTTTAACTTTTTTTTTTATATAATTAAAATATAAAATTTTATTTAAATTGCAATAAATATAATGATTTTATATATACAGTAAAATATTTTTTTAATTATATTTCTTGCACTGTAATATCTTATTGAAAAATTGATATATTTATTACTCCAATTAAAATAGCAATTTAAATGTGAAATATGTCATTTATATTCTCTTCAATGTACTGGTTCATATAGTTTTTATTATACGCTAGTTATTTTTATTTTTTATTGAAGTACCAAATTGATTTATAAAAATCATCATATAACTTATTTATAAAAATCATCATATAACTTTTATTTTACGTTTTATAATTAACTTACATGTTTTGTTAATAATTTTCACTATAATATCTTTTAGTAAATAAATATATTTGAACAATAGAATATGAAACTAATCTAATAAATCAAATTAAATATTTATAATAATGATAATAATAATTTTTATTTTTATCTTTTTAGCCAATCAAAACCATGAAATTGTTTTAAAATTTTATTAGTAAAATTATGATCCTTGATAGAAACGATAAGATCTAAATTAAATAAGATATTAATATAATTAATCAAATTCGAGATGTTTAAAATAATATTTTTTTATCTTATTTTTAGCCAACTAAATTAGAGTGCAATTTGTAATTAAAGAAATTTAACCATATCCTTTTTAAATTAAAATCTTAATTATCTAGAAATGTTTATTAAAAATAAATTAAAAAAAATAAAAAATTTTCAAATGCGTCTTGTTTAGACGTATTGATTTAAAATCATAATGTTGAAGATAAATTACATAATAATAAATAAAATAAATAATAAATTATTAAAATTATTATAATAAATAATAAAATTATTAAATTATTAATTAAGTAATTTAGTAATAATATAATGAAGATAAAATATAATTTAGGACATATAAATGAGTAGATAACGGAGTAAAATTTTAATTTTTAAATACTTATTATTTATATTATATTTTTCTATTAAAAAAAAAGTTGCAATCAAATATAAAGACATAATAAGATAATAACAGTAAAATTTTTAATTTTTAAATACTTAATTATTTATATATATTTTTCTATTAAAAAAAATTCAATCAAATTATAAAGATATTATATATATTTTTATGTTAAAATTTCTTAATTGACTATGACTAAAGTCATTTTAAAATATATTAAATTTTACAAAAATAATATAGAAAATTTCATTGATAGATAGATTAGTAATAAATACAGTAACAACCGCGTAGCACGTGATTATTTCTACGCTCACGTTTATTTTATTTTTCATTATTTTATTCTATTAATTTAATTAATTAAATTGCTATAAACTTGAGGCATAAATAATGTCCCTCTGATTTTCAATGCCAAGGAAAGACAACAAACAATCCCAAATCATCTCCATAATTCCCACCTGTAATTCACTTTCGATTCTCTACACCTTTCGATTGTTAGACCAGCCGGAGTCAATATCCTCATCGAACGGCTCAGGTATGCTCTCTACCCAAAAATTACCGTTTCTTTTTGTTTTCTTCATCAATCTCCAATTTTGACATCAAATTCAACTTCTTTGCAAAGTTCTCTATATTGATTCTTTGATATTGTTAATTAATTCTTGTGAATTTATGAGCAGATTCTGTTACTATTTTTTTTCCAAATTGGTTTATGTTTGGCTTCCCTTTTCTTTAATCCTTTCTGTTTGGCAATTAAACGAGGAGTATCATTAGTTAATGTGTTCATGGATAATCTTGATTTTTTTGGGGAGAAACAACCTTGAAATTTAGGTTTCAGGGCTAAAATATTTTCAAATGATAATGGTAGAGGTACTCCTTTAGCTTCTAAGGTTTTGTGGAAGGATTAATCCTTGAAATAAATATTGGCTTCGCCATTTGCATCATTTTTTTGAATTTGGAAATTTTTGGTAGACATGCAGCAAAAAATGACAGGGCCAGTTGATTAGTGCAATAACTAGTTTAAAGCTCTATAGAAGTCATTTTCTTTTAAAATATTCAAGGAAAGGACTTTTTTTGGACTTCAATGTCCTATGAATTCCACTTTGTTCTTCATTTCTTGATTCCCTTGATTTGATATGTATTACTCAATTTAGTTCTTTAGGAAAACTAATTTGTTTCATGTCAATTATTTGCTTTGGGATCTAACTCTAAGTTGAGCAAACAACTTTTTAGTACTCAAGGTATCTATAATGGGAATTTGTGCTTTATAGACCCGTGTATTACTTTTCAGTAATTGATTTATCGCCTTGGTTGAACACTCTTGTTGGACTATTGAATATAGAGGCCATTGATCTACTTTGAATATTGCATAAAACTACCTAACAAAAAAGATTTTGAATGGTCAGTTTACTGGTTGCTCAATAAAAATAAATTTTAGCATGTTGGTGGTTAGTGTAATTCTCAACTAGAGGACTCCATTTAATTTAAAGATACAATAGCAGTTCTCAGAATGCCTCTCTTGTAATTTTACATGCATGGAGAAAAAAAAAAAATTTATACATCAAGTTCTGTTTTTTTATACTTTGGTACTATCTATTTTTCAAATATTATATCCAGGTGAGATTTTGATTGACTGATTTATTATTATTAAATGATTTATTATTGCAAGTTATTGTGTTTTTACTACTTCTTTTAGTATGCATTAAGTGTGACAGTAAATCAATTTAAATGACAAAACTATTTTATTGTTTCCTCATCCTTCTTTTCTGGTTTCATATTTGGTGTCTTAGAATCGTATTCTCCGTTTCTGTGGGGGTTCTATACCATTATCTGTCATGGTGCAACCTTTCATATACTTACAACATGTGTTTTATTATATGCTTTTATGTTTACTTTTTTTTTCCTTTTTGTCATTGCTCTAACATGGTTACTTTTGTTGTCAATATGCAATTACACTAGAAGTGTCTTTGTTTTGCATAGCTGTAGAATTAAGGATAGTGAAAAGCAAAATAAACAAGTTCAATGGCATCTTAGTGGAAAGGGTCGAAGGAGTCTGGAACCTGAATGGAAAAAAATTAAATAATTGAGATAAAAGGCATTATGGAAGGTTGCTGCTTTATACTCTGAAGGCAGTATTGCAATTTGAAGGACCATGTAGTGTCAAAGGAACCTTGCATTTAAGGTAAAGAATGAAAGGTCCCTTTGGGGACATCCGATAAAAAAAGGTAAAGAAATGAAACAATGCTTAAGCATACCTGTGGCTGTGCACTTTGACGGCTTCCTAGTTGTCTTTCAACTACTTTCAATGTTCTTGGGATGCTTTTAAACTAATCTGGACCTGTTGAAATTAGTGGCTTGTTTTGAGAGCAGCAATTGCAATGGGTTCCCTTTATTGTATTTCTTTAGATGTGCAGGTTTTGAAGATCCTCCAAAAGTCAACGTTCTAATTTTATCTGAGAGGTTAGAGAGGCAATGTTAGATGCTTGATGAGGTCTAGGGTAGAAATGGATTACCCAGTTTTCATTGGGGTAGATCTTCCTAAGGCCTTTGAAGATAATTCCTCTTGATAATGAAAGATCAGATGTTTGGCGAGTTTTTGACTACTATTAATTGTATTTCAAATAACTGTTGCACATTCAGTTTGCTATATATATATATATATATATTTCCTCAGCCAAAGAGGGGTCTGTCTCTGGGGTTATGCTGCAAATCTTTTGTCCTATAGCTCCATAAGCAACTTTGTATCTAGCTTTTGATCCCTAGTTTTTGTTGTAGTTGTATATGTCCTTCTACTTGAGATCTTATTTTTTGTATTTTATACTTTTTCCCCCAATAAAATCTTCTTTCTCTTTAGAATTGTATCATCTGTAAGACATGAGTGAAGGCTTGCAAAATTAGAATTATGACTTCCCATTGTAGATTTGTTGAGGAATGGGGAAAATCAACGAGCATAAACTCATTGATTTTTGAATTAGTGTTATGAATCCACATAAAAGTGATCTAAAAAATATCAAGTTAAGAAAAAAAAAAGAATTAACAAATAAATAAATAATATGAATAGAAGCCCAACGTAATTAAGATAAAATATTGTGCACTAAATATGGTAGTGGAGCATATAAATGACCTTGTCTATTAAAAAGCCAGTCTAAAAGCTTTCATTTACTTATCTGCTAATGAAAGAAAAATTCAGAAATTAGTTGTGCTGTATGTTTTGCTACAATTAAATGCAGGAAATGTGTTGCTTTATTTACTTGATCTCAGATATTGTTGGCACATTGGTTTGCCTATTTACCGTTGGATAAAAGGGACAAAGCTGCGGAATATTTTCTACTTAATAGTCCATTTCTGGATGAAGATGAAGATTGAATAATAATTGAAATGGGTTATGAAGTTCCTTTGGTAGGTATAGTTCTTAGAACTTAAAGATAAACTGTGTACAGTGTCAGAGACCTGAATTTTTTTTTTTTGACAATGAAAATTAATATGGGTTGAATGCTTGTATTGCTCAAAAGGAAATGGAGAAACGTATTTTAGTATTGATAAAATGAATAACATAATTTGGGATGTGAATGGATGTGCATAACCTTCTTGAATGATGAGATAGTTGACATCATGATGACTTGATGAGTGGAAAGTTGGAAGTATAAATAATTTTACTGTTTGCAACAAAGCAGGAGTATTATAGGAGAAATTTCACTCATATTATGAGAAAGGGTTTTGTTTTTTCTCAGTGCATATATTGTTGTCATGATCATTCCACATGGCAGGGTAAGAACAAAATATCATTTGCCATTATTGTTGATGGCATTTTATCTATTATTTAAATAACTCAAAATTATGTTTGGTGTTCTTGGGGCATTAGTTTGTAGTCTTTGCAGGAGCAATTTTACATATTTTAAGAAATTTTTTCTAGCTCATTCATAGATTTATCTTCAGCGTCCCTGCGGGCATTCTCGGACCAATGGAACCAAAATTTCAAGGAAATTTGAGCTGGTTTTTCTTTGCTGTGTGGGAAGAATTAGTTCGATCTATTTTACAGCCTTCTTCTATTGGAAAAGCTATTCGTCTGGTGATTCAATTTATGTGGTATTTGGGAAATTAAGTGCTGAAAATTTAAGACTTGAATTTTAAGTGCTGAATAATTTAAGTGATGAAGTTTTAAATTGTAAAGGTATTTGCAATGTTTAATGTAAATTTTTAATTTATTATTTAAGTGAATTTTGCTTACCTGAAACTCTTCAATGTTATATGGATAAATGTTATCAAACAACTTAATACTAATAAGTGCTGGAAGTTTTAATTTGAAGTGTTGAATGATTACTGCTTTTTTTTTTCTTAGTACTAAAGTCTCTATCTCTCAATGTTTTTTTTACTACTTAAATTGATCTTGTTCGTTTACTTTTCTCTCCTTTCTTTCATCTTTAGTATTGCTGTGAGTGCTTGCATCAAAGAGGATTGAAGAGGTTTTAGAGTTTCTCTTCTCAAATGAATTCATATGTGTTAGCTGATTTCAAGGCTTCATGTCTCTAAATTTTAAATTTATTGTCTTAGTTGTTTTTTCTTGCTGATTTAATCAAGCGCTTTACAGTGCTTTCTTAAGTCTCCAGTCTCCCTCCTTTTCTCTCTCTTTTATCCGCCTGCCCTTGTTACTGTACTAATGTGCAAGTATAAGAAGGAAACTTGTCCATAATTCTGATATAAACCTTCTATGCCCTATATGGGTTAGACTAGAGCTTTTTTCTCTCCCTATGCAGTAGAGATGCATGTTTTATGTCCTAGATAAAGATGGATACAGTATAATCAAATAACAGAGCTTAAAGAGTCGTTAAATTCTTGTTTCTCAATCATCCATTCTGGCAGGAAGAATCCTGTTTTCAAGTTGACACTTCTATGCAAATCTCTCCCACAAAAACATGTTGTTTGCTCCATGATAACCTCAAGCTACCATCAGTTGAAATGTACTTTTTGGTCTGAAGTCTTTAGAACCTTAAGTTACTGAACTTATACTTATTTGTAGAATTGAGAAAAGGGTTAGAAAAATTTGGTGATTTCTGAAGTTTTGTCATCATTACTTTATTCTGGTGGTTCTATATTTTTATAAAAGCATAATTATTTTACTCACTGTGTAACCAGACATTAATTGCTCAAATTTCAAGAAACTGGCTATGAATAAGCCAGCTCTTGAACCAACTTAACATTAATTAACACCATCAATGGCTTCTATGGCTGTACCTTGAATCTCCATTTGTCAGTAATGATACCTTTTCTCATAGCATTGCTATTTATGAGACTTAATAAGTAAGTTTTCTGTTTCCACGAATCAAAATGAATTTTGAAGAGTTTCGTGGAGTTAAATTAATATGCATCTGAAGGTATGAAATAACACAGTAGAACTGACGTGTCCTCCTCTTGATGTGGAGGCGTAGCAGTTAGCAAATTACTTGAATAATGATAGCTTTTCTCATAGCATTGCTATTTATGAGACTTAATCAAGTAATTTTTCTGTTTGCACAAGTCAAGGTTTCTTGGAGTCCAATTAATATGCATCTGAAGGTGTTAAATAACACAATAATATGACTGACATGTCCTCCTCTTGATGTGGAGGCGTAGCAGTTAGCAAATTACTTGAGAACGTCTTGCAGACATTTTTTTTCCAGTGTAATTTGTGCTTCATGAATCCAAAGGATCAATGAAGATGTAAAATGCAAAAATAGGCTAAATAATATTTTTATGCTCCTCTAGGTTCAGGCAGCTCATACTCTCCAGACTTATTGATGCTAACATTATATCTTTGTTATGATGAATCATTTGATTTGATCAGATCATTCTTTGGCTTCAAAACATTTAATTTATGAGTTAACACAGGTGAGTGATGAACTGGTAAGGGTTGCATCTTTCTCTGTCCGGATAACATTCCTTCAAGGGTTTTTGTTTGACCAATCTGTCTTTGTCAGGATATATGCATGCTACCACTTCCATTCCCCAAAAAACTTTATTTTGTCAAAGCTGCTAAATTCTTCACATACTATGTGCCTGTAGCCATTTTTGTATCAAGCAATATAGCATCTAGAACATTCTGTTTGACTCAGCATTTCTCTTTAGTACTGCTAAGTGCTAAGGGCTTTCTACTTACATTCTTTTATCTGGTTTCTGGTGAGAATTAGCCACTAGTCTTCTAAATGCTCTAAGCTGGTAGATTACCCTTCATCATTAATAGTATTTATCTAAATTAAAAGTGGTATTACCTTGCAGGCGCTTTTGATTTCAGCAAGCAATTCTAGAGATTTTTGTTCTTAAATTATCATCTACAGATCAGGTTATTACATACAAACCACTGCAATTGTGTGCTGTAAATTCTAAGAGTTGGGAGAGCAGAATATGCTTGATTTGAAGGTTAAAGAATTTCCTGTCCTCATCGGGAAGTATGAATGGGCATTGCCTTAGTTCGCTTTAGATTGAGTATATTGAGTGAGCATTCTAGGTAATGTTATTATGAAGCGAGAAAGCTTTTGTGATATTCTGTTATTGATGGCTAGTAATCTCATTCTGAGATTGATTTTCTTGACATGATGTGAGGTTTATCTAGGGGGTTAGTCCACCATTTAATTCCTGTGGCTTTTGCAAACAGGCAGTTGTCCTTTCTTGTGCCTTTTCCCTTGGTGTTTGAGCACTTGCTTGAGTTCTTGTGGCAAGAAAATTGCAATCCTGATGCAAAAGTTCAATCGAATGAATTTGCATATACTAAATTGAAATAGTGCCCTTGTAACCTTTCCAATTCTCTGTATTTTGTTTTGCATTGCTAATATGCATATGCTAAACTGAAATTATCCTCCAGTAGTCTTATCAGCAAAGATTCAGCCTTACATTTCTCTTGGGTCCTTTAATTGCTTTACCGTCATGACGGAAAACAAGCTTGCTACTGGCCTTTTCATATCATTCATAAAAACCACCACTTGAAAATCTTGTTTTGTATGTTCTCCTAGTTATTAATCTTATAAATGACAAGTTTGCTTTTTGTTTGTCTTTGTCTGTTGGCCAAGGTAGTTGATGCTAGCAACCATACTTGATAATCTGATCTCCTTTCAAGTGTTTGGAAAAATGAGTGTGGCTGGGCTGCCCTAATTACTTAATTCTGGTAAATAATGGGACTACTCATGAAGTACTAAGGGAGGATGGTTTTTAGAGCTCTTTTTGATATTGTGCTTCTTGCTATGGTTGATGAGACCATTGTCCTCTGATATATCACTGTGCCAGTGAAGCTACTATCATTTCACTTTGGTGAATTTGGAATTGTTTTAGGCGCGTTTTGTCTTCCAATAACAATTTCTGTAACATTGCCTTAATAATCACTGAAGTTTTTTCTGCAATATAATCTCATGGTACTTTTACATGTCCTTTCCAGAAGACATGAAGTTGATGTAGTTCCACAAGGCAGATAAGTTTTTGGTGCTTTTCGTTTTTTCACATTTTAATATTTGTCATGAGCTTTTTTATAAAGCACTCACTGACAGGCTGTGTGTTGATCTCTGTTTCGTCAGAAAATAAATAAGCACTCTTTTATCATGTTTCTAATGCATGAACGGATGGATGCAATTCACATATCATGTTTTGTGTTGGTACTTGAGTAAGAGTAACGAATTACGGAATTCATGAGGTAAGAATTTGTCGAATATATTGTCAAGATATAGCTTTTTATAAATAGGCAAAAGGTTTGGCTGGTAGTGGCTTCCCCTTTCCCTAATGTTGGTTTCACTTCTGCATCCTTGCTAAAAGATTTTTGATCTTTGTCTCCTTTCTTTTGTAACTTTTGGAGTTAGGTTCTTATATTTTTCCTATGACGATGATTTATCACCATGGTCAGGGAAAAGTAGTTTGTTTGGGAAATTAGGTGGTGAGATGTAATATCTAGTTTCAGTAACTGTGGGGAATATACATGGGCTAGCTGTTGAAATATAGATATAATTAGCATGAAGAAGACTTTGAATCAGTCTGTATAAGTGTGATATTAAATCTACTTGCACTTTTAGGAGTGTGCAACCGGTAGTTTTGTTTCCAAACTGATACAACCAAAATACAATTCTTTTTCCGTTTAAACTGAACTGAAATCGAACAGTGTCCAGAACCAAACCAAACAGGTTGGGTTCGGTTTTGGGAAAATTAGGATTATTTTCTATGACCAAACCGAAAACCGAAGTTACCTAAAATCAATAAACCAGCAGAACTGATTAACCCAAAGAACGGAACTAGATCGGTTCTTTTTGGTTTTTCTGTTTTAACCGATGCGCTCACCCCTATGCCTTTTGGATGCAGCCTAATGTGATCCAGGTCATTCATTTGGAGCTCAATTTGATTTTTTCTAATAAGCTTGCAATATGTTTTGTCAAGAAGAATGGTTTATGCATCTTGAACTCTCAGTGGAAAACATATTTGTTAATATTGTTTTTCAGTTCAATATCTGGGTGACTGGGGCATACGATATCTTATATGAGTGGTTGGGGGGTGGGGGGGGGGGCTAAGAGTATATGAGTGGTTGGGGGTGGGCGGGGGGGCTAAGAGTGAGATTGGTGAGCTTTTTCCTCTTCTCCTTAACCCCTCAACTATTCAAAGATTCAGGTCTCTTCAGGGATACCAGCTGGTCTTTACAGCAAATTGGGGGGGGGGGGCTAAGAGTGAGATTGGTGAGCTTCCTCTCTCCTTAACCCCTCCTATTCAAGATTCAGGTCTCTTTTCAGGGATACCAGCTGTCTTTACCAGCAAATGCAAGCAGTAATTTGCTCTGCCACTATTATGAAGGAAAACAAAAATTGTTAATACCTCGCTTGTTACTCATTTATCTGAAACCATGTATTGGAAATCAAATCTGCTGTTTACTTATTCTGACATGCACATAAAACTCTATACCCTTTTTATCATTTTCTTGATCCACATACTAAAGTTTTCTCATCAATGATACGAAATTTGAGATAATTTCATAATCATTATTATTTGCCATTTATTGGGTCAGAATTGTTTATGTTTATATTGGCTTTTATTTGTTAAAATAACACATGATGGAAGAGAAATAATCATCTGATGTTTGTTTGGACTTATTTACTTTAGTATTGCATGTTTTAGAGAATTATTTAAACTTATTTCCTTTCTAAATATCATTTCCATTTTCTCCATGTGATGATAGTTCAACTGTCCAATCTAATAAGCTCCATTAGTTAATTGATTTGTAGGACGAAGCTTAGGTGTCATGCCTACTCTGATGAAGCATAGTCAGATGGACTTATTATAGTTTATGCTTAGCATATGAATGCCAATGTGCATTTCACACAAATCACACAATTTGAATAGTTAATGAGGAAGTTCCTTGAATTGCAGGTTGGTTCTATTTCTCTTCAGATTCCTGAAGTTGAATTGTCTTCTACTGTAGGTACCATGGAACATAGACATTTATCCAATGGATCACAATTCTTTGGAATTGATTGGAATCAAAGTCGAAATCATGTTTCTTCTGGACAGCCCTACATTCATATCGGTATAATGACTTTATTTTTATATTTTAGTAAAAGGATGCTTTTGCACATTACTATTTCTTTAATTTGTTTTGCTTATGGTTCTTAATTCAATGTTAAGTTTGGTGTGGATCCTGGATTTGAGACTAGCAATTATTAGAAAAAGAAACATAAAAATATACTTTTCCTGTTTCTTTATTGAATTAAAATGGACATCTGTTATGATTTCATTAATTTGATATGGTACATGCTTGCAAGTTTAAGGTTCCATTCGTTTCTGGAAAATATTTTTTGATTTTTTAATGTTTGAGGTGCTCATGAAAATTTGTTGGCAGAAAATATTTTTTCTGGTCAAAGGTAAAACTAGACTACTCTAAAGGAAAATGACTTTTTCAAAAGAGGAAAATATTTTTTGAACATTGACAAATTTATTATAACCTTACAAACACGTATTTATATTAATCCACTGGTCACTATTATCGTTATAACTAATCAACAGCAGCTGCCAGCCACCACCACTACTACTAGTCATTGATGAATATCACAATTTCTCATTTTTATGTTTTTTTTTTTTTTTCATATATAAAAATAAAATTTTAAAATATGAAATGTCTATTACTCTAAATATTTTATAGTCTTATAAATTATTCATTTTAATATTTATAATATTGCAACCAAACAATAGAAAATAAGTTGTTAGGAAAAATATTTTTCAAAGACAATTTTTTTTCCGGAAACAAATGGAGCTGAAATGTGATGGTTTTATTTCTTCTTTACTTTTCAGTATAATTGGAATAACATCTATTCAAATATCTGACTTCTGGCCATCAAGAGTCTCATAGGTGAAATTTAATCAATTCATTTGAAGTTGTGCTGCTGTAATCTACCCTGTGCCTTTCTGCTGCTCATTTTATGGATTGGCCTTGTCAAGAAATTTATCGTTTGTCGAAATGCAGGAGGGGCTATTACTTCAGAAAATGGCTGTTTTTCTCATCCTGTGGAAAGTGTTCCAAGAAATGGACATAACAATACATCTCAGCTAAACCTGGAACGCAGATTAATGGATAGATCTTCGGCAAATTTCAGGTTGGAAGGTCCACAAATTAACACTTCCCTCTCCAGGCCCTATTATGATGTCTTTCCACACTTTCCATCCAGCAGAAACTTTAATCCAGCAACAGAGATTAATCCTACCCATGCGCACTCAAATCACTTCAATAGCCGCATTATCCATGAAGTTGATGGTGGTCTCCCAGATGGTACCATCAGCACCAGAAGAGGACCATTCAAGAGAAAAATCCCTAGCGTCACATATGAAAGCAGCAGCACATGCAAATTTTATGGTGCAGGAAGTTCCTCCAACAGCTCCAACTCTTTTCAACTTCAGCCTGGGAAACCAAGTTCAGATTATAGAAATCACTCTTCAGTCTCCATTGGCTTGCGTCCCCATAGGAGTGCCAACCTGTCAATTGGTGCTGAAGATTCTTCTAGGAATGTGAGAAGCAGATCTAGACTCGATTTGGAGCCCATGACGAGAAGAAGTTATTCATCAACTTACTCATCTCATCCTTATGGTTTGAACTTCCATCTGCAAGACCATCACAGACCAGTAGAGTTTGCCAATTTAAACACACATGCAACTGCTTGCGAAGAGAATCATGTCAGGGTTACTCCTGCACATGGAAGATTTCAACCTTCAGGTTTGTCTAAGATATATTTTCCTTCTATTGTTCTTTAATACATATAGCTAAATGTAATTTATAATTTACAGCAAATAATTCCCTGAGCCCTGAGATGCATCAGTATCATGGAGGGAATACTGCTGATGTTGGTGGTTATTACCATGGACCAACCCCAAGGAGAAATCATGTTTCACCTCCACAATATCTTGACAGTGTCCATTCTCACCTGGTGAGGGAGGGTCCTAGCTGCTATCCCCAAAGAGGTCTTCCTTCACAAAGGAGCAATCTAATTTCTCCAAATCTGGTTCAAGAACCAGCTGCTTCAGAAAATGGTCAGCAGTTTCTTTTGGAAACCTGTCCTTCCAGATATTCAAGGCCATTGTCTGCTCGAGGCTGGCACAGAAGACACAGCGAGGGGAGACCAGATATAGCTATAGAGAGATTTCAGTCACTTCCCAATTCAGTGGATGCACCAGATAGAATAAGATCTGAGGTAAACCATCATTTTTACTTTTCTAAGGAGTGCAGGATTAGTACTCATTCGGGTTCACTGTTTCCACTTGGAATTGTTCAAGTTTTATTCCAAATTTCTTGCTGTTGATATTGCATACATCCCATTGATCAAACAATCAAGGACTTTTCAGCATAGAAATGAACTGTGTTAATATCCGTGTTTATATGCATTGGTAGTTGATGGTGGGTGTAAATTCATTGTCAATATTACATCTTGTATAACTGGAAAGGGACTGAGGAAGAACTGTGGAGATGAATTTATCATGTTCTTTTTCATATCTATATATATATCTATATTAAGAGACACTGGGTACCCTGATATGTGGTTGAATTTTGCTATAGAAGTATGTGCATACTTGATAGAAGGTTGGAAATTTCAAACAAACACAATGGCATGATAAATCAGGGAATTTCTTTGTTCGCTCTTATCATTTAATGTATAAATTTAACAAGGTTAACTTTTGATAATTGCCAACTTTGCCTATTTAAATTAATCATGGATATATTCGGATGCTTTTTTCCACTTAAATTTTCTTTCACCCTACTTCTAGAGCACTTAAGCCAGATTTTTACTTCCGTGTAATTGGTTTTCCAGTTTCAAATGGAGATGTAATATTTCTCATGCATTTGTGATCCTATCACGGGTTTGTTCTGCATATTTGCAGGGTTCCGTGATGTCAGATGGATCATGTTTTTATGGTTCCAGAAATTTATTTGATGAATATCAGGATATGAGACTAGACACTGACAACATGAGTTACGAGGTCAGTATGACTGAAATGATTCACTTGATTAGTTACTTCTCCCATATCTCAACTTTAAATTACTGCCATCTTTGTGCAGGAACTACTTGCTCTCGGAGAACGGATAGGAAATGTGAACACAGGATTGTCTGATGATGCTATTTCAGAGTGCTTGATGGAGACGATATACCCTATGGACAAAAATGAAGAAGAACCATCCTGTTGCATCTGCCTTGTAAGTAATAGTGGACCTGCTACTTATTTTTTATATTAACCAACTTGCAAATGATATTTGAGCAAAAAATGTGAAGTATTTGATATCATTAAAAGATTCAATAAATAAAAAGTGAAACTGCTTGGAGTTGGGAAGGATTGTGCAGTAAGCAGAGTCTTGGAGTGTTTGGCTCGACATGACCAAAGCATGGCAACTATTTACCCAAAGCATGCATGTTTTGAACCTAATTAACACTATCCAAATCAATCCAGCTAGTTTGGTGTTAATAAATTTACTAGTAATTAAATAAAAAAAATTAAAAGTTTAATTAATAATATATTTTATTATAAAATTAATGATCTTATAAAAATATTTATTCATATTTTATTTAATAGATGTTTTATAACTTAATTAATGATGCTACAAAATTACTGATTATATATTTACGGGTTTATATGAATAGGTTCGGGTGTCCAACTTATTAAAACCCATACCCTATCCAAAAAACCAAAAAACCGAAAATCAGAGAACCTCTCTGCCGTATAATTTTGCCTTGAACAAAAAAGCAGCTGTTTCATTTGTGAATGCTTTTGATATCATAAACTTTGCAGGTAGTTATCATCATTGCCCCTCCCCCCAACCCCCCAAAAAAAAAAAAAAAAAAAAAAGATATCATAAAACTTTGCAGGTAGTTATCATCATTGCCCCTCCCCCCAACCCCCAAAAAAAAAAAAAAAAAAAAAATCAGAGGACAAAAAAAAAAAAAAAAAAAAAAAATGCTCCATGTGAGATCTTTAACCTTCTGGACCTTTGCTGGAATTGTGTATTTGACAGGAAGTGTACAAAAAAATGGACAAAGTGGGGAAAGTGAGGAACTGTGGACATGATTATCATGTGGATTGCATCAAGAAGTGGTTATCAATGAAGAATGTTTGCCCCATCTGCAAAGCCCCTGCTCTTACTGAGAGTTCAAATGGGCAATGACTTGTAAATGTGTTTGAATTTTACCAATTTATCTTATTCTTGTAAATACTCATGGAGATTAAAGACAAGTACTATTTGCAAACTATTTGATTTGATTTCAGCAAATTGTCTTATACATGCCAATCGTATCTTGCATGATATTTATAGTTCATTCATGATTAACATTAGGTCACAATTAGGGTTGTAAATTAGTGTATATAAGGTAATAACTATATATATATATATATATATATATATATTATATATATATATATATATATATTATATTGAATAAATTGTTAAGTTGATATATATATTGTAAATTGTTAAGTTGCTCATGAGCTATTCAAAAGCTTGGGTTTGTAAAAAGTCTTTTAAGCTTGTTCGATAAAGCTTAATTAGCTGAGCTTAAGCATGTATATCAAGCTCATTTCGGAGATATATATATGAATTGTAAACTAGGAGTTCATATTGTTCAAATTGATTGTTCTAGTTTGATTACCTTTAATAAGCCAAGCAAGAATTTAACAAAGCTTGACTTGGATCGACTCGTTTACATTCATGATCTTCAGTAGCTTGATTAGCCAACTATTATGGCTCCTGGGGGATTGGATTGAGCTTGCAGTAGCTTTTTTAAAATTATGTTTGTGTTTTCCTTTTTGATTCTTTGTAAAAGCAGTTCGTAAGATCAATTGATCCATTAAGCCAATTAATGGAGTGGTTTGTCTATGGTGGTATCAACTGAACCAATTAGTCAACCTATCGACTGTTCCATTGATAAACTAATCAAGTATTTAAAAACCAAAAGATATGTTCATAAAATGAAAATGAATGATGCAATTGAATGACATATTTCAAGAGATTTCCATTAGAACAAAGAAAGGAATGATATTGGCGACTCCATTTGAGTAGAGTTTTAATTTTAATAAATTAAACATCAATATAGTACAAAGTTGTAAAAATATATAGAATCTCCTGGCTGTGGTTGTTTCCAAATATCTAAGCCATGTGCGCTCTATTTCCATACTATTTCCTCCTATAAAATTATATTTCAAATGTCTTTTCCTTATAAAATTATATTTCTTTATTTCCATTACATATTGTTTCTTTGGATAAAATTATATTTTAAATGTCTTTTTCCTATATAGTATATCGTTTTGGCGCAACATAGTTTATATATATGCGCATCGTAGTTTATTGTAGGTGGATTCCACATTTATGATGAGTTAGGTGTATTGAAACATTTCCAGGGAAAATCCATTTAAATGATCTCTCCAATTACACAAGTGGTGAAAAACACTTTCAAAATGATTTTGAAAAATTTACAATCATTTGTATGAGCTTATTTTGCAATTACAGCAAATAAAAATACAAACTCATTTCATCAGTGAGAAACAGAGGGATGTTGAAGAATTAGTGTGTTTCAGATAACAAGTTTTCATTTGGGTGTGGACTAGAAAGATCCAAACCCACTCAAGACTTCTCTTGAACATTTACAAGCTTTGGCAGTAAAATATTTCACAATTCTGCAGATCAGCTCTCTGATACTACTCCATCATAGTACTGTTTGTGAACCATCTTCTGGTAATCTGCACCAAAAGAATGTCAAATTTCAATTCACAACAACGTGCCAAAGCCGAATATAACTCCTTTTTGCACAAAAGTAAATTATACGCAATATATACATGTGCATAAAAATCAGTAAAGAAGATCGGCACTATCTATATTACATTGCCTTCAACATTTTTCTTAAACATATGAAAGAGCATTGACTGAGATAGACACGTTGGTGTGAGAATAGAATCTCATTCTTTCTCAACATTGCCACAATTCACAAGTGTTTTCACAAACAAGATTATCAAAATTGAAACTCAGGTCCTCCTTCCTTTAATAATTATATATATCCTTCCTAATAATTATTATATATATATTATAGTATATATATATATATATAATAAAAAGATTAAGAAAGGAGGAGAAACTGATTTCAAAATATATATGATAATAAAAGATTAAGAAAGGAGGAGAAACTGATTTCAAAGGGCAGGAAAAGCCTTCTTCTGAAGTAGGCAGTTCCATAATGGCTAACTCTAGTTCCAAAGAAAGGTGGAACCACAACCGAACCACTCACGGGCAATTCTTGAGACAGTTTAAAAACCGCTGGTTCCAGTTCAGTTCTACTCCAGCTAGAATTGAAATCAGACAATTTTTTCAAGTTTTCTTTTTCAATGTTGTAGCATGGATAAATAATATAAAAATACTCCCTCCATCCTATACATATAGGCTTAGTTTCCTTTTTTATTGGTCCCAAAATGTAGTTCTATTTCTTTTATTAAAATATCATTTATTGCACTCCTATTTAATGTACATCTATATTCCTAATTGTATATACATCATTTAATATTATTAGTAGAGGGTACTCTCTAACCACTGTTAACCAAACCAACAGTTTTAGCTCCAAAAAATGAACAACTGAAACTAAATTGTAGGCGCACAGTTTTGGTTCCAGTTTGAAACCAAGAACCACTGACCATTATTTGGTTCCGGTTCAATTTTGGTTTGAAACAGAAAGACGGTTGTGCGTACTATTAATCAAGAACCGGGGGAGCCAAAAAAAGGCTTTCCAGTGTAACTAAATGTATGTCCATCTGACCTTCCTTATTATTCCATAATTTTGCAGCATAGCTGTTAAGAGGACTGTCTGGATTAGGCTCTGCAGAAGAAGAAAAATGTTAGGCAAGGAAACAAACAAAGATGGCTCAAACATAAAAGGAAACAAGAAGCAGACCTCCCAATAGACTTTGAATGGACAAAAGAATGGTTCTGCAATCGTAAGCTGACGACCACTTCTCCTAAAAGACATAAAATGAGACTGTTATTAGAATCACAAGAAAATACATCAAAAGAATTCTGAGCACCCAACAAAATATAACAATTGTCAGCTATATACACAGTATTTCTGAGAAAAATGCCAACAAGAGAAACTAGACTGACAATCTTAGCCACATTTAACTGCTGCAAATATAGTAAATTTCATGATAGTTGTGATCTGTTTTAATCAAAAAATGAGCGCATATGAACTTAGATATGTCATACTGTTCTTCTTTGAGAACAACTTTGATTGAAAAGTTAAATTTTCAAGTTAAACATTTCTGCATCCAAGGCAAGTGATCTATGTCACTCCCACGCACAAGATTTTCATAGACAACATCCACAGGAATAAATGCTTGCTTTAAAGACCCAAATATCAATCCTTCCTAGATATAAGCACAACAACAACAACAAAAACAAAAAAAGTAAAATAAAATAACATAAAACAAAATATAAGTTCATTGATACCTGGAGTATGTCTAGGCATATGTTGCCAAACTGATCAACATTAGGATGAAAGCAACTTGTCTCAAATTTGACTTGTGGTGGTTTAAAGGGGTAGTCCAGAGGAAAACGCAAAGAGAGCTTATATGATAATCCCTCGTACACTGTGCCTTTTCCACCCTCAATTGTGCCAATCCACGTGAAAATGCTCTCCCCTTCAGGAAATGCTGACACGCCGAGATCTCCTCCACTCATCTGCATAAGCAAACACTTTTAAATGCTTATGAAAGCATTTCTCAGGCTAAACTTCTGGTATAAGACAGAAGAAGAAAAAAAAGACAACATTTAAACACCGGAGCCATTTCTAGATGATTACCCCAAAATACATGTTGGAGTTGGAGCACAAATCCAGCCCAAAATTTTCCTCAGGCCAATTTACATACCAAAATATCTTATAAATTAATTCCAATGGGGAATACCATTCCCTGTTCAAAGTAATGCATCTAACCAGAAACTACCTCAGATAAGGCAGTGCCAGCAAGACAAAAAAAGAAATAAAAATCAAGATGAGCTTCAGAAATTGCATTTATACCCCTATCTATGGACAATCATATATATCCATTTCCACCACATATGTAGATGATCATGCTCCAGTATATTGGGTTTCCAAAATTGAGAAGTTTGTTAATGGGAAGAAAAAAGCAAGCACTCAAAACCTTTTACTAAAACAAGAGATGTTTTTCTGCTCACCACAAATACATAATCAACTAAATTATTACAAATGAAGAGTAGGAGTCAGGCAATGCATGAAAACCTAAAACATTTTGTAATAACAACAAATATGGAATATGGAATATGGAACATGTAAATTAAGATTTCTAGTCTTTTCATGGTCATTCAATCTAAAAATTCAAGAATGATAAGCCCAATAGAACAATCGACTCAAGAAATAAAACTAGACTTCATAATGTATACTTCAAATTTAAAAAGGAAGAAGAAAAGGAATTGAGACGCAAGAAATGTGAAAAGATTTTAACATACCATGAGAGACATTAATTCTTTCTGCAACCTGAAAAATTAAAGCAGAAACATGAAAGTCACACCATTAAACGATTACACAAAAAGATACATGTTAATATCACTATCCTATCAAGAATCAATTTACTTTTATATTCTTGTTTATCTTGTCGTTTACAAATTACATGATTTTCTAGGTAACCAAACACGTAGTTAAAGAAAAAAAATATAACAAAACATTATTTAAAGAAAAACAAAAAGAAAAATTCGCAACTCCAATCCAACACACTAAACGACATTGTCGTATTAAAAGTCAATAAGAAATTGAAAAAAAAAAAATCAAAGAAAAACCGACCTTTGAGTAACAGAGGAGGTATCGACCGGGTTAGGAGGAGCAGTGGGCTGCTTCGATGGAGCGGCAGATGAATGGCGTCGATGCTGCGGCGGCGAATTATCAACCGCAGGATTTGGCCTCATTTCCATGATTACAATATCAAGAATTAAGATATTTCTACTTCTGATCAAATTCCAAAACAACGGATCATGTGCAATTAATCAATCAATTAACTTTTTAACTGATTGATCGACAAATTTGCGTTTTTATTTCGTTTCTGTACGGAGATTAGCAATAGCTGTGGTGGTGGTGGTACCAGCGGCCGGGGGTGGCGAGTGTGGTTGAGTTGATTACTTGGTGGTGGAGAAAGGAAAGGAATAGATTATAAATTTAAAATAGACAGCCGCAAGACATGCTTTGCTCAAGGAGTCGCCAACAAATAATTGCGCATTTTTGCTTCTCTGTCTTTTATTTAATTATTTTCTTTTTTTCTCCTAAATAATACTCCAGATTTAATTACATTTATAATTAATCCTCTTAATTATTCTAAATGAAAAAAATTAAGAAATATTAAATTCTTTTCTAAAAAATCCAATTAGTATTTAAAATCAAGATAATTTTGCTTTTCTTTTTTTTTATTTTTTATTTTAAGTTTGTTTGTGTTTGTTAATAAGTCAAAAGCAAGGAATTAATGCTAATAAATTGCAAACAAATGAGATTCAGAAAAATGGGTTTCTAGTATACTCTGTAGGTTTAATTATCATAATATTTTCTTTTTGGAAAATTTTCAATTTGTTAAAATCAGAAGAAGAGGAAAATTCTGCCATCTTCTTGCTTGGAAGAGATAAAGAAAAAAGAATCTCAAATGTAATCCACATATTAATATCATTAATCATCAATCAAACATCGAAATAGTTACAAGTTAAATCACTAATTTTCTTTATCTAAACTTCAATCATTAAAGCATAATTTTCAAACATCAATGTAGTTCTCTCACTCCTGCCTGTCAATAATCCAATTCCATCTATTTATCACTAAATAAACAAATAAATAGGACATAAAACTCAATCTATGAGGTTAAGAACTCCTAAAAAAATTATTTAAAAACTGTATATTACAAAAACAATTAATACAAGTTGCTGCCTGAAAAAAGAATATATATATATATATATATTTAAAAACTGTATATTACCAAAAACAATAATACAAGTTGCTGCCTGAAAAAAGAAGTATTATATATAATATTATATATATATATAACCAGAAAAGGAAAAAAGAAAAAGGAAAAATCCAGTATTTATTCAACCTTCCCAGCCAATTGTTTATATAACCAGAAAAGGAAAAAAGAAAAAGGAAAAATCCCAGTATTTATCAACCTTCCCAGCCAATTGTTGCTGAGATCCTGTATATATTCTAGTGGAATTACCAGGATTGAGTGTGTCATGTTCTCATGTACAAGAAAATGTACAACAAGATACAAAATTTACCCTATAGAAAAGGAAGAATCAATTCTTGAAGGTGAACTCCCGTAAGCTTACGCCAATTTCATGTTGAGTTCTTATAGAACCAGGAGCAGGAGGCAATTCCATTGTGCTTGGTTCTTGAACTACAATTGCAGTTTCATTTTGGTCCCTAGCATCAGGACTTTCACTACCTTCAGGTTCACCAATAACTTGTTGATTGTTCAATGCTTCAGGATCCCAATTATCTGCTTCATAGTTAGAATTCCTTGGAGAAGCTTGTAAGCTATTAGGAGCTGTACTACTACGGTAGTTATGCAGAAGATGCACCGGTGACATGCCATATGTTGGCGTTTGAGGCCTACTTGACATTGGTGTATGAGACTCTGAATGTCTGCTGTGTTTAGCTTGTTTTTTAGCTGTATGATGCCAGTTCTTAAGCGCAGCTGCCACTCGATCATTAAATACTGTCGGTCTCATGCTTGAACCCATCTGTATACAGAAGTTTGAAGCTTTTTATGACTAAAATATATGAAAATTCACTCTGAACACAAACTCTAATCACTTTCAACCAGTAGCTTCAACAATGCACACTCTTATTTATATGTTATTGGAAACTATTTTTTCTCACCTGTGTCACTAAAGCATAGAGAGGCAGAGTCACATAACTGCATAGTACTTGTATAATGACCCTGAAATATTCCAATTTCGGATTATGTCAGCAACTATTAGTTGATTCATGGAAGTAACTTTGCATAGGCCTAATACAACTTACCCCATTGTGACTTTGATCACAATATCTTCTGTTTTATCATGGTAGCAACCTTTCGATCCGACTTTCCACTGATAAGTGCCAAAAGGAAAAAGAAAAATCAGAAGAGAACAATTTAAGAAAGAAAAAAGTATGTTAGACAAAATGACTTAGCAGAATATGCTTACCAGGCTCCAGATAAAGAGAGCTAGTTGAAATGCGTTCTGCAATACAAAAGTTATTGAAAACAGAAATAAGTAGAAATTAAGAGAGATAAATTAGTACTTGAACAGCAAAAGTGTTTAGAAGTACCTGAAAGAGAACTAAGTGAATAAGGAAGAGAATGAGGCGTGGTCGACCAAACCAGAAAAGATCATCGCCTGGTTTAACAACAGGAGCACCCTTAACTACATCTCCTCTATCTTGAATTCTTAGTCCCATTTGAGTTATAATCACTTGTAACTTGGCCCCAATCAGTAAAACTACCTGCAAAAATTTCCAAATTTAGAGTGTGAGCTCTATATTCTCATTGACAAAAAATAGGCATGAAAAACAAACATTATGTATGATAGTTCTTACCACTAGTGGGATAAATGGCAGCCATAGATAAGCATACCAACCTGCACAACAAATAAAAAAAAAAAAAAAATTAATTTCAGAATAAAAATCTTCGTTATTGAATCATATTTATGTAATATTATCATTATTAATTTGACTGGAAAATAGTGCTTACCATGTGTACTGGTCAGTAGCATCAAACAAGCAATAAACCAAATAACTGGACTGCATAAAATACAAAGAAAATATTAGGATTCCATGGAAGTATGAACTTATTATGCCATTAAATATGCTTAGAAGCACTACTAACCTAATTCCCACCACAACTTTGAAGTCCTCTTCAAGTGATCTATTAATGTATTTTTGGAAGTCAAATCTTGTTTCACTTCCTGGAGCCAAATGTGCCTAAAACAGAATACTTCAATCAATAAGAAATGGGTATTTCTTGTTATACCAGAATAGTATATTACATATATATGTGTTTTTAACTTACTGTTATAAATCCATGTCTTAGTGTCAAGTAATCAATTTTGGTAACAGATCCAAAGAACTGTCTAAAGAAACACACCTGATATTGACACCAACAAAAGAAAAGAACCATAAATTTTCAAGGCAAGATTAGGACTTGATACTAATTAAGCAGAGTTCATGAAAAATTCTTGAAGGATAATCCGTTTACAGTACTTACAATCCAAACGAAAAGTGTTGACCGACTCCATAGTTTCATATGTCTTCTACCAAATGATGTATCCCTTGCAAATCTAAACCTCTCTGGATCTGCAATTCAAAAGTCCATTAACAAATTAGTACGAGATACCTTAGTGTTTTACTGAAAATTGCTGTTACTGAACTATAACACAGAAAACGGCCTCTCTGTAAGAGCAGGAAGGGGATACATGCATCAACGCTCCCTAAAAGCCCACAAATATGAAATGTTTCGTGCAGTGGATATCACCCTTTTAACCAGATATTAAGCTAAGTTCTGTTTATCATTAAGGTTAAAGATGCTTTTTTTGAAAAAAATGAGATAGGTACAGAAAGAGTTCAAATGGGTTGCTTCCAATAATCCCAAATGTTAATAGCTTTCAAGTGATAAGGACTTACCATTATGGTATTGATATTCAATTGTCTTTGTCTCATCTTCCCATGCCTTCCATTTTCTCATCTGCAATCAAAATGATTAATATTAGACATAAGAAGTCATCAAGAAAGCAAAAAAGAAGATAAAAGAAGGGTAACTTTAGTATTTACCTTGGTTTTGCCCAAAATATAGGTAATTATGCAGTAGAGCACATGAACAACTGCTAATACAAAGATGAAATAATGAAGCTGATCAATACCATATGCTGATACAAAGGCAACTGTATTCTCCTAAAAATATGCAAAAAGTAAACGAAGTGTTAGAAAATTATTTGATCAAACACATTGTAGCAAGAAATAATTAATAAAAATCTTGTTCTTACCTTATCCTTACATTTATTCTCGTATTCTTTAGCTTTTTCTTCATCTACACACGGATGCCAAGAAGATGCAACGCTTTTTGAAATGCAAATTTTAGATATAGGTTCTTGGAGTGCAGTTAGCAGCAAGGATATAAGTCCCATAAGCATCAACTCTGCAGAAAGAAACACTCCCAGGCATAGTCTGGCAATAAGTATATATCTCATATTAAGTTCTTTTTAAAAGAAAAAAAGAAAAAAAATTATCTCACCTGCTTTAATCTTTTCAAGAGCTTCAACAAGAGCTGGTTTATGCATTTTCTTGAACCACTATAAAAATCACAAAAAAAAAACAGTAATTAGAAACTATTACAATAATGAACTAATTAGAAAATTCAAATATATATGTTCTAGAAACTATATTTACCTTTTCTGCCAAATGAAAAATATGCTCAATAAAGATTGAAACAGCAATCATCACAAGGCAAACAACAGCAACAGCCCATGTTGGTGTGTCACCCAAAGGACGTTCATCAGCTGTAGCCATGGTAGTGACTGAAAAGCTTGTTGTTGATTGAAGAAAATGTTAAATGAGAACTAAAAGAGACGAATCTTATAAGCAGAGACTTGGGTTAGTCTGTCTATGTATATATGTTTGTTTGGTTTTCTGTAAGAGAAAGAGATAGTCATTTATGATACATAGTCATAATTAGAATGGTAGAGGAAGTAAACCAAAGAACAAAAACTTTGACTTTGTCGAGAGAGAGAGAGAGAGAGAGAGAGAGAGAGAGCATCAGCGTGTCTTAACTAAACTCTATCCAAGTTTGAATGAACAAAAACAAAGACACGAGGCAAAAAACAACAAAACACATATAAACAATAACCTTGTAATAAAAAGGAATTTTGGAGAAGAAAATTATTTCCTTAATTTGAGGGGAATTAGTCCTAATTAGTTGCTCTTGTAATGAAATTTTGGACTTTGTGGACTCAATTACATAATTAAATATTTTTTTTTTATATTTATCAGTTGTGGCTCAGTTGGCAATGCAAATCAAATATATGGAAAGAGTTTTCAAATTGACCTCTATTAAATACATCTACAGGGAGAGGCAACGAGTCTTAACAACTCCAAACTGAATACTGATGATTTTTTTATGTATAAATATTTTAATTATAAACTGTAAATGAGTCAGAGATGGAATTTGAGTTAATTTTTCAAACCTCGAATATATATTTAATGAATTGAATTCCAACTCAATTTTTTACTCTCACCGTTGAAATTTCTATTAATAGGCAATTATATTAAAGTAACACGCTTTCCTACTTCTCATGTAGTATATTATTTCCTCAATTTTGTTTGAAGGGTATAGCTTTTTTCTTGACCGGCATTTGCATTTTTATACCTTTCTATCGAAAGATTCAATCTTCATGAACAAAGAGATTAATGTCAAAGAAAAATTAAATGTTAATCAACTCTTTATATTTCATTTTATTAGTTGAATAAGACAATTAAACTGTTGATTGACGTATGAACAAATTCTATTTTATGTTATTATATTAGAAAAATATACTCAGTTTAGCAAATAACACCTGAATAAATAAATTAATATTAATCTAAAACCTTCTGCGCATTACATGATGAGAAACTTCACCTTTTTGAATTTATGACAATGATTAACAATTTTTAATTGTCATTAAGTATATATTAATATTAATTCTTCTGCAGTCAATTGCAAATTAGAGAAAAAAAATTGACTGGTAGTTTACAACTGACATACTTTCAACAATTTTCATTCATATATTTCCACTTTCTTTTCTAAGAATTGCAATTTCATGTCAATAATTAATTAATTTAATTAATAATTATTGATTTTTATCTTAGGCTTAGCATTATATTGTTTTTTTTTTTTAAATACGGTATCCGGACCGTATTACTAGGGACCACCTAATCCAGTTCGATACTTAGTCACATTTAAGACTCTTCACTCCTTTCTACATGTGCGTTTAGTGAGATCGAACATGAGAGCTCTTTCCATATACCCAATCTGTGCTAATTGAACTACAACCCGTAGGAATATTGTTTATTAATTATTAGTATTTATATCATGTACATTTTATTTGTTTATTTTTATTCAACATATTATAATAAATTTAAGTATTAAATATAATTATCCTCTCGCCAAAAAAAAATTATCCTAAAAAAAGTATTAAATATAATTGATATTTGTAGATTAAAAAATTACTAAAGCTTATAGATTATGGGTATAAATAAATATTATAAATAAAAAAGTTTTAAGAAGTTCTTCAAGGAATAAACATCGGCCCCAGATGGTACCTTTTTGGCGACTAACTATTAACAATTTTTTTTTCTTTTATAATAATTAATTAAAATGCCTTAATATGTTGACGAAGTCAGCAAAAATACAACGATGCAGTCTCAACTCGGAAAGTCAAGCTTTGACTTTTATTTCTGGGTCAGAAAACATTTTACTGTATGTCCAAGTTTATTACACCCTCCGTCCCATTTTATTTACATAATTTGATAAAATAACCATATTAAGGATTAAGTCAGTAAAATTTATTTTGTCTTTTCTTACTCTTAATTCATTAAAATATTAATAAAAATCTTACATTTAATGAACAATCGTAAATATTATTATAGAAAAAATAATTCTTTGCATATCTAAATTTAAAAACCTTATAAATATTTTGAAATATCCAAAAAAAGAATAACAAATAAACAAAACGGGATAGAGGAAGGATTAATATTTGAGAGTGTAACTGCAAGGGATCATAAAACTTTTTCTTCCTCTCCAAAAAAAAAAAAAAAAAAAAAAACCTTTCCAAAAAAAAAAAAAAAAAAAAAAAAAAAAAATCCCTTTTCAACATCATCAAGGACACATTATTTAAGCTAGCATATCTGGTCTATCCTCATCTAACTTGAATTGCAATTTTTGGTATATAATAGCACAAATTTAAAAATATATATTATTGAATGTTAATATAGGACAAAAACTAAAACTTTTAAAGCATAAAAAAATATTATCACCAAAATATTTAGATAAAACTTTATTTAACACAGGTGGTTTCAAATACACCAAATCAATCAAAAAAAAAAAAAAAAAAAAAAAAAAAAAAAAAAATCCCTTTTCAACTCATCAAGGACACATTAATTTAGCTAGCATATCTTGAGTCTATCCTCTCTAACTTGATTGCAATTTTTGGTATATAATAGCACAAATTTAAAAATATATATATTGAATGTAATATAGACAAAACTAAAAACTTTTAAAGCATAAAAATATTTCACCAAAATATTTAGATAAAACTTATTTACACCAGGTGGTTTCAAATACACCAAATCAATCAAAAAAGTAATTTTTAAAAAATATTATTGCTATATCATTTTTTTTTTCAATATATGTTTAGAAATACCCTTATTTGAAACAAAACATTGTTTATAATTAATTCGGTGTAAAGGTTGATCAATACACTAGGTGTAGGTAAGTTTTTTCCAAAATATTTACTCATAAAATATGATATCTGTATATTCCACTTTAATAGCAGCATTTGATTTTTTGACAAAGATTAAGAAAATGATTAGAACACGTTGATTTTCTAAAATGTATGGTAGAAACCCTAAATTGCAATTCTTAATATTAAATATGGGTAAAATTGAAAAAAAAAAGTTTATTTGTTGCTATTAAAGTGGACCAGATAGGTTCATAATTATCTAATTACTATTTTTATTCCATAATATTTGTTACATTTGAAATTTCACGTCTTTTAAGAAAACCGTTAAATTTATGTAAGTTACAATAAATTATTGAGAAATGACTATATTATCCTTAATTTAATATCAATTTCTCTAAGAAAATCATTAAACTGAAGTAATAATTATTGATTATATACAAAGAGTAAGCACGAAAAAAAAATCATTAATTTAATGCTAATTCTTTAAGAAAATTATTAAATTAAAGTAATAAGTATTGGTCATATACAAAGAGTAAACATAACAAAAAAAATTTATTACTTATTTAAATCACAAATATAACAAATATTTTGAAACAAACTATTTTATTAAATGTGATAAATATTATACAAGGGAGGCAGTTGTATTTTTTTAAAATCTCTTTACATACATGTCTTTCCCTATTAAATATTATATTGATTTAGCCATTCTAACCACATGGATGTGTTGTTGACACGTTGTCATTAAGGTCATCTAGTCTTAAAATATCTAAATTTTCTATATTTTTGGACTTGTATAACCAATCAATAATTTGAGAGCCAAGAGGTTTCCCAACTTGGACAACTTGGACTACCAAATACAAAGGAATTGCTAGTTTAGCTTACGCCGTTGGGTTTAGCTTACGCCGTTGGGTTTAGCTTACTTGATCTTTATTGGAGAGTTGATGTGGCTGAGGGATGGGACTTGGTCCTAAACTACAGGGAAAGTTTGGGCAAGGTTTTAGAACTTTGAAAAGTCTTTTTATGGGGCCCTTTGCTCATTGAAGTCCTTAAAAAGTTAATGCCAACTTGGAAATCACTTCTTGGATGGGACATTTTGCTGCATTTCCTAAACTCAATTAAGAAGAGCACAAAATGGCATCCACTTCATTTTGGTTCTCTCTTATGTAGAAGAATGAAAAAAGAAAAGAAAGTAAAGGTGTTTAACCTATAAAAAAAATTCCAATTTGCAAGTTGTTGCAAGAACACTCTAATCCGACGTCCGTTCCTTTGGTGCCCTAATTTAAAAACTTTATAATATTAGCATTCTAAATTCAAAATTAGCTAATATTTAAATAAAAAAACTATTAAAATGAGTCACACCAAATTAGGTTGGATTAACTTAACCAAACCTCCTGAACAATATCAAAACGCATCGTTTTTATCAAATCTCACCATTTTCATTTAGGCCTGTTCTGTCAAAAAATCTATGATCTCTTATCTCATCTCTTCACTTAATTTTTGATGCTTGAAAAAAAAAGAGAGTAAAAGTGGGTATAACAAGGGGCAAGAAATTAAATGCAACAACATTTTTTATATATATATTTTAAGTGATATTTGTTTGTCTTCAGTTTGCATTACGATTCTACTTTTAAGAAAGTAGATTATCCAACTTTTCCGGCACAAAGAAAGAAAATTTTTTAAAATGTCTATTGTTTAAATACATTTAAATTTATATTATGAATATTATCGTATTTTATAATTTGAGAGCAATTTACTTTCTAATAAATTAATTAACATATCAAATACATCCAATTATACTTCCTAGAAAATAATTTCTTTAGAAGTGATTTTCTTGGCAATATACTTCCCAAGAAATAGAAAATTTTGAACTAAATAAGGTCTCAACATAACACATACACTACAAGGGAAAAATGCATGCACCAAAAAGCAATTTGAGTGTCTAAATCAAAGGATTTTATTGGAATATTTCCAATTAGCAAACTTAAGAATCAAATAGGTTTGATTAATCAAAAAGTTTTAAATGAACAAGTCTATGAATTTTTCTTACTTGTAATCCACTTGAGGCTCATTAATATAGTGGTTGGTCCATCAATTGGAAAATGAATTCCCTATTAAATGATACACATTGTGAGTTGCTATCTTTCTACTGTTTTATCTTAATTTTTTTTTTTTATTTATAAAAGTGATGAAGTGTCATTATGAACAATTATCATGTATTGTATTAAATTGGCTTCTCTGTTTGAGTAAAAAGACACTTTCCTTCTATCCCAGTAAGTAAACCTAGTTTGATTTATACATAGACTAAGAAAAACTTATTAATATAACTAAATTATTTTTTTTCTTTAGTTTTTTTTTTCTAAAACACTCTATATTAATTATTGTAATATATAGAATTGAGAATATAGATGTTCATTAAATATGAGTATTAAGAAATTAAATAATAAATAAAAAAGAAAAAAAAATTACGTTTTGAGATAATGAAAAAAAAAAAGTAAGCCTATATATAGAACGGAGAGAGAGAGAGAAAAAGTACAATTCTCATGTATTTAACTCTAATCAAAACTCATAGGGTTTGCTGCTAACATTAATGAGTGTTATAATTTGGTGAAGTAGTACTATTTCATAAAATATCTTGGCCATTTCAATAAATATCTTGACGAATAAGCGTCTGACCTTAATTCTATCCATTGTTAATATGAATAGTAGGTGATAGTGATTACTCTTCCGTTAATTTCAGATTCTGTTTCAGTTTCACATTATTTGAAACTAGAATTGACGATTGGAAATCGTGGCCACTCTTATTAATTTAAAACCATTTCAACCAATTCAATTGCACCAATAATCCCAATTACCACCCAAATTATCTCATACAAACAAAAAATCAATATTATTTATAATAAATAGAATAATTTACGGTTTTTATTTCCCTCTGAATAATGGTTGGGGAGTGTTATTTAAAATCAAAATAGGAGATTTTTAAAAAAATTATTTCTAATATATATATTTTTTTCAAATAAATGGTAAGAAATATTTTCATATTAATAAATAATTATTTTTTATATTTGATGGATCCATAGACCAGCACCACGCAAGTTAATAAATCAGTACTACCAAATTTTTATTTCTGAGACATGCCGTGTGAACTCTTGTGATGGAATGAAAATTTTGACCTCACTCGAAGTCAAGCTCACACAGGTTGACTATCTTCAAGTACATAATATTTACAGCTGGCCTTATTTTTTCTTTTTTCATTTTCTTTTTTAAATTTCTTTCTAATTCGTTGCTTTGATTTAAAGATCAATCGCATAATATATTTCAAAATTTGTGACTTTTTTCAATTTGATTTTATTTTAAAAATTTGAGCTATTTTATTCTAATTGAAAAGATTGTTTACCATTATACCCTATCAAATTAAAATTGGAAAAAAATATATTTTTTTCTATAAGAGAGCGAAAAATAAAAAATTATCAACTTATTTTTTATTATTTATATTAAAGCTTATATATATATTTTTTTTCTATTAAGAGAGCGATACATAAAAAATTATCAACTTATTTTTTAATTTATTTATATTAAAAGCTTATATTATTATAATAATCATATACTATATACTATATTATATATATCATATATATATATATTTATATATATATATATATATCCTTGTTAGAATAGGACACCAGTCGAGGGAAAAATTTTAATTCCACAAGATGATAAAAAATGATTTTGACGGAATTATATATTTGTCTGATTGCGGTAGTTTAGAAAGGATGGCACTGTATTATTGGGGGAATGGTTGGACAAAAAGCAATTGACATATTAATTAACCATATAATTAAGAATGAGAATTATTCCGATGTCAGGATCAGAAGAATATGTCACTGTTAATGGATTTTATTTAGATATTTCTAATTCTTTATTAACTATATGTATAATTAATTGCTTGTCTTCACACTTATCATCATATATCCTTGTAGAATAGGACACAGTAGGGAAAATTTTAATCACAAGATGATAAAAAATTGATTTTGGGAATTTATATTTGTCTGATTGCGGTAGTTTAGAAAGGATGGCACTGTATTATTGGGGAATGGTGACAAAAGCAATTGACTTTAATTACATATAATTAGAATGAGAATTATTCCATGTCAGGATCAGAAGAAATGTCACTGTTAATGGATTTTATTAGATATTTCTAATTTTATTAACTATATGTATAATTTAATTGCTTGTTCTTATCATCTAATTCAATAATTTAGAGGGAGAAATTGAAATTTTAATAAATTATTTAAACCTATGACATATATATAGTCGCGACCTTGATTAGTTTAGGGAACTGGACGGCCAAAAGCCAATGTCTTCTTCCACAATTATAAAAATGAACGAATTTTTGGAACCGTACACCAAAAACTTAAAAATATTTTTAATTTAAATGAGAATATTTACTTAAAAAAATAATAAAACAGTAATAATTTTCTAAAAGCGTTTTATTTGGTAGGCAAGTATTATGTAACATAGAAACAAAGTAAATTGAACTAGACCGATTCAATTTATTATTTCAATTAAATCATTTTGGTTTGATTTAAGTGGTAAAAGATTTCGGTTCATTTGGTTCAACTGATTCATTTATAGAAATTAAATAAATTTTTCGATATCATAAAAGGATTTGTAAATATTTAACCCAAATTAAAACCAGTATGAGTATTATATATTGAATAAATAATTATAATTTTTTTTTGCAATTCATTCTTAATGTCTTTTATAAATAATTTAATTGTTAATTGAAGCTATACAAAGTAAAAATAGAAAATTTATTAAAAATGGTAATTTAGTGGAATCCATCATTAGAAAACCAATGTCAAAAGGGAAATAACTTAACACCCTCTATGCATTTAAATTTTAAAGAATTTAAGTAATGTCAAAACTCAAAAGGCAAAGTAAAATAAAGTGAAAGGGGCATAAAAATCTTTGGACAGTAAAAGTGAAATCCATCTTTGTACAAAGAAAAGGAAAGAAAGCAAGAGAAGACTTCTAAACAACTGAATTGTCTCATCTTTTAATCACCATCAAACATTGACCACAGAATTTGCAAAAGCACCATATTAAATTAGCCTTTTTTTTTTTTTTACTTTTTGACCTTTTTTTACTACTACCAAAGTTCTTCTCTCTTGTCATGCCACCATCTCCACCTGTTCAAAAGTAAATCAAGAGAGAGAGAGAGAGAGAGAGAGAGATTAGGCCCACTTGTGAGTTTGAGAATAGATTTGGCCCATGAAGTATACACTTAAATTTATTATAATTATTTTAAAGTAAATATAAAAATCTATTAAAAGAACTCCATATCTAATATACTAAAAATAAAATTTTAAAATTTTTGCGACCAATATCCCTATGTGTTCTTGGTTGATTAATCTATTATCTAAAAAGTAAAATCAGTGTTAATTTCCTAAATTGTTCAATAATACCTTATTTTCTCTTTTCTTATTTGAACTGGAAAAAAAAAAAAAAATTTTTTTGGGGGTTCTTTCCAATAATAATCCCTAAAGTTAAAAAAGAGGTAAGTTGCAATAAGATAAAATTAGTGAAGATGTTTGATTAACTTACCAATGATAATCCCATCTGGGCCTGACTTTGCTCATCCTATTTTCTCCATAAGGGTAACCAGTTTCAGCCCTTCTTGTATTTCTAAAAGCACAACATCCAACTGAATAGATTCCAATTAGAATAAGAAGCATCACAATATTTAGGACTGAGAGCTTGTGCCAATCCCTTCTCACATCTTCAAGCACTCCAGCTTTGCAAGAATCACATTCATAACATAGTAAAGTTGGGGCATTGTTCCATCTATAGCAATCTGGGTCTTGTGGCACCAATGTTGCCATGTTGTAGTTACATGCTGTTGGTGGCTTGCAACATCCAGACTGCACCAAAGGAAATACTTAAACAACTTCAAAATTGCTCTTTTTAGCTAATTTAAGGGTTTGTTAAGTAAAACTAGCTATTTATGTAGCTGTTAGCTATTTTAGTAGTGTTTAACTCTTTGAGTAACCATTAGCTTTTAGAACAGTTTTTTATAAAACGCTAAAAGTTAAATGTTATAAGAATTAACCTTTTATAAAAACTTATCATCTTAACCTCTAAAATGTAGTAATAACGCTTTGTTCCCGAACACTATAAAAAATAATATTTAGTCAAAACGTTAAAAGATATTTAAAAAGTAGTTGCCGAACATAAACTAAGTAAAAACATAATATTCTCATTATGCTAATAGTTAATTTCCGATCAAATATGTAAAAAATATATATACTTTTTTAAAGAGCAAGAGAAGTTCAAACCCAGATAGTCCCCTTTTAAGAATTGTAGATATTTCATAATATAAACAAACAGAGAATTTGTATTTAATAATTAGGAAGTTTCAAAGTTCTAATTACAGTAAAATAATTTATCACAGAATAAAAAGAAAAAGCAAGTAAAAAGAAGTAAAAAAGTTACCAAAAATAGCCAAAGAAAGATTAATTCAACTGCACTAATAAATACACTTCAATTAAGAGGTTTTCAGATTTAAATTTCACTGATGAAAACAAAAAAATAGAAACAAATATTTTAAAAAAGATTACCTGAACAGGAGACATATCTTTCTCCATATAATCAAGAGGAGTCCAAGAAGCAAGCTTGGCGCAAGTTTTGGAACCCAAAATGCAACTTCTAATTGTTCTCCAGTAGTCAGGATCTTTAACCCTATCTCTCAACCAAGGAGAATAATCTTCAAGCCTATACTCCTTGTACACCTTGCCAGACACTTCAACACCTCCACCTTGACTAGTCACAACAAACCCAAATATAGTTAACCCCATTAAGGCTGCAATAAGAAACAACATAACCACTAAGTACACCCAAAGTGCCCAAGCTACATGAAAACAAGCTCCAATGAAGCCAGCCAGTGAAATTATGAGCACCACAAAACCCACAACCAGAAGTGGGGTTTGAAGGAAACTTTCACAAGTTGTGCTGCTCTTTGCCATCCATAACCCACCACCAATAATTGGTATGGAGGCTAAGAGAGTGAAGAGATTCAAGAAACCAATGACTGTGTTGCTAAATCTATACATGTCTTTTGTCTAATATGTTTGTGTATTGCTTCTCTTTTAATAATTAAGCTAGCTAGCTATTCTCTCTCTCTTTCTCTCTTCTCTTTATATTCTTGCTTCTTTTCTTGTTATGGTGTCTTCTTCAGCTTTTTTTTGCCCTTTTAGAGGGTGGTAATGCTTTTCTTTATTATTATATGTTTCCTAAAAGATTCAAGAATTCAAATTGCAGCAAGATATCCTGTTTAGCCCTTGAATTTTGCAAAAAAAGTTCAATTAGGTCTACTATTCTCCTTACTTTAATTTAAATCAATTCATGAACCCCAAAAGTTCAATTTCTAGTCAAATATACTCTTACATAGACAACAATCTGTACAAAGCAGTACTTGCTAAATAAAAAAGGTTTCATTTTATAATTTGTTACTGAATAAGCTATTGAATGTGCAAACGACGGACAAAAAATTTTAATTAAAACTTGGTTTTGAGAGAAAAAATAATTATTATCACTTCCATAGACTTGGGTTTGCATAATGCAAATGAGCTTGCACTTACATGATCTGCATGATGACTTATTTGATTAAAAATTGAAGTTTAAATTGATTCAAATCAAATAAGGAGACTCAATTGAGATTTTTGGTAAAGTTTAGGGACTAAATTGAGTTTGTATCCATTACAAATGTTTACCACCTTTCTGTATTAGCTTTGAGATGTATTAAATTTATTGAGGAAAAAAAAAAAAGACCTTTATTGATGTATATGTAGAATCACTAAATTACACTTCTTAGTGAGTAAGGAACTTTGTTAAACATGTTAATTGTCTAAATTGCCCCGTAACACTACAAGAAATAACAAAATTAACAATAAGTAAAAAAATATACTTTTTTCTGATTTTTCTTTATTTTGAAGTATGGTATTCTCTTTTAAACATCAAACAAGTGATGAATTATGGAGGTATTTCAACCGCGAGATTTCATCCAAGGACACTATAATTCTCTTATTTTTAATTTTTTAATAAATATTTTGTTTTTATGAGATTATCATTTCAATTCTATCTTACTTACTTACCGCTTCACTATATAATTTTTAATGAAGAACTATGGAAAAAATAACTAAGTTATGTTATATTAATCCCATGTTCGTTCTTCAAATATTTTACTTTGTTTTCAGATACTTGACATTGGTGGGAATACAAATCCAAATACGAATGATACTGATTCAATAAATCAAGGACTAAAAAAGAGAAGTCAGTTTTTTCAAATTCAAATTTTAGATTCAGATAACGGGAAATCTCATATCTTCTCATGCATGACCACATATGCCTTCTAATTGATAAATCACATTTAGAGCCAAAGATAGAGCGGACTATCATGTAAATAAACCCACTTTCATTTAGACACATACGGAATTAGTATTTACTGATTTACTTCATAAAATCCAGAACACTCTACTTTTTTTTTCCCATGAAATATTCTTTAATAAAAATATAAAGCTAATTAGTAAAGGCATAAATTCATATATGCAATGCATAAGGCAAGCAAAGAATTTATAGATGAGAAGGCATTTATGTAATTTCCATAATTGTGGCTTTGTGGATTGCTTTATAGGTATGGACCCTATTTTAGCTTTCTTCTAAAGCATGATCAGAATCAGAATTAGGTTATACATATACATATATTTGATGCTTTTCTCATCTCTTTACGGCTCCACTACTCCTCCTTTTATTCTTAATGGCTAATTTATTCCCAATTTACCAATAATGGAAAATTAATTCTCTCCTAATCATGTTTCTTTTTTGTAGTCTTCTAGATGCTAACTAAATGAAAAGACCATAACACATTTTTTATGTACCTTTCTTATTCTTTCCACGTTTGAAAGAAACTAGTGGGGACATAAACTACCTCTAAATAATTCAAATTTGTGCTACTTTTTTTTTTTTTTTTTTTTTTAAAAGACCATAACACATTTTTTATGTACCTTTCTTATTTCTTTCCACGCTTTTTTGAAAAGAACTAGTGGGCACATAAAACTACCTCTAAATAATTCAAAAATTTTGTGCTTACTTTTTTTTTCTTTTTTTTTTTTTATAAGCCGAGAACCTTTATTATTTTTTTTTTTTTTTTTTTTTTTTATAAGCCGAGAACTTTATTAATGCTGAAGAGGAAAACAACTTGAGCCCAAGATAACTACACCTGAGCCGAACAGACTCACCCAAAAACACCCAACGCCTGACTTGGGACAAGAAACCCATAGAGCTGCAACAACATTAAAATTGAAAATAGAGAACAGAAAGCAGCAGCACTATGGTGTATTACAGGTCAGTATATATAATCTGCGACATTTTCCAAAGTAGAGAGCAAGAACTTGACCCGCATGATTTCTAAGTAAACCACCTATACCAGCTGGACCAAGTTTTCCAAGAGAGGAACCATCAACATTCCATTTGTGATGAAAGGGAGGAGGAGGAGGAGGAGGAGACCAGAGCAATGATGTTTTTAGCTTCTTTCGAAAGGACCAAGATTGAATTACTGAGCTTGAAGAAATTACTTGATTTAGAGAAGAGGGAAAATCATGATTGGTAGTTTTGATCCAGACAAATGCTCTAAACATTATGAAATCAAATATTCTGTCTTTGCGGATACTGTAATTTTTCAACACAATTCTATTCCTTTCAAGCCATAAGGTCCACAAGATAGAGAAAAATCAAGTTTTTCAAAATTTTTGTTGGAAAATCCCCATGATAAAGAGCTCCATTGTATCATAAATTCAGTAAGATTATTTGGGTTGCAAAAAACAAATCCCCACCAAGCAAGGCATTTGCACCAAGTGCTCCAAGAAAAATTGCAATGTGAAAATAGATGTTCGCTGGTTTCAGGAGAAAGATTACAGAGAGGGCAGCTTACTGAATTAGGATCAAGAATACCTTTGTGAGCAAGTGAGTCCTTTGTGTTTAAGCCATTATTGAGTAGGAACTAAAAGAACAATTCAACCTTTGGAGGAGCAAGATTTGACCAGCAATAATTAAAAGGAGGAGAATTTAAGGGAGAAGGTATCAATCTACAAGATTTAACAGAGTAGCAACCGCTTGAATTTGCTGTCCAAATGAGGCGATCTTTCAAATCCTTTGTTTTATCTTGGTGGAGCTAATTAACGAGAGTAAGCCGTTTACAGCAGCAAGTTCTCTGTCTAAGAGAGGTCTGCTCCAAGAAAATGACCAGGTCCAAGAGTTACCATTCCAATATCCAAATTGATTGATATTGCCCCATTTATTTGCTAAGAGGATAAATAGTCGGGGAAAGATTGACTTAAAAGAAACTTCCGATGCCCAGATATCCAGCCAGAAACTAGTGTCAGACCCATCACCAATAAAGATTTTGATATTAGAGAGTGCCCAGGATCTAAATCACCCAAGTTCCATAAGTTTTGGATGGAAGACCATAGAGAGCTATAGAGGCAAACTGTTAAGGACCGACTTGATTAATACAAGTCTTCCAGCTTTAGAGAAAAGCTTCCCTTTCCATGCGGCTAGTCTGTCTTTAACCTTCTGAATAATTGGTGCCCAGGTACTTATTTTTCTTGGACTGGCTCCAAGAGGAAAGCCAAGGTACTTAAGGGGCCATGATCCAACACTGCAATTAATTGAGTCCGCAAGGGACTTCAAGGTATGATGTTGGATATTGATGCCAGGTAGGCTGCTCTTGAAGAAATTTATTTTTAGTCCTGACAAGACTTTAAAGCAGTGAAGGATACGCTTGACATTAAGGAGGCTTTGATATGAGCTATCACAGAAGATAAGTGTGTCGTCTGCAAACTGAAGGTGAGATATGGATTGCAAATTGTTTCCAAGATTGAAGCCATAGATAGTACACATTTATCTTCAATAATTTTACTCATTCTTCTTTTTTACATTCGAGTCAATCTCAAATTCAAATTGAATCTCAATAAATGAAATTTGATCATCAAAATATTCAATTATAAAATTTGAATTTAGCTCCTACTTCTTACCATATTGCAACTAATGATTTGAATAGGTATGAAAAAAAAAAAAAAAAAAAAAAAAAAATGATTTGAATAGTATGAAAAAAAAAAAAGAAAAAAAAAACTAAAAAAAAAAAAAAAAAAAAGAAAAAAAAAAACTAAAAAGAAAAATACAAGATTAGACAAATTAAGAAGAAGTCCTTTAAGTTAATGATGAGGCATGGGCTCATTTTTTAAAAATTGGTTCAACAGTAAAAATGCAAGTCTAGGCTGAGTCAAAGGAACCTCATGTCCTGCTCCCCTCACTATCAAATAGGTCAAGCCCTTGTAAACTTGACTCCAACCACCAACCTAAACCAATCCAAAACAACACAACATCTTATTAGGAAAGAAAATTGTTAGTACTATTTTTTATATGCACATTAAACTTTTCATTTAATCCATTTTATTAAATATATATAATTATAAGATTTAAGATAAAAATATATTATTAAATTCACAATCACAGTAAAAAAAATATTAATTTGATCCGTAGACGCCAGAGACTGAATTTAAGTAATTCATTTTTTAAAATCTAAATTATGTCGAATGCGATTAGTTAGAGAAGCTAACCTGTTGATTTTCAGCGTACCAAGCATACCAACTTGTGTTGATCTTCAGATTTAAAGCATTGATAGAGTATCTCGTCGCAGTCAAGGGCAAAATTGCATCTGTATCACCGCTGTAGGTAAACCAATATTTTTATTAATCTTTAGCACTTAAAATAAATAAATCAAAAACCCTAATTTTTTATTTAATGATGGGTTTACCTGAAAACCCATATTCTGATGCCAGCTGCAATAAGTTCTTTGAAGATTGGCAGCACCGATTTAGGAGAATCACTCCACTTGCCTCTAATTACAGAACTACAGTGATAGAAAATTGATTATTTTTAATTAATTTTCTTTAAAAATAATAAAATAAAATAAAAAGATTAATTAAATTTTATTATGTACCAGCTAATTGATACCTGCAAGGCGCCCAGAGACGAGGAATCCCAGTTATGTTTGCATGAAGAGCCTTTTGAACCTTTGGACGGTTCATGTATTTTCTTGTGTACTTCACCACACACTCGTCATTTCCTCTGAATTTCAATGCCTAAATTCCAATAATTATTATTTTTATTGCTTCAATCAATATTTCAAATTGCATCAAAATTAAAAATCGAAACAAAGGGTTAAGCATAACACAGCGAAATCAATCAAATCATATTAAACTGATTGGTTCAATTTTAGTTCGATTTTATTTTAATAAAAACTAAATCTTTTTTATTTGATTTGTTTTTATTATATAAAACCAAAGAATCTAAAAACTCTGAAAATCAAACTAATTTAATCAAAAAACTAAGTTATAATAGAAAAATACATCAAAATAAATCTATTCTATATAGTTTTATAAACAGTTTAGTTCGGTTCATAAATATTTAGTTTATTCAGTTCATATTTATTCGATTTAATTTAATCAAACCAGATAAATGCTCACCCTTAAACCTGAAAATAGATCAGGTTTAAGTTTCCCCATCTCTAATGCTTAAAAAGTTTTGAAATTTAAAAAAACAAAAAAAAAAAAAAAAAAAAAAAATTTGAAATTTAAAAAAACAAAAAAAAAAAAAAAAAAAAAAAATCAAGAGAACTTTAAGCCGGCAATTTACCATTGGAGAGGCTTCAACGCAAATTCGTACAACCAGCGCAGACCGGTGGCAGAACAAGCAGGGGCTAAAAATGGTCATAGGGATTATTGTCCAAAACTCAGAAAAAGCTTTCTCTAAAGGGCCAAATTACATCCCATCTTTAGGGACACAAGCTAAAACTGTCATAAAAAAAAAAAAAAAAAAAAAAAAAAAAAAAATCAAGAGAACTTAAAGCGGCAATTACCATTGGAGGAGGCTTCAACTTGCGTACAACAGGAGAGGTGGCAGAACAAGCAGGGCTAAAAATGTCATAGGGATTGATTTGTCCAAACTCAGAAAAAGCTTTCTCTAAAGCCAAATTACATCCATCTTTAGGGAACAAGTAACTGTCATTTGTGCAATATTTCTTCAACTTTTTATATGTAGAATCTGAAATCAAACCATGGTTCCACCAATACTCATGTGTCCCTCTATTATCATGGTAATCATCAAGTAGTGGATTTCCCAACTGCAATTAATTACAATTTTTCAATTAGTAAAGAATTATAATTAGCACATAATCCAAATTTATGGAGATTAAGATAAGTTTACAAGCTATGTTGTTGTCAATTAGAAGGTAAAACATATTTTAGCTAATTTGTTAGTTAAATGTTACCCGGAATAACATTTTATAATCTACTCCTCAATCTTCAAACATTAATATAAAAGTTACGACACTAATTGGTATAAATAATAGAAACAGAACACTAGACAATATCTTAAAAGTTGTTCCTAAATAGAATCTAAGTGATTCGATATTCAACCACTCATTCAAACATGTTTAATTATCATTAGTGCTAATCAAATCCAAAGTGAACTGTCAATTTTTTTTTTTTTTTCAAAAACAATCTAACGAATCAATCAATTTGATCAATTGACTTTACCAATTATTATCTAACCCTAAATAAACTAATTCAAAGTTTGTTAATTTAGGAAACAATAACCTACCAAGAAACCGTGGAAATTAATAACAGGATTCTTGACACCCTTGTTCTTCTGGACAATGATTTGTGATAGCTCAGGAATATAATGGCCTGAAATATAATTAACATAATGTCAACATTTTAATTATTAATTAGAGTTATTAGTTAGTTAATAAAATGTATTTAATAAAAATTTGAGTGGTTGGAGACAAAGAAAACCTGCATAGCTTTCTCCAGCAATGAAAAAAGGCCTGTGCTTGTACTGGGGAAATCTCTTTAGCCAATTAACAAGAAATGTGTATGCATCTTTAGCTGTCCAATATTAATTTAGATACCATTAGGTTAACAAACTTTTGACTCATAAATTTCCTATAACAAGAATTGTACTTGTACATTTACCTGTTCTTTTGTCACCAACATTGGATATATCTGATGAAGTATTTGAATAAGAAAATCCGACACCGGCCGGCGAATCAAGAAACAGCAAATTTGCCTCTGCAACAATTTAATTCACCTCAAAATTTAACCTATTTTACCTAATATATGACTATTAGCTACCACAATCAACAAATTAACGTACCTAATAGAGAATCAAGACCAACTAATTATAGAGATCAATTAATTGAATATTCACCTTTGTTCCAAGCATATGGATTCAAATGGAGGGTCTTGCCATCGGGTCGGACCCGAAACGGGCCAACTTCCTCAGAAGCACCATATGCAATAGATGAGCAACCAGGCCCACCATTGAGCCATAAAACCAGTGGCTTCAATTTGGGCTGGACCGTTTTGGGGGCTTCTGTCAACCAGTAGAAGAGGGCTCGGCCTGCCACTGGGTCCACACTAATGTAGCCAGAGTACTGAGAGAAGTTGACATTTGAAGGTTGCCCTGGCAGCTTGATGATTCTATCCTTCTCTTGCTCTTTGAGGTGGTGGTGGTGGTGGTGGGATCCTGCACCAATAGTGGAAAGCAAAAGACTAGAAAAACTCAAAACAAAGAAGAAAGAGAAAGAAGAGCTCATAATGTGTTAATTGATTGCTTGTAGTAATTGACTTTTTATTAGTTTGTGATAGGAGTAGAACTAAAGGAATGTGTTTATTTCAAAAAATTGTGCAATTTCCAAAGTCACTTATGGTGTTATATATAGTAGTGTATTTTGACTTCTATTCATGCAAACTCTACTTGCTTTTGTTGAATTACATGCTCATATGATGTAAATTAATCAATTTCATGTCCATTCTTATAAGTTATCTAATTGTCAATGTTTGCAAAACTAAACATCCCTATTCTTTATTTTATTTATCTTATTAGGTGAAGATGCTATTAATTCGATTTTATAGAATAATAAATTTATCAGAATTCATAATCATCTTGTTAGAATTGATCTAAACAGCCTAACTGAAATTGTATCGAGTTAAATGAAATTATTATTACTCCCTCTATTTCAGTTTAATAGCAATAAATGAGTATTTTAACTTGTTTCACTTTAATTGCTCATTTAGGATTTTGAAAGCGTACTAATTATTATTTTTTAAATTTTACTCATATTTATTAGGTGTTTTGTACCAAAATGAATAGAGAGCTTTTAATTTTAAGAAAAAAAATTTAGACATTTTACCATATATTTTTAGAAAATCAATAATTCAATCTTTTTTTTTTTAACTTATAGTGAAAAAAAAATCAAATGTTACGGTTAAAGTGAAATTAATAAAGTAATATATTTGACTTGTTCTAATACAATTTTAAGTTTAATAATCGAAAAATATGTCTTTACATATGCTCTATAGGTAGAGCTTATGATCGTAAAATTTAAAATTTTTTTGACTTGATAAAAAAATTAGTCAAATATAAGGTATTCTTAAGAAATTAATAAAAAATAAATAAATACAACAATAATAACAACCACTAAATCTTAACTCAAATTAGTTAGAATTGAAACATTAAATCTTTTGAAACAATATCTAGAAACAATAATAATTGAATCTTTTATTTTTATTTGTAGTCAAATCCATACTAATATTTGGAAGCATTAAATTTTTTGAAATAATTTCTATGCATGTAGTTTTTGATTTACCTCCTTTTTTTATTTAATACTCTCGACCATAAATATATCATATTTATGAATTAGAGTATATAGTAATTTACATATATAGGACATGTCAAACATTAAATATGACATTGAATCTTTCATTAAATAGATTTTTAAATACCACATGAGCTGGTGGCCTGATGGTAACTGCTTGAGCAGGTTCTGATTTTCCATAAGCATATCTCATTATACATTATGTCTAAATATTGACTCTGCTGCTGAGGAGCTTGATCCACTTGAAGTGGGCTTCTTCATGATGTCTAAATATTGACTCTGTGCCGAGGAGTTTGGTTCACTTGAAGTGGGCTTCCTCAGGTTGTCTCTTGTTATTATGGGCTGGACCGCAATGCTATGATCCTACAGGAAGGAGTAGGGTCTCCCACCAATATTCGAGGGATTGTTATGTCCTTTAAAGGTGTCTTAAATTAGGTCGTCAACACCTGTCGGTGGGCTGAGCTGATAAAAATAATGATTAACACATATAATAGTCCTTTTTAAAAAAATAAATTTTTAATTAATCTCGATTTTACCATATGGTTGGTTAGATTTGCAAAACCCAATTTTTAATTTTAATTTTGTTTTATCTGTTTTGGTACAATGCACTTTCCATAACGACCTCAACCACCGAACGAAACGCACTTCTTTTTGTTCAAATAAAACACAGACAAAAAAAAAAAAAAAAAAAAATAAATTTTTTAATTAATCTCGATTTTTACATATGCGTTGGTTAGATTTGCAAAAACCCAATTTTAATTTTAAATTTTGTTTTATCTGTTTTTTTGGGTAACAATCCACTTTTCCCATTAACGACCTCAACCACCGAAACGAAAACGCACTTCCTTTTCTGTTCAAAAAAACACAGACAAAAAAAAAAAAAAAAAAAAAAAAAAAAAGACACAAACAGATACTACTAACTAATTACCTAATAAGTTTGAAACTACGAAAACAAAATAGAAGAGAGTGATGCAATAAATAAAAAAAGAAAACGTATTGTAATGTTAAAATGAGCTGGATAAGATCTGTTTTACCGACCACTTGATTGACTATGACGTGTCGACTATTTTTTATGGCATCAATGACGCACTCTATTTTCCAATATGTAACATCCACGTGGAGCCCGTACTTCAAATACATACCGTTTGATTACTGTTGTAATGAACCCTCGGTTTTAGGACAGGTATTTCTTGGATCGGACAATCAAGCGACAGCACATCCGCCCTCTTTTTCTCGTGTATTTTTAAATAAAAATATTTTTAATAGAAAGTTTAAATTAAATTTGTTTCAAAATAAATACTCCTTTCCTTTAAAAAAAATAATCCACTTTCTATTTTTCCACAGAAAAAAAAAATATTTTAGTTAAATGATAATTTTATTCATATACTATCTCTGTTCTATAATACTTGTCACATTTGAAATTTCACATTCTTTAAGAAAAACATTAAATGTATCTAAGTTAAAATAAATTCTTAAGTAAATTGACTATATTACCCTTAATTTAATATTAATTCTCTATAAAAACCATTAAATTGAAGTAATAATTATTGGTCATATATAACTTCTATAAAAACCGATTTAAACTTGAAGTAAAATTATTATTGGTCAATATTATAAAGAGTAAACATAGAAAAAAATATATATCATATACTCCTTGAAATCACAATTGTACATAAGTATTTTAAAACAAGCCTATCTTTCTCAAAATGTGGACAAGTATTGTGGAACAGATGGGGGCGGGTAATTAACCTTTTCTATTATTACTCACTTAAAAAATACATTGAGCAATTATTATATTGAGATAATAAGTAAAATTAAAAGGGTTATTGAAAAATAAAATAAAATTTTTAATTAAGGCCTATAAGTTAGACAATTTAAAAGATTAACTCATAATTGCAAAAAAAAAAAGTAGACTATATTTAAAAACAAACCAAAAATTGACTATATTACCCTTAATTTAATATTAATTCTCTATAAAAACCATTAAATTGAAGTAATAATTATTGGTCATATATAAAGAGTAAACATAGAAAAAAATATATATTACTCCTTGAAATCACAAATGTAATAAGTATTTTAAAACAAGCTATTTTCTCAAAATGTGACAAGTATTGTGGAACAGAGGTAATAACTTTTCTATTATACTCATCTTAAAAAATACATGAGCAATTATTATATTGAGATAATAAGTAAAAATTAATAAGGGTTATTGAAAATAAAATAAAATTTAATAAGGGTATAGTAGACAATTTAAAGATTAACTATAATGCAAAAAAAAAAAGTAGACTATATTTTAAAACAAACCAAAATGTAAAGATGGATTATCTTTTTGGGATGAAAGCAATATAATATTATAATTTTTTAGGATGTTCATTTTACCTTATCATTATACCTGACCAGAATGGAGTGAGATGATTTTAAAATAAAATTCGAAAAGAGTTCAAGAATTGTCTGTTTGGTTTAAAAAAATTCAGAATGTGAAATTCGTTAAAAAAAAATTTAAGTTAAAATTTACTTATAAATATTTTTTATGTTTGGTATATTTAACTTAAAATATATAGTTCAATTGATTATTATCTAATTATATTTAGAATAAATTAAAATTAAGAATTCACTAACTTTTATTTCATAAAATCATTTTGACATAATAAATTTATGAAAAAAGAATGAATAATAGTTTCATTCCAATTGAATAAAATTATTTTTATAAATAAGAACAAAATATTTACAATGAGAAAAAAAAATTAAAAGTCTATAATATAAGAAAAATAAAATTATTAAATATATAATAATTATAATTTTTATTAGCAATGTAAATATTATATATATATTTCAACAATTATTAAATTGAATTCAAGTTGAATCAAATGATTCTATAAAACATAAATTGATTAAAACTTCAACCAATTGGTTGCATCAGCTTAGTTTAGTCTAGATTTAGAAAACATGATGATACCACATACAGGAAAAATAAAAATAGAACGGTACGAAGAAACTAGTAATTTTATCATAAAATTTTAAAGAGTTAATTTTGTGAATTTTTTTTAGAAATTCCATCTATTTTCATAAAATTAAAATTGAATTCGTAAAATTAAAATCTTCATTTTTTTATTTCAAATAGAAAATTTAGATTTCTAAATGAATTTCATAAAATTTTATGAAATGTTTTATTTTTTTTTTTCCTTTTATGAAATGTTTTAAGAATATGAATTTTGTTATTAGTTTATCATTTGATGAAATTATATGTATTTGTATGGTTATCTTTTTTTTTTTATATAAACTTTTTACGGCTATATTGAACTATTTATGAATGTATTATATTTTGTTAGTATAATGAAAATAAAAGTAGTCAAGATAACAATAAAATTCATGATTGAACTTTTTTTTTTTTTTCTAGAAAACCAAGTTTAACGTGCATCTCTTAAATATTAATTTACTTTTAGCGTACACTAAAAGTTTATTTTGATTATATTGCATTATTTTTCATTATAATTTATTAATTATAATGCTGACGATAAAAGTTTTGACTAATTTAATAAGTTAAAAGGTGCACTGTCCAGTGATGTGTAGTCCACATTATTATTTTATTACATTAAGCTTTTCAAAATGAATAAAAAAAATCAAATAAAATTTTAGAATCTGTTCAGGGGGAGCTATTTGGAGATTTTGAGAGTAATTAATGTGAGGTAAGGTAAAGTTGTTGGATTGTATGGAAAGATGATTTGAAAGAGAAAAATATTTTTTTAATAGCCATTTGAGTAACAATCTATTTCTTGACCCCCAACTCGAAGTGTTGGAAGTTAGCTACTTTCTTTCTTCTTCTACAGGTGGCGGTGAGCTCTCACTAGTTATAACTCCTTTCTCTTTAGTTCAATTTTTTTTTTTTCTTTTGTTTTTGTGTTTCTTTTTAGAATAATTTTTAAATTTGTCTTTTGATACAAATTTAAATTATTGTTGAATTAATGTCGCTCATATCTTGGGGTTTTGCTTTTGAATCTCGTCGTTTGACAGTTTTTAGGTTTGTTTGTCACTGTTATTGTGATTTATTTATGGCATTTTGTTATTTGGGCAATTATATAGAAAGAGATGCTAATATCCTCTCTCATATAAAAAAAAGAAATTTAAAGATAATCAAATCAAATTTTTTATAGAAAAATCATGAAGTCAATCAAATTTTGGGTGTATGACTAATTTCACTTTGGGGTCTACAGTTACCTCTCTAAAGATGGCCACAGCTTCGGAACTGCCAGTTTCGATTCCAAAACTGATGGTTCTGGTTCTAAAAAATCTGGAACTGGAGCTAAACTAGAAACTGACGGTTCCGGTTACGGTTTGAGACAGAATGATTATGATTTTGATTTCAGTTTCTTAACGGTTCCAAAATCGATTTTTCGACCGGTTCTCTGATTGATTTTCTAGCTAATCGTATAATTATAAAATCAAAAACTAGGTAACATTTTTTTCATTGAAAATTTAAATTTTAAATATTTATGAAATAATTTTTAGAAAAAAACTTTAAGAAAAAATTAATAAAAAGGCTTAATTTAATTTATTTGCCTTTAAAAAAAGGCTTAAACTTATTTCCTTTTTTTTTTTTTGAAAAAATGGCTTAATTATTTATTTTTTTTAGAAAAAGGCTTGAACTTTTTTTTAAAAAAAATGAAAAGGGGTATTTATAATAAATTCAAAAAATCAACTTTCTACATATACCTCTAAATCTAATTGTTATATAGTTGTTATGAGGATTAATTTGAAGATTTCACAAAAATATTTAGAAAAATATAAAAAAAATTGTTGGAACCGGGTAGAACCACCAGTTCTAACTGGTTGGAAAAACCTCCGATTCCGGCCGGTTAACAGTTCCTCAAAATTTGAAATCGGAACCGAACTGCAGATCCGGTTCCAATTTCAGTTCGGACCGGTTCTTATTCCTCACGGTTTCGATTCCCACCGATTTGAACCGATGGTTCTAATTCCGAAAACCGTAAAATGGCCACCCCTAACCCCTCCCATACCTTATTTTAATAAGCCTTCCTTTCTGTATCCCTTCCAAACAAATACTTACGGATTATTTGTTTAGGCTAAAGATATATACTAATATTTTTTTTTATAATTATAAAGACAATTTTATTGAATCAACTCTAAACAAAAAAAGGTTTTTCCAAATTTAACTTGCAGATTCAAATAACACAACTTATTGGTTCAATTCAGACAAATAACTTTATTTCGTATCGTCTAAATGAATAAGTTGGAGGTCCAATAAGCTGTGATTAAACACAATGACTAAACAATTGAATGACTAATTACTATTTAATCCCTGTGAATAATTCCATGTTTATAAGATCCCCACATTAGTGCTTTTGACAAAAGAGATTAGCAAGTGCATTTAAACAATAATCCTCAATAATTACAACTCAAAACAATATAAAAGCAAGAAACCACATTATATAAACAATAATTCCAATAATTGTATAATTCTACATAAAAATACATATATGATCAGCCAATTCCTTTTGGCACAATCATAATGACATCAATAACTTAATCCCTACAAAGAATAAATAATTCTCATATAAATATTCTACAAATTCAAAACTAAAAATGGAGCAAGGGTGGAAGAGCACTCGAGAGAAATGCTGCTTCTTTTATTTTGTGGTTTAGGGATTTCTGTATATGAATAATTCTATAATTTGCTGATTCAAGTAGAAATAAGACTAAATGGTTTAGCTAGGCATTGGTTTGTTCTCCAAAAATGATTTGAAAAGAATAAATGCTTGGCGAGGGCGATGGAGTGGAACCTCATGCCCTGCTCCGGTCACTGTAACAAAAGTTAGCCCTTTGTAAACTTGGCTCCACCCACCAACCTGCAACAGAAACAAAAAAAAAAGCTGGTGAGATTTCATAAATTCACTTCTTGCCTTTATGAACACGAACTTAATTAAGCTTGTTGCAAAACCACCTCCTCCGTATATTTAGATATCATCATATATGTATCCACCATCAACAAACTAAGGTTATTTGGTATTAGTTCTGTTTTCTCTTTCGAGACAACAATGCCACAAGTCCTAACAGTTAGTTTTAGGACTAATAGTAAGCAATTGAAAAGCTTTAGGACTTGATTGTAAAGAAACTAACTTTGAAGACGTAATTGTAGAACAGGATCAATTTTTAGGACTTTTTGGTTGTTTTTATCCCTTCTTTTTTGGGTAGTGGCTGTAAAATAGTGAAAGGCAAATCTTGGAGAACAGGTTGAGATTATAGCAAAAGCAATTTTTTCTTATTTTCGCTTGTGCGAGCCCATTTTTAAAAATAAATACATTTTAGTAATATTCTTTCTTCAACAATTGTACAGCGAAAACCGAAAACCAAAAACCAAAACCAACAGGGTTACCAAATAGGCTTCCCCGTCAACATCATAGCAACTAGGACTGTTCAATCAGGTGCATTGAACCCGAGCCTCATTCACAACTTTGCCTTTATGCGCATGTCATTTTTTGATTCAGTTTTACTAAGTTGTAAATAGTGGTGAGCGAATCAAGATCGGATCCCAATTCACTCGATTGAACAGGCCTCATAGCAATGTTACCACAAATAAAGGCCTAAACCATTCTAATCTGATAGAAAGTTACTAGCAGATCATGCATTGTAACAAGATATCATGACAATAAGCTGAACGTAACAAATTGGTCTCTGTGTTGATTCTTACCTTTCCATTATCATACCAAGGACTCCAGTTGGTAATAGTTGGTAGCTTTAATGCATCGATGGAGTAACGGGTTGCAGTTACAGGAACCACTGCATCAGTGTCTCCACTGGACAAAGAGTTCAAGCGGAATTTCATTATTAGACACCAATACATAATAAATTACTTAAAGATGAACAATTCAAATGCTTATAAAAAGTACAAAACTGCTAGCAAAAGTTGTGACAGAAATAGTAGGAAAATCCTAAGGGGAAACAATAACAGCTGGCCACTTAGTATATGCAGAATGCTTGATACTAAAAATGAAAATATTTTAAATCTAATAATTTAATTATTCTTGTTTGTATTACAGACAGTCATCTAGTTATCAATCTGGTGTAGCATTTATGGCTAGTTTCCAAATGCAGCTGCAATTTGACAAACGGGTAAACGTGGATCATGAATGTCCACCTAACAAAATAGGTATGCGGGCCCTGATCTGCCTACTTCCGCTAGAACACAAGACATTTTGCATTTAACAGAAATAAATCCAAAAACCATTTTATTTGTCAAACACTATTTATTGAATCAGCAAAAACACGGGTGAGGGCATCTAATTTGGATTTTAGTACTTCATGTCGGACTTTGTTGGCAGCTTGCTCCTCTACGAATAATGTTAAAATTCTATCAAGTTGTTGTTGAATAGAGTCACCCATAACTTTTGCTCTGATACCAAATTATACGGTCCCAAATTTGGATCTAGTTATGGGTCTTTGGATTAGGGGATCAGGCTTGAGATGGGTATCTTAGAAGGAGTTTTCTTCCTTGTATCAGTGGTGACAGACTTAGAGAGAATCTGCCAATTTGTTATGGTCCCAAATTTGGATCTAGTTATGGGTCTTTGGATTAGGGGATCAGGCTTGAGATGGGTATCTTAGAAGGAGTTTTCTAAAACCACGGTGAGGCATCTAATTGGATTTAGTACCTTCATCGTCGGACTTGTTGGGCAGGCTTGCTCCTCTACGCAATTAATGGTATAAAGCAACATATGTATCAAAGTTGTTGTGAATGGAGTTCACCATAACTCCTTTGCCTTACTGCATCCACCAGAATTATTACCGGTCCCAAATTTGGAATCTAGTTATGGGTCTTTGGATTAGCGGATCAGGGACTTGAGCATGGGACCCAAATTTGGATCTAGTTATGGGTCTTTGGATTAGGGGATCAGGCTTGAGATGGGTATCTTAGAAGGAGTTTTCTTCCTTCTATCAGTGGTGACAGACTTAGAGAGAACCTGCAATCTCCTAGAGCTCATTAAGAGAGAACTCTACAATCTCTGAGTTTTAGGAACTCAAAGCCTTTTCATAAAATTCTGCTTACATTTTTCATGATATCACAGCCTTCTAAACAACTAAATGTAAAGCTAAAACTACCCACTACCCACTAATAACTACCCATTACAATAAACAACTTGCTTAACCACCCAAATAATACCCACTAACAAAGAAACTGATAATAACATGATAAACACTGAATAGCTAAATAGCAGTAAAACTACCCTAAATATGGTAGCTCCATAACACATTTGTAGATGGAGATTTTCAAATTTGGCTCAGAAAGGTCATTCTACAAATTGTTTAACCCCCCTAAACCCACCAATTTACCTTATAGATGTTCAGATTCAAAGGCACTTCAACATACTAAACTAGTAATATGACATATAATCAATATCCAACTTGAACTAGCTAGTATCAGCTACATCAAAATGTTCTTTTCCTCCGTTCTGCCTCTTCATAGTCCTGTTTTTTTTCGGTAATGAGTTTGTGAGGCAGGTCATGTGCCAAATTTCTAGGGAAAGTGAAATTAAGGTATAATGATTACTGGTTATTTTAACCATCAATCTAAAAGAAAATGACAATTGGAAGTTCCCGATTAGCATACAATGTTGTGATACTTTCAATTTCTTTTTGAGAACCATGAAAAAAATTCATTATGCCCTCGGTTAGAACCAATGCTTTTAGAAAATGATTAATGGCACCAGTACTACAACTGCAGCCATTTTTTCATCAAGTTTTCAGATGACTAGACAGATAGAAAACAGAGGGAAAAAAAGTGAAGATATAAACCTACCTGTAAACCCATATCTTCAGACCAGCAGCAATAAGTTCTTTGTATATAGGAAGCATAGAAAGTGGAGCATCTGCCCAGTAGTTTCCCACAATGTCACTGAGAAAAAAAGTAACATGGTCAACAACTATGCTACTTGAATAAATGACATATAACAAAGTTCTCAAAGATGTAAATGAAAAATCCACCTGCATGTCTTCCATGGGTAAGAGATCCCAGTTGCATTTGCATGAAGTGCCTTCTGAACTTCTGGGCGATTGAAGTACAGTTTAGAATACCTCTCTGTACAAGGATCATATGCTCTTGACATCCATGGCTGATGAAGGTAACAGAATTAGCTCAATATAAACAGATTAAGAACAAATTAATCAATTTGTAAACGAACAAAAATATGGAGTCAGTATATGCAATACTCTAGAAATTTCGGTCCTCTCATTCTATGAACCATGAATAAAAATTATAGTCATTCAGAGGATCCTTATTGACAATTTTTTTTTTTTTTTTTTCTGTTTTATCATTTAAACATGACATTGGAATTTCGAGGAAAATAGCATTAGCTTATGCTCGGAGATTCAAGAAACTTCTTACTTGGAAACATCATCTAACAATCCAAAACAATCAAAGATAGGCCCCAAAATATGCCATATATTATTTAAAAGAAGTCATTGAGAAATTTTTGAAATGAATAATTCACCTAATTTAGATTCTTTACAACAAGTCACAATATATGTGTACATTTCAGAAGTGTGCTCAAATAATTAACATGCTAATATTTATACAATTTGTTTACTTGTTAAAATGCTATGTTCCATGTCTAAGTTGTATTGTTCTTATCTTTAGGTTGAAAATTATTTGGACCCCTTAACATGCAATTACTCAGAAGGAAAATTCGACAGCTTACATAATGACCCCTTAAGTTGTGTCTCAGTGATGCAGTATTGTTACAGGGCCGTGTGAAAATGCTATATGGATCAATGTTCCCCTGCTCCAGCTGTGCAAGGTAAAGAGCCTTGATGCAGTCTACTGATGGGTGCATAGAGGACGAAAAATTGCAGGCAATACGTAAAGTTCGATAGGTAGAATCAGAAATTAAACCATGTGTCCACCAGTATTCAAAGGTGCCAATATAATCAGAGTAGTCATCAGTGACTGCATTTCCCACCTAAAAGAAAGAAGAGAAAGATATTTACCTGTTCCCTACATAATGAGAATTGAAAACATATAATTCTCAAGAACAATGAGTTCTGAGTTCTTACCAAAAATCCCTTAAAGTTAATTACAGGATTCTGGATTCCCTTGTTCTTTTGATAGACAATTTGAGACAACTGAGGAACATAATGACCTACAAAGAAATTTTAAAATTTGAGCTCCTAAGGATCCATAATTAAATTCATACATCAACGTTTGAAGGTTAAAGAGATGGAGAAAAAGGTAAAAAGCAATCCCAAACCTGCATAACTTTCTCCAACAATGTAGAAATCTCTATGCTTATATTGTGGAAACCTTTCAAACCAATTCACTAGAAATGCATATGAATCTTCAGCTACAAATGCCCAAAATCCACATTCCAAAAATATTCAAAGAAGTCAAAATCAACAAACTTTTTATAAATACAAAAAGTTAATCAATTGAATTGCAGATCATTCATACAAAATGATACCAAGGTAAAATATTCACAAACGAAACTCTAAAACACTTAATAGTAAAACAAATAAGACAAATTACCAGTTCTCTGGTCACCAGCAGTGTACAAATCTGATGTTGTATTGGAATATGAAAATCCAACACCGGCTGGAGATTCGAGGAATAGCAAATTTGCCACTGCCAACACCACCACCAACGAAAAAAAAAAAAAAAAAAAAAAAAAAAAAAAAAAAAAAAAAAAAACACTATAAGTGACAAACGAAATCATATTTACAAAAATTGGAAGGCATGATGTAAATTCCCTCACCTTACACTCATATTCCAAAGCATAGGGATTTGAAGAAAAAAAAAAAAAAAAAAAAAAAAAAAAAAAAAAAAAAAAAAAACACTTATAAAGTGAAAAAGAAATCATATTACAAAAATTTGAAGGCATGATGTAAATTCTCACTTACACTTATTCCAAGCATAGGGATTGAAGAAAAGAGTTTTGCCATCAGGCTTAATGCGAAAGGGTCCAATTTCCTCAGCTGCTCCATAAGCAACAGAAGAGCAACCAGGGCCCCCGTTAAGCCACAAAACAAGTGGTCTTGACTCAGGTCCACGACTTGCTGGAGACTCAATCAACCAGTAAAACAATGCCCTCCCAGCTTGCTGGTTCACAGTCACATACCCTGAATACTGATTAAATTCCACATTTGTTGGCTGCCCAGGTAAGTATGTGATTTTGTCTCTCTCTTGATCTTCAAGAGTAGAGGATATACAAGAAGAGACAAAAAGAGATAAAATGGAAAGAATTAAGAATAAGTAAAGATCCATTAATCAATAAAAGCAAGCAAGAAATGGTAGAATGAATAAAAACCCAGAAATTTTCCTGGGTTTCCAAATAATTTATCTACACTACACTATTCCTGAAGCACATGATCTAGAGAACGAAAGAGGTTACCATGAGAGGCTTAGTCAATGTTAGTACAAATGTACAATTAAAACAAGTACTTAGAGAGTTCAAACCAAAAAGATATAAAGCCAAGTAACAGAAATCTTCAAAAAACTGCTTGGTCAACAAACTCCAAAGAATGAAATGACAATGGTGGAGAAGAAAGCTAACAATGAAAGGACAAAACAATACTCAATAATACTAACACAGAATGTTTCAAGATTTACAAGGAACTTATCAACAAATCAAGAAACAAGAAAAAGAATTGAAACCCAGATCCCAAAAATATCATCTGGATTCCGGCATAGAATGTGTAGTATATAAAGAGACCTAAAAGTAGAGAGAGAAATGTATGCATAGAAAATGATAGCTTGACAATTAATTCACACTTCCAGTGGTTGTGATTAGCCGTGTGTAAGGTGCAAACAAAAAAGACTAGCTTGAACTCATGCAATATGTTAACTGTCATTTACTGCATTATTAGATTGATAATCATCAATGTTAGAATTTCTTTTTCTTCAATATTTGCCCCTGGGTTTGCTTCTGTGAGGAAATTCACCGAACAGATTAGAGGCGCACATGGGCTCTGTTCAAAATATTCAATCTTTTGGACTAATAGAATATTTGAAAAAACAAAAAGGCTAATATCTTTCTTAATTGAATCTTTGAACAACCAAATAAAGAATTAAGAAAATGCTGAGCAAAATGATTATTGAAAGAATGATTAAAGAAGCTTCAAATAATAATAATCATATGAAAACAAAGGTTTACAGTTATATATTGTAAAATTAGGACTTGTTTATTGACAGCAACAAACTGTGGCTGTATGGCCTGTACTGTAATGGTGAAATGTTGGCCCACTGAATGTAATTCCCAGGAGGAGGGAATCAATGGTTGAAGTCTGAACTTTTCCTTTATATAAAACTTTCTGTCTTTTACTGTCTGTTTTTTTTTTTTTTTTTTCTTTTCTAAATTTCATCTTTTCAATAAATGGGTAGGCACATCTAACTGCACTCAATAGAATTTTCAATAGAGTATATAATTATATATGTATGCATTTATTCTATCCTCTGAGGTTTTTTTTTTAGTTCATGCAATAAATAGGACACTAATCAACTTCTCAATTTTGTCCAAGATAATTTATTAGTTGCATTCTGCAATTTGACTATACTTTTATATAATAATTTTAAATACATATTTATAAATTACCACAAATTCATAAAGTGTAAACCCACTCATAAAAGGTAAAAATTATAGGGATAAAGCTCAATTTGTCCCATAAATTTGGGACCAATATTTAATTTTCTAAAAAAATCTTTTTTTTTTATAATATACTCCCCTAAACTTGCACTAAAAGAACAAAAAATCCAGTTTATTACGCAAAAGAATTTTAATTTAAATCAAAATATAATTAAAAAATAATGAAATATTTAATTTAAATTAAATACAATTAAGAAATAATTAAACAAAAAAATAATAAATTTTTTAAAACCAATTATTCATATAATCCAATATTTTCTAATTCTATAATATTTTTAAATCAAATATTTTGTTTAGTTATTTTTTAAATCAAAAATAAGACGCTATATTTTTTTTATAATTATTGTTATGTGTTTAAACAATTTTTCTTTCTTAATGTTAAAATTTTTAAATGATTTTTATTAATTAAAAATATTAAAAATATTTTTTATGAAAAATTAAGTATTTTATTCTTTTGGTACAAGTTCATGGGATAAATTATACAAAAAGTTAATTTTCGGGCAAACTGAATATTGCTCCTAAATTCAAGAGGCAAATTGAACTTTATTTCAAAGTTATAAATTTAAATAGTGAAAATTGCAGATTTAAATTTTAACCAAAAGGTTTTAAGATATCTACCTTAACCTCTTAATTATGCACTATAATTATTACAAATCAAAGATGATAATCTTATAATGTCAAATTACCTTTTCTTCATTTCAAAAGTGTTAATAACATTCTCAAAACGGTTTAATGAATAACATTCTGCAGACATTAGGTTTGATAGGCCTAATATTTTACTAAAATGCCATTTTAGGGAAAAAAAACAATTTAATGAGTTAAGTTCGCAAAAGATAAATTAAAAAAAAAAATAATAATTGCATATTTGCATTGACTCATATGATGATAAGGATGTATTTGAAAATAGTTGTATAATATTTTAATTACTTTCTGAATCAAGTATTAAGTATGCATTTTTTTTTTTTTAATAGATCTATTTTTTCTTTGTTTTTTTTTTTTATTGTTGTTTTGTCTCCACATTTGGAGTTCTTTTGTCCTTTCTTCTATGAGGTTTAGTTCATTCTTTGTGAATGTTTGTTCTTACAAGGTATGATATTTGATTTTATTTGTTTGGAAAATTTAGATATTATTTTATTAATGTATATCTTCGATCAATGGAGCCTAGTAGTGAATCATGTTTCTTCATTGATGTTATTAACGCATAGTGGCTTAAACTCATCCATGTCGTCATACGCAACAAGTTTTTAGAAAAACAATCCAAGCATAAAAGATTCGGAGAAGTTATTTTATCGTCCAAATCAATTAAAGGAACAGTTGTTACTATAAAGATTTATATCGGTCAAGGTTATCTTCAAGTGGAAAAATTCAATATTGTTTCTTTTAGTTTTATTATTCAAAATAATATAGATATTTTATTAAATGTTATATCTTCGATCAATGGTAAGTCCTAGTAGTGAAATTCTGTTTCTTTTCATTGATGTTATTAACGCATTAGATGGCTTAAAAACTCGATCCATGTCGTTTCTATACGCAACAAGATTTTTTGAAAAACAATCCAAGCATAAAAGATTCGGAGAAGTTTATTTTATCGTCCAAATCAATTTTAAGGAACAGGTTGTTACTATTAAAGATTATATCGGTTCAAGGTTATTCTTCAAGTGGAAAAATTCAATATTGTTTCTTAGTTTTTATTATTCAAAATAATATAGATAATTGCTTTTGTTGTTGAAGGATTAACGAACTTCTATTAATTATGATAATAAGTTCTAATATTTTGGTTCTAATTGAGTTATTTGCAATACTTTTGATTTTATTATTGAATAATAATTCTCAAAAAAAAAAAAAAAAAAAAAAAAAAAAAAAGTATGCATCTTCCTAAAAAAAATATTTTTGTTGAAGGTAAAAAAAAAAGTTATTAAGTACAATGGATTTATACTCTTTTATATATCATCTTATCTTATAATTATATAAGCAAATCACAAGAATTTATTAAATTTTATAACTTTACAAACATGGATTTATAAATTTATACTCCTTTCATCCCATAATTTTTATCCTTTTTTTTTTATTCATTCGCCCCAAATTGTTATCCCGTTTTCTTTTTTTAAAATAAATAATATTTTAAATTTACTATTTTATCCTTATTTAATTTATTTATCTATCAATAAATATAATAATCAAACTGTTATATTGTTCAAAAAAAACCTATCACTCTATTTGGTATAAATGAACTCAAACTATAAAATTTATTCAAATGAATTCTAGATAGAATTCACTTGTCAATGAATTTCATATTTGAAATAAATTCAAAAATTAAAATTATTTATTTTTATTCCTAAAATACCCTTATAACAATAACTTGAGAAGGTTAAGATGACGAAGAGTTTTATCGTAAAAATTTAAATTATTTAAGTTTATGAAATTTATTTATAAATTTCACTTTTTTTTAGCAGAATTTGATTTAGTTATATTCAAATCTATATAGTTGAATTTTTCATTTTTTCTCATACAAAAAATTTAGATTTATAAATAAATTCCATAAAATTTTATAGAAATCATTTATTTCAAACAAGGGGTATTTAATTAAATGTTTGATTAATTTCAAGAACTATTTAATATTGGATCATTGAATTTTTATAGATATTACCATAAGTATATATTAGAAAAAAATAATCAAAAATCATAGTTTAACTATATAACTAAATTTTCTTAATATATGTGCAATTTAAAATAAAACACAAACTATCGGATGGAATGAATATATCTATATCATATTTATGTATAAAATACAGCAAGCATTCCCTAAAATTCACAATTAATAATTGATTACGAAATTGCCAATTAGGTGTATTTTAGTTGGTATTTTCATTGATTCAGGAAGTAAAAAAATCTTGGACTCCAATTCTCCCAACAACAACCATTAATTCGGTGAGTAGAAAAGAGAATTATCCCTCTTATTTATTTGAAACTCATAATATAAAATTGATTAACTTACAATAGGTGTAATACTTTTCACAAAAGAAATACTTTATATTATGTTCAATCTCTCAAGAAATTCGATTTAATACTTATAAATTACGTTAGCATCGACCCTCTATTATCTCACTTTTGTTGGCTACAATGATTTCTGAAAAAAGAAAAAAGAAAAAATGAATATCCTAATCATTATCAAGACATTCCTTTCGTATGGATGGTATATACTTTGCTCATTTTTGAAGATTTTGGAAAAATATATATTTTTTTTTAAAAAAAAAAGGAAAAAGAAAAGTAATATATACCGGACCATGCTCTTCAACTGTATATACCTGTAAAGTTCAGGTTTTTTTGTTCCTTTTTTTCTTTTTTCTTTTTTCTGTTATTCTCTCACCTCAAACATTGCTTGAGCGAAAAGATAGATGGAAAAATAGTCTTTCAGTTTTATTTTATTTGTTTATTTCTTTTTACGATAAATTAATAATTTATTTAACAAATTACGCCCTTTATGTACGTCATTAATAATTTTGTATTTGCAAATTTAGAATTTTATTCTGTTATAGTCAGTAGACATCTAAAAATGCATTAATAAGAAAGAAGAAAAATAATTCATTTATAAAAAGAAAAGATCTATTATTTGTGGCCTAAAATATTACGTAAGCATATAGAAAATTAGTCTTTTATACACTCAAATTTTTGTTATTTAAATTTAAATTTAAAGTTCAAAAAATAATGAATTTTCTAGCCACTTTATATTAATTAATAATATATATTATAATCTCCTCTTGATTGGGAGTTATGAAAGTGGAAATAACTAAAATAAATACATATCAAAGGATAATCACTCAAATGAATAGTTTTAGTGTTTTTTTTTTTTTTTTTTTTTTTTTTTTTTTTGAGGTAGTTTTAGTTTTTTTTTTTTTTTTTTTTTTTTTTTTTTTTTTTTTTTGTAATTCCACTATTCTACAATCTATTTAATTTATTTATATCATTTCCTTATTTAATAATATAGAAAGAGTTATACTTGTTAGTACATTTTATTTGTCAAAAGAAATTCATATGCCTAACTTTTTCTTGTTATATATTAGATTTTTTTATTCTTTTATTGTTTAAATATCAAAATAGAAGGGAATGGATACTTACTAATCTTTGTAACTTATGAAAGAGTGGGGTTGGAAGTTGGAACCAACATTTTATATTTGAAAATTTCTTTTTTATGACTCCAAAAAAGATTTGTAGAATAGAACTTTACTTTTAATTTTTACTGCCCTTTATATGTTTTGGGTCTATTCGATAAAATTAACTGTTTTGATAGATTAGTTATTTTAGTAGCGTGTAGTCATTGACTATTTAAGTAGCTTTTCATAAAATATTAAAAACTAAACGTTAAATGGGTTAACTTTTATAAAACACTATCTTAATATCTAAAAATTAAAAATTAGCTCAACGCTATGTTATCAAATACTATAAAAAATAACGTTTAATATCTTGACCGATCAAAATGATAAAAATTAGTTGAAATGATGTTTCCCAACACAATTTTTATTTGTATTATTTGAAGGGTGTGAGGCTAAGATCATAATTACCAACTTGAACCATTGACAAGTATAATCAAATTTGCTTCTCTTCATCATGTCTTGTTAAAGCAAGGCACCATCATACCTAATTGAATAAACTTTCTTCCATAAACTTTATTTTTTCCCTTACAATTATTAAAGGAAGACTTGAGTTTGAGTCCAATTGCAAGTTGAGAGAGATATGATTATATCCATTAACTTATTTTATAGATAAGAAATTTAGAAAATTTTAGGACTAATTTGTGCAAAAATTAACTTTAAAATGGGTCAACTTTTAGGAACTATGAAGCTATTTTCTCTGGAATATTGTTATGATTGAGACAAATTTTATTAAAGATAATGGAATTAAAAAATGAACTTTAATGCTCGCGTTTGGTATAAATGAATTCAAAATATGGAATTCATTTGTGAATAATTTCTCGTGTTTGGTATGATTAATTTAAAATATGTAATTCAATTGAATTCCACAAAGTCATGTATGGAATAAATTCATAATTGAAAATTCATTTGCTTTTGTTTCCTAAAATATCCTTGAAATAGTAAATAAATTCATAATTGAAAATTCATTTGCTTTTGTTTCCTAAAATATCCTTGAAATAGTAATTTCACAAAAATAAATAATAAATACCAATAATATTTATGCTATATAATTTTTTGTATTTTTATTAAAATAAATGTATAAAATAAAAATAATATTAATAAAATTACGGCATTTAATTTAGTAATAAATGTATATTTTACTTGAATCTCTCTCCTTAGTAGTAAAGAAATGTTAAAACATATTAAAATAAAAGATGAAAAATATTAAAATAAAAAGCATAATACAAATAAAATATTTTTCTAAAAAATAATTTTTTTAAAAATACTTTTGGTCAAATTTGATAAAATAAATAAGTTAAATAAATAAAGAATTGAAAATTTGACTTTGTAAAAGGAGAATGATAGTTTTATCGTAAAATGTTAGATTGCTTAGTTTTGTGAAATTCATTTGAAAATTCCATCTATTTTTATTGCATTTAGTATAATTACGTTCAATTTCATAAAATTGAATTCTTAAAATTGAAATCTACGGTTTTTTTTTTTTTTCATTCTAAACACAAGAATATGAATTTCTAAATGAATTCTAGATCCGTGGAATTGATTTGTTCGAAATAAGGGGTAACCCTTCTCTAATTAGCATGTGCATTCCAGGATTTACGTATATTGTATAGAATATTAATTTTTTAAATACACGTTATAACAGGTGATGTACAGGTTACAATTTTTTGACTTTTATCATTACCACAATTGAAATTAATTTTAATTATTTAGATTATAAATCGTAATCGTAGTCGTAAAGTTTTGTATAGTTTAGGTTACAAGGTGTTCCATTGTTCTTATGTTTTTATTTAATATTAAATTATCCTAATGTATAATAAGTTGGAAAAGCAGAAAATATATTACATCATTTTTTCATAAATTATTTAATTTATTGGTATATGTTAATAATGATAATATTGAAATTAATACAGTAAATTATATCTACTAATATTTTATTAATTATATTATATTATTATTAATCATAAAAAAATGGGTTTATGATTATTGATTAGATACTAAAAAATTGCCTATAATTTACATTTATATGGCTGTTAACAAAAACAGAAGTTTCCTCCAAAAAAAAAAAAAAAAAAAAGTTATTTATTAAACAGTTACAAGCCGGCATAAATTCTAAGTACAACATTTAATCCGCTCACATTTGTATGCAACATTAGCACATTGTATCCTCAAACTGAAAAAAAAAAAAAAAAGAAGTTATTACAGTTACAGCGGATAAATTCTAAGTACAACATAATAACATTTGATGCAACATTAGCACATATCCCAGTGAAGATAAATGAAAAGGATAAGGTACTCCTTTGTCATAAAAATTTGCCATAGCCATAGACACAGTGCAGGTTTTTGCTGCTAAGTGAAGGTCTGAAAATGGAAGGGACAAGGTTAGAGAAATTTGAAGTTGGACCCTGTGATAATGGTTACCAAATGGGTTTCTTAATAGGTCAAAGATTTTCAAATGAGATAAGAAGCAGATTATCAAAAGACCTAATTCTTCAAAATCAGCTTCTTCCTTTTGCACAAACCTCACAGTCACAACCATTGATTAAAGCTCTTATTGACAACAACAGAAAGAAATTTCCAAGCTTTTGGGATGAGCTAATAGGGACTGCACAAGGAAGTGGGGTGCCTCTTCTTGATGTAAATAGATAATAATAATTAATAATTTATAATTATAGTTTATTTAGTTTAATAAATATTAATTACTAATTAATTTGTTGTTGTGTATATATGCAGGTGATATTGATCAATTTGAGAAAGGAGATTCTTCCATTTCTTCCAAAGAAAGAAGATGGAAATTCAAAGGTTGAAAGTAGTTCAGAAGACTGTTCTGATATTCTTGTGGTTAGAGATAATATGGCAATTGCAGCACATAATGAGGATGCAAATGTTGCTCTTCTTGGACACACGTATGCTTTTAAATTTTTTTTTTTTTTTTTTTTTTTTTTTACATTTTAGTAATTTATATTTTCAATTAAAGATATATTATTATATATTTTTGTGCAGGTATTTAAATAAAGGCAAATTTATCAAATGGAGAATCCTTCAATTTTTTTTTTTTTTTTTTTTACATTAGTAATTATATTTTCAATTAAAGATATATATATATATTTTGTGCAGGTATTTAATAAAGGCAAATTTATCAAATGGAGAATCCTTCATTGGTTATACATATGCAGGAGAACTTCCAAGTTGTGCATTTGGGTTCAATTCTCATGGACTGGTAATCATTAATTGCGGATGACTATTATAATTTATCATTTCTTATGATTTTTTTCTTATATTTAACAATAAATTTTCAAATACAAGATTTTTATAATTATAAATATTTTATGTTCGTATAAGTTAAAAATTTTAATATTTTTAATTAATTTTCAATATTGCACAAATAACGAAAAGCGAGTTATTTAAAAATTATTTTTCTAGAAACATTTTTTTTTTGAAATTTTTTTTTTCAAAAATAAGTTATTTTCAAAAACAAATAAAGTCTACGGCGCCAAATATCCATCATTAAAAGGGATTATGAGATGCATATCAATTCCTAGGGCTAAATTGAAAACTTTTAAGTTCATTTAGCTAAATAAAAAGTTTATGCTGTCCTTTCCGTTCCTTGCTATCAGGCATTTACGCTGAACTCAGTACCCCCATCTGAAGACGAGATTATGGCCGGAGGGATTGGCAGGAATTTTGTTTCACGGGACCTCCTTGAAGCCACAAGCATTGAAAATGCACTGAGTGTAAGATCTTGCATTCTTTTAACTTTCTTGGATTACAGTTGACTATGCAGTTTGATAACGCAGCCATCTCTCTTCAGAGAATACATTCATCACAAGTGTCTGTAGGGCACAGTTACAATCTCATGGACACAAGAGCACGTAAGATTTTAAATGTTGAAACTGCATCAAAGAATCGAGTTTCGGTTCATGAGATTGGAAGAACACCATTCTTCCATGCAAACATGTATCTCCACCTTCAAGTTAAGCAGGTAAATAAATAATAGTACTAGTTTTTACACAGATTTCTTCTGGAGTTAGCTTCATTAAGTAAGTACAATCATGATTTCCTTACAAAGGTACAAGATGACAACTCCAAGAGCAGGCAAGAAAGAGCAAATGTGCTACCAAAAGAATCAAAAGATGATTTCCTGTCACTTCTTGGCGACACGAATGACACGACATATCCAATTTACATGACAGGTAATCAAGAGAATGACTTAAAACACTTTTACAGTTTAACTATTAAAAAATGTATGCTAACTATTTTCAACCAAATTCTCAGGTCCAATGCTACATACTCTATGCACGGCCTTGATAGATCTGGATGACCAAACGCTATCAATCATTGAGGGAAACCCGAAGAAAGGGAAGGTTTCCTATGTCTTCTCTATGTCTGCAGGAGAGTTGAAAACATCAACATAAGAGATGTAATAGCCCTGACAATCGGTTGCTATTGAGAATGACTTTTTCCAAAGCCCTTATGCAGGTTCATAGAGGCCAAGAACATGGCCATCGATGCAACGTATAGCCACTACCTGGTTGAAACAAGTTGCATAATGTTTTAGACTTGTTGTAATAACATTCTCAAAAATTTTTCATAGATGTTCGGAGATGAAGGTGATTTACCTTTCCATGGATTTCATATTTGATTGGCCCATCTAGTTCAGCACCTAAGGCCATCAGTTTTGTCACAGTACTGTTAATGTCAGTAACTGTAAATGATAGCATAGAAGAGTATCCATTCTGCATAATGTGGTCACTGTAAAATTGGGTTAGAAGCTGACATAAATTGGAGCTGTTGAAACACAAGCCAAAATCAAACCATCAAAAAGGCCTGATCATTATTACCTCATACCCATAATGCTTTATAAAGAAATTTTTTACAGTTAAAACATTAACTTGTAATGTCTAACCCTTCAAATGAACCAATTCATAAAGCAAAGGGTTGAGAATAGGAGAGGAGTGGCCAGAGGGTACACAGTTAAAAATAGGCCACCAAGAAATACAGATGAGTCGCAAGTCCCTCTTTATTCCGACCTCACCAAGCCAAAACTCTCTAAATTGTCTCATAAATATAGAATTAGTCCTAAAAACCTAGATTAATTTTAGAATTAATTACATGCATCTACAGAAAATACAAAAACTTTCAGCACCATATAATCTCGGAAGGCAAGTACTTGGTAACTGCCTTACAAGCCAAGTAAGCTGCTTGTTATAGTTTACACATTTTTATAGATCTTAATCTACTTCCATCCGCTGCTGATATTACTCAAATGAACATGACTAAAATTGCAAAGTCCAAACTTGTGTAATTTTACTCATATCTTGTAAAAGAATTGTCTACCACTCTCGTAGCTATAATTTTCTCTATGAAACCCAAGCAAAGTCACTCTTCTAGTTTATTTTCCACAAACGGTCAACAAGACAATGTAACAGTGCCTAGAGAGTCCTACTAGCATATGTGCTCTAGAAGTTCTAGACAAATTATCAAACAGAAACAAGGCATTACACCAACAAAACAAAGAGAAAGAATTACTTGCTAGATTGCATGAGGGCAAGCTTAAGAGAGCCTGATTGAAGTTCGGCCCAGCGAAGAGTGCACACGTTAATTGTGAAGTCCAATCCCTCGGAGTAAAAACGAGCTGCTTTTGGCACATCCTTGTGTATTTGTAATAGCCACCTAAACGACACTGCTGCCATTTTTCCCTCTCTCTATATATACACCAGCATGCAAGGCCCAACTGTATTTCATTACCAGCCATCTAATTATTCTTTGGAGTAGGAAAATTAAGATCACAGCGTTCAATTTTTTTCCGGCACAATTATGGGAAAATTCAGGAAGATGTGGAAATTTGTAAACAAAGTTACGCGAATAAAGTGTGTTATTTTAGATATAAACAACAACAGTCACAAAACCAAACTCTTAAACATTGAGTTTATAATTGGTTCAAGACATCCTTGTAAATTTGTTAATAACTTGAACTACTTCAAAGGAAAATTCAACATAAAGTAGGAAAGAAACAATTGTAATTCCAAAACTAATTCATCGTACTCAAGGGAAGCCACAGAAATAAATTATTAAATAAATGTTAAGGACTCTAGAGTCTAAAAAAGCTGCAAAAAGTGAGTAGCAATCTAATATTTCCTCAAAAGTCTAATACTTTCATAATGGCACTTCTATTTGTAATTATCTTGCTATGAGTGAACTAAACAAGTTTTATATTCCCAGGCAATACCCCTTTAACTGTCTCCCCCTGTTCTATAAACAATGCAACCAATATTTCATTCTTATTTTGTCTGCGTAATCCTGTTTCACTTGAACTTCCGTTTGCACAAATACAACCGGAATTTAAAAAAAAAAAAAAAAAAAAAAAAAAAAAAACCGGAATTTAAAAAAAAAAAAAAAAAAAAAAAAAAAAAAATGCATATAACCCAAAGCAAGACCACCTAGATTTTCCTAAAAAAAAAAAAAAAAAAAAAAAAAAAAATGCATTATAACCCAAAAAGAAACACCTAGATTTTCCTCTTCACATAAAAAGAATTGTCAATTGCATGAGTTTGAGGTACCTGTTCTTGAAAATCTGCAATTATCAAAATCCAGAAAACAGACCACCCCATTATTATAGATCATTAAAATACAGCTTATCGCCTAGAAAATACTCATAATTATCAAACATCAAAAGCATAGTAAACAGATATCCTACAAGATCTTTCTAGATTATTACAGTTTAGGGTTATGAACATCAAAATAAAAACAAAATAGAACAAGAATTATTTCAAAAGAGCAACAACCTCAGCCTTGTTGATGAACACTCCAAGATAACTTGAAAACTCTATTTTAACCTCAACTCAGTGGATCTCCTCAGATTCCTAATCAAAGTGATATGGAAAAAAAAATAAAAAAGAACAGTTAGATATCTATGTCAAAGAAAATAAGAGATATGAGTTCATGGTAAGTATAACAAATCGCAAAAATAGTGATTGGTTACTTGCTAAATAAGCATACACATGCAACATTGGTAAGACACGAACAATCCACCCAAAAAGGGCAACAACTAGCCATTGAAACCTTAACCATGCAATTTCTCTCGAGGAATTCCTCAACTCTTATTAACATTGCATTACACTGTTGGGATGGTGAGAGCTAAAATTCTAATTCACAGGCTCAAGTAAGAAAATAATTTATAATATAATAATATAGAACAAGCAAAGTTTAAGAAAATTGATATGATAAAAGATAAAATTATACACATAAAAGCAAAAGATAAACCTCCATTTTATGTCTAGTGGATTTAAAGACAACGAAAGACAAATTGAAAATGAATAAAAGAATTACATGCAAAAGTAAGCATCTATAATAACAAAATATATAGCAATAAGTTGTTATGTTACCAAAAAAAAAAATATTCCAATATGGTAGCTTGAAGCAGAAACAATTACTGAAAAATAAATTATTTTCCATGGGAAGGTTCTGATAAAAACATTATTACATTTCCATGCTGAAGTTGCCAGGAAAACACCATGCTTCCACTCACTACCTAACATGAGGTGATGTATTATGTATAAGGCTTATGCAATGAATTCATACAACAGAATGTCTTTTTACTCATTTAAGATACACACTAAGGATAAAAGTCGCAAAATTTTTATAAGCAAAGGGACACTTGTATTAATAGAAAAGCCAAATACCATCACAGTATCCCAATAACAGAAATAGAGTTCCTGTAGAAAATGAAAAGCCGGAAAAAGGTCCAGAAAGCTGCTAGAGTACAATTCTTTACCTAACAGAAATAGAAGAGAATTCAAATTGAAAATGCAACCAAAATCAAATTCCTCAATAAATAAATAAATAAAGACCTTCAAAGAAGGGAGATATCTAGATGCATCAGAAATCCAATATTTAGAAACATCAAATTGTTAATCTCCATCAAGATAAAACAAATTCCCAGAAACACATCAATTCAGATATGGAAACCATAAGAACATATAAATGCAACCAGTATGAAGGACATGAACTATCATCTAAATCAAACTCTTAAAGAGAAATTACCCATACCCATTACAAAAGAACAATCATATTCACCCATACTCATCACAAAATTTCAATGCCCGTTGAAGTATTATATTAATCCAAAAACATCACAAAAATGTAAATTAACAAAATAAGAACATCATCAAATTTCATTACCAATCTCCCAAAAGCCAATAAAGAGCAATTTGAAAGTCAAATCTCCAAACAAAGAAAAATACAATCAAATTGAATCATAATTATATAGCCCCAACTCCTAAAACAGTAAGTTGAATGAAAATAAAATATAATGGCAACAGTAAATTGCTCACCATTGATGCAAGCTGAGAGAAAAGGGAATCATGATTGGCACTCAATTTCTCACAAATCCTATCAATGCTTTATAAAGAAAACCCAATAATAGATATCATCTGCTTGTGACTTGAGAATATGTACAGAGACGAACAGAAATGTTTTGGTATTAACCAACGGTAAATGGAACAAAAATACAAAATGCTCTGTAAGGACAAAATGGAAATTTACTATTAATGACGTAATATAGCCCTAGCTTTGAAACCGTAGGCCGTAGGGTATTGATTTTAATTTGAATAAAGTATGGAATGGCCCTTGAATTATTTTTTAATTTGTCTAATCAGACCTAAAAACTTGTTTTTTAATTTGTTATATCTACTTTTTTTTTCATTTAAAAAATTAATTATTTATAACAACAGCAATAAAATGTAAAGATAAACTTAAAAAATCATTAAATTGAAAGCGAATAGACTCAAATTACAAGTTCTAAAAGCACTAAAGTGAAAGTTAGATATAATTATTATGAGCGACTTGAATATTTTATTACTTACAGTTTCTTGCACTCGTATCATGTGCAGGGCCGTTGTTTGTGTGTGAGGATGAATGGACATATGATATCCCATCATTCTTATAAAATGTTTATTTTATTTTATTTTATATAATTACTTAATAATACCACTATATTTTAATTATTGTTTTTTTTAATGCTTTTCTTGACCGTTTACATAAAAATTATATATATAAGCTGATATTTGAGTGTTTAACTTACACCTACACCACAACTCACAACAATATATCCAACACCAATCTCATAGTGCAAGAAGTTAGGAGTCCAAAACCCCAACATAGCCCCTCTCATTTAAGACTGGCTTGCTTCTCAGCTTAAGGTAGCAATGAGTAACACAGATTCTAACCTCGGACAAAAAAAGAAGAAGGAATTTCACAAACTTGATTCTCAAATTATGGCAATTCTGCAATTGTATACAAAAACTAAACCCACAAACCATATTTTCCAATGGTAAAATAAGATCAATTTTTGAGAACTTAGGAAAATCACTCAATCAAGATAAACTTTGACATCGATTCCGTTATCAATGAGAGACTGAACCACAGCTCTGATCTTTCCTTCAAACTTGTCCCTCTCTCTTGGAGTGTAAGAAGCTGTATAAACATCAGCTTCTCTTGCTCTGTCTGCTAAAATGCGACCAATGGCCAAACATGCAGGAATATCTGACCGAGACTTTAGTGCAGCTTTGATGTCTTTAGAGTTAGTACCAGCAACTGCAACCTGCTTAGATGTTACCCTGTGGGTGAGTGATGCAGAAACAAACCGCTTCGAGATAAATACATCTAGTGTAAATGGCTCCATGAAAGCTTTGGTTCGTTGCTTAAATGACATATGCTTGTGGGGGTTTTTCGATTTTTTCTCTTTCTGGTAAGTATAAGGCCTGCTGTTGTCATCATCAATGAAATCTTCCACCCCAAAAAAGCTTCTTGGCGCACAATGAACCTGCAATAAAGCAAATATTGAGAGATTTTATTTTATCAGCGACCATTAGACCGTGGGCTCTACAATCTACCAATAGAAGTGAAGCTCCACCCATCCCATAAAACATCCTATGGATTTAACTAACCCCTTCTTTGGTACAAATGAATTTGAAGTATATAATTCATTTGTAAGTTGCAGAATTCAGTTTAATTATGTTGGAAAATTATGTTTCTTAGCTATTCAAGTCATCTACCAATTTTGGCCTTTCTATGTTATGCAAAACTGCTTTAGCAGATTTTAGAAGATTTCCGAGGCTAATAAATTAGATCATACCTGTCCACTGTGGAAGCTACTAGTGGACACATACAAGCAAGTTCTAAGCTTGTCTCCTCCATTTGCAAAATGCCCTTTGTTCAAAACCTTGCCCAGCACTTGCTTCAACATATTTCATGCACAACCTGCACCTACTACACCAAACTGAATTTATTTAATCTCACTTGTTTTAAGATCCCCTCAGAGAACAGAGATAAATATAAAAAGAGGACAGGCTGAATAAAACAATTTCCTGAACCCACAATTTCTCAAAAATGAAACTTTCTCAATAAGTATCAAACTTAAATATCAATTGACAGAAATTTAAAAAAAAAAAAAGCATTAAATCAGAGATTAACAAAAGTGAAAATTGAAAAGCAAATTTGTTCTAAACTTCTAATGATCAAGTTTTTCCATCCGAATGGACAAGCTAGATCTAAACCATTAACACCTGAGAATGTCACACAAGAAGAAGAAACAAAAAACTGCTGAAAAACAAAAAAAACTAAATTAAAATTATATCAATAAATTAAGCAATAGAGATTTATATCCTGAAAATCCCAAATAATTAATCATGAGAATAAAAAAAGAACTACACTTTATCTGATATAGACAACTATAGAGGAGCGAGAACTAGAGGCCGAAATTACCTCAAAAATGACCAATCTCTTTTTGCCAGTGAACCTGAAAAGAGTTAGATTGACGGGTAGTGCTATTTTAGGTTAATGATCTGACCTTTGGCTATTCTCCTTTCCTCTCTTTCTCTTTATTTACTGCCGTCTAAACTGAGCAACACCAGAATACAATGTTAACCAGCAAGGGAACTTAGAATTCTTTGATGCCAAACAACCAAAATTTTCAATTCTAAACATTTGAACATTTTGCCTTCTGTAAATTTTCCTGGAACCAAAGAATTATAAAAATACTGCAAACAAAAGCTGCAAAATCCATCCACATAGTCTCAACACAAATATTATACCCATAAGGATTTACATCGAAGCAGATGAAAATTATATACAACAAATAGTATTACTTTGCATTTCCAAAATTACGAACTCCTTAAAAAATGTCCAAAAAATTCGAAGCAGCACAAATTTACGAATGGGTATCGGAGGAGCATATGTAACTTCAATAAAAATTTTGGGGATAAGAAAATAATTAAAACAAAGAAAGGAGAAAAAGAAACGCTTACCTGATATCAGCTTCAATCGCTTCCAAATCAGCCATCAAAGCTTATGAAATTGTACAAAGTATGCGAAATTAACGAGCACTACAACTTGGGATATTAATATCTGGCCGTTTAGCAGAAAAGTGAGAATATGATTATTTGTACAGATACTGTACACGAGAGATAGAAGAACCCAGAAAAAGTAAGTAAAGCGATAGGTAAGAATTTCTGGCAGAGAAATCAGATTTGCTAAACTCAATGCAAAGAATTTTGGCTGAGTGGCTCTGTTTCGAAAGAGAGGCGGCCAAAAAGAGCCTGAAGCGGATGAGAGGGACTAATCGACTGAGAGAGATGAGAAGAGAGGGGCGAGCGTTTGTAGTTTAGTTAAACGGTGAGTTTTGAGGGTGAGTTGGTTGTTGGGCTTAATTAAGCCCAAGCTGCAAACGTCAGAGGTCCACTTTTATTATTTTAAATTCAAACCTTCACCCTAATTGCATAGGATGTTATTGTCCTTGAAACTTTGAAATTGTAGTGCCTATGGGTAGGGCTGGAAGCGGGCGGATAGCCGCAAATTTTAAACTATTTGTAGCTATATATATTTATTAAATTTACTATTTATGTTCATCCGAAATTTGTTTAAATATCTATTTAAATATCCATTTTCGAATCCGTTTAAAATTTTACTATCGTATTTATCTCAAACTCATTTAAAGTATCTCTTAAATAGGTAGGGTATCAACACATTTTAAACTATCCAAACTAAATTTATTTAAAATCTATTTTTTACTAATAAATTGATAGGGTACCCATGGATGGTCAAAACCTTTTATTATAGCAGGTAATGGGTAGCGGGTACTCAAAGTGTAACACTCGCATTCTACCCATTTCCATTTAAAACTGACTTTTAACTTTATGTACTTTGTTAAACAGATAAGAGCAAGAGCAAGGTGGATACCCTTAAATACCCATCTCACTTCCATCCCTATCTATGGTTCAAAGTTCTTTTGGGGGTGAAATTATAACAGTTCGCATAACTCATAATGAAATTGTATATTAAGCCTCAAAATTTCAGCTCTTTCATTCTTAAATCTACACAATTTCTATGGGTTTGTGACTACCTAGTAAGTAGAGAGGATTATTTTATGAAAAGTTAATGGAATTAAACAAGATTGGTACTCGTGCTTCGGGAATCACTAGGAGCAACAGAGAATTGAGATGCAGAAAACAGAATAAAAGGCAAGTGTGCGAAGATGAAAAAATCAAGAACGAAGTAACCAAACAATATGATTCCATTTCATTCAATTTTTTTGACATGAACTGAAATTATAATACATCAATTAGATATAATTTAATTAATTTTCTCACTAATATATGGAAAAAAGATTTCATCAATTTGCTCTTATCTTTTACTAAATTGAGAAGCCTATATATCAAATTTGACTGAAATTATAATACATTCCTATTGTTTGAGAAATACAATTAATCCATCGTTTTTTGTCTAATTTTTTGATCACCCAAATGTCAAAAAATCCAAAAAGTATTTTTGAGTAACAAACAGTAGTTTAATAATCTATGTGGACTATATTATCACAAAATAATTTTTTAATTAATACTTTATATCATATTTTATTTACGGTACTTTAAAAGATAAATAATTATGAAAATGTTATTTTTAATATTAATGACAAAGGCCATGTTCGGTAATTTCAGTGGTTCTAGTAAATATCAATTGTGTTAGCAATTATCAATTGTTTATACAGTGGTTTTAAATAAAAGTATTTAGTATAAAAAGGATAAAAAGATAGATGTTTAATATAAAAAGATAAAAAAGGATAATATCAATTGTGTTAGCAATTATCAATTGTTTATACAGTGGTTTTAAATAAAAGTATTTAGTATAAAAAGGATAAAAAGATAGATGTTTAATATAAAAAGATAAAAAAGGATAATGTCATAGAGAGCAAAACAAAGACAAGTAATGAGCATAGGCTTGATAAAAAATTTATAAAACATTAAACGTTAAGGAGGATAATGTTTCATGAAACACTGCCTCAAACTCTAAACGTTAGGATAGATGTAACATTACCGAACACAATAATTAAAACAGTGTTTTAACCCAATCAAAATACTAAACACTACCCTAAACGCTCTTACCGGACAAAGCCTAAATGTAGTGTGGAGTTAAAAAATAAAATTTTATTTATTGGATGACAAGTACATACCATATCATCAATATACAACATGTAAGAAGTTAACTAAAGAAACAACTTAACATTTCTTGTAGTATATACAAGCGAAGCTACCAGCAGTTTGCTGCGGGTTTACAAATCATTTTGAATCATTTTATCGCATGTTCATTATTTTATCTCTCGAGTTTTTTCCACGATCAATTAATAACAATTAAGGATTCAATAGAATCAAGAAAGCAGAAACTCAAGAACAGCAGAGAAAGACACGAAAGAATTCCAAGAAAGCTGCATAAATGGAATCCAAATATTTCTGAACCAAGGAACTTATTTATAGATGGCCTGCGTATACTCTTGTTGGTTTGCGTGTTGGATATCTGAGACAGTTATATATAACAGTAAAACAAACGAATCATTGTTTTAGCCATTAATTGGTTAAGTAGCATTATAACAATCTAGGCAGAAATATACATATGAACATAAAAAATATAAAGGTAGCAAAACAAAAGCTAATGCAAGTTCTTACTAACAAAAACAAAATAGAATGATAGAAAGTTAAAATGCTTACCATGCAAGATGTGATGTCCTCATGCATTATATCAATCTGATATGGCTAACTCTACAGCCAAAATAAAACTATAGTTGATTGATTGATTAACTATATAACTCACCATATATTGACTCTTGGAAAATTGGATAATGTTAAGGAGGGTGAAGTTAAATAGTTGTTGCAAAAAGATTTTATGGAGATATTGGATTATATATACTTCAGGAAATAATCACAGTCCGTTTACCTAGATGAAAGGTTTTTCATTTTTTTTTTTTTTTTTTTTTTTTAAATCACAGTCCGTTTAACCTAGATGGAAAGGTTTTTTCATTTTTTTTTTTTTTTTTTTTTTTGAAAAAAGGGGGGAAAAAGAAGGGGACTACTGTTTTTTTTTTTTTTTTTTTTTTTTGAAGGGGAAAAGAAGGGACTACTGGGTGTGTTAGTCATGGCCCTCATTGGCTAGAGCAACCGGTCAAGTGTTGACGGCCGATTTAAGATACCCTATAGGGCGCACCGACCCCCGAGCATTGATGGGAGATGTTGTCCCCTTCCTGTAGGATCGTAGGGTTGCGGTCCTCAGCCCATGACAGTAAAGTCTGACCTAAGGCAGCCCATAAAGTGAATCGTAGCTTCTAGATAGCAAAGTCAATATTCATACATTATGCGTAATGGGATGTTGCCGCAGAGGATCCAACCTGGATCAAGCATGCATAACTGAAAAGTTTTCCAATTGCTGCTTCTTTTTCCTTTAATATATATTGTACTGCATGGTATAACCAAAATTTGAACAGAAGACCATATGACATCTTTGCCTGTTGGATTAAAATTAATAGAACCTCAAAGTGTTAATATCATTCCCCGCAGCTTAATCAAACATCTTACGATATGCATATAAAAGCTAACAGAAAATCTAAATATCCAAATAGTTATAACAACAACTTAGGGCTGTTCATATCACAACCTAATGACCCAACTATATAGAAATTACTAATGAAAATGTGTGATATAAAGAAAGTTAAGTCGCAACAGCGTTAATAGTAATTAATGTTCTATCTCTCTTAAATGGAGTCCATTAAATTCGATTGAACACTTTGAAGATTCAACAAATGGATAAGGGTAATTTACTAAAAGTATCAAAAATGAGGAGGAAAGCGAGCCAGGAACCTATAAGCATTCAAAGAATCTAATTAACTTGAATCTAACTTGGAAATTAATGAATATGACAAATATTGACCATTTGCAGAAAAGAGAAATTAAATATTAGCAATCAAATGAACTAATTAACTCGAATTGTAAGAAACCCAAAGAAAAATTCTTCAACAGCAAAATAGAACTGCAAATATAAAATCTTTAAACAAAAAATCTACAAATTGGGTAAGAAATTTAAAGATGGGTTTCAGGCAAAATGAAAGAAAAACGAATTCGGTTTCTCTCATTTCAAATTCATTGTGAAAAGAAAAGAATGGAAAAAAAAAACCAAAATCTTTCCCCTAAAAGAGTTTTCTAAGTTTCTTACTGGAAAAAAAAAAAAAAAAAAAAAAAATCTTTCCCCTAAAAGAGTTTTTCTAAGTTTTCTTACTGGAAAAAAAAAAAAAAAAAAAAAGAATGGGAAAATTAAACTTGGAAAAAAAAAAAAAAAAAAAGAATGGAAAATTACTTGGAAGAGGAAGTACAATATAGAAGCCGTACATGGAAAAAGAAGAAAGTGAAGTCAGCAAAGATTATCTGTGAATGAACGACTCAAAAGAAAAAGGGTAAAATAGGAGTAGCATAAAAAGGAGTTGGTTAAACTGGTATAACAGTGTTCTATGAACAGTGAATCTGGTTTTATATATATATAATTTTAATCCTTATTTTTTTAAAGCCACTTTATATTTTGATGCAAGGGAAAATAATTTGTAAATAGCACCGCAGCTGGCATAGCCATTGGTTCAATTTGAACCAGAATCGAAATGAAATTGAACTGTATTGTAGATGAACCGAAATTAGACTGAAACCATCGGTTCAAAGTTTTGAATCGAAATCTACGGTTCAAAGTTTTGTTAAGATTCATGTGAATTATAAAATCTAAACGGAATCAGCGGTTTCGATCCAGTTCGAACCGAAAATCTTCTATTTTATTTTTAAAATTATAATCACTTTGGCATATTATATACACCTCTAAAAGTTTAAATAATCTTTTACTACATAATACACTTTACTTTTTTTTTTTTTTTTTTTTTGAAAAAATACACTTTATTTTGATTAAAAATATAAAAAAGTGAAAAATATTTGCTCGATTTACTTTTTTTTTTTTTTTGAAAATACACTTTATTTTGTTAAAAATATAAAAAAGTGAAATATTTGCTCTAAATTATAGTGTTTGATACAAAGGGAGTTTTAACATTTTTTTTTTCCTTTTAAATTTTTTACTTTATTCAAAGTTACATTATTTGAAGCATTATTCAAATTTTTCTAACAATTTATTTAATTCATAATATTTAAACAAAATAAAATGATAATTTATTTAATTATTTTGAAAAATTAATTAATTTTATTTAAATAAATGAGTATGAGCATTTTAAAAGTTATTTAAAATAAAATTTATCAATATTTCGTAAACTCATATTATTATTTTTTAAATATAACCTTAGAACCAAAATTTGAATTTTTTTTTTTTGAAAAAAATAATGCAAATATGTCAGAAACCGTGATTGAAATAGTCGATTCATCGAAACTATATCAAAATCGACCGGAATCAAAACCGGACAATCGATGGTTTAAGGACTGATTTAAGTTTAATATTTTTAAAATTTTGAGTCAGTCATGCTAGCAATGTGGCTCTTCTAATTCAATTGAAAATATATAAATAAATAAATAAATATTAACATTCGAAATTACAAGGATAACCTTGGAAAAAGGCAGAAGGAATCGCATATTGCCGACGACGCCGAAGATGCCGTTGATAGATTCGCCACGTCAGCCCTATCAACTAAATCACGCGCTACTTTGCACGTGATGAACCTGGAGGATTCTGGAAGCTTACGGAAGAGACTCAGACTAGGCACTTGTTGGGTACTTTTGTTTTGGTTACATGCTTACAAACAACCCCAAACTTATTCCAGTATCGCCAAAGAGTTGTCCAACACGTGAGTTTGCACGTGCCAAAAATTACCTTAATCGCTGTCGTATATAGTTTTGACTGTGTCTTGTTTTTCTAAACTGATCAAGTGAATAAATAAATAAATAAGTATGAGAAAATGCTTAATTGGAAAATTGAGTCAAAACTCCGAACCCAAAACTCTACTCTCACTGGTCAGTCATGAGTTGGACATAATTATTTTGGAAATTCAAGGTCAGTGGTCAACTATAATAAAAATAATATATTTTCCTTTTTTGTTTATTACATGCCTTAAATACATAAGTTTCCTTTTTCAATAACAATTCTCAATTTAAAGACTCTCAAACCCAATAGGAAAAGACAAATCAAATCAACTTAATTGGCATCAAAATAAATAATTTTTTTAAAATAGAAAAATGTTATAAATTTTTTAATATAATTACATTATAAATTGGATTATATTATATTTTATTGTCACTACTGACGAACTTTAATTTCAAAGACCACTTGAATATTAATGATCAAAATTTATTAATTAAAAACTTCAAAATTTAATAAAATGAAAGCTTATTTTGTATAATATAATTTTTACTATATTATAATTTTTACTGTAATTTAATAAAATAAAAACTTCAAATTTTCTTTTTTTTTTATTTTTCCCTTGAAAACAATTTTTTTATTTGACTCTCTAAATTTTTCAAAAAAATTTTATCTCGTTAAATTTGATACCTGACACGTAATAAGTTTTGGTGACCTAAAGTGATAAAATTTTCTATCTTACCTTGTTTTTTTCCCCTTTATATTAATATATATTTTAACTGCATATATATACTTTTCTGAAGTGAGAATAGACCGAACGTTATGTAGTTTCCTTCTATGTAGGCCATGCAATCTCAAATGGTCATTTTTGGATTATACAATTACTTTTGTTTTTAGGAATCTTTCATTTTTTAAATTAAAACTTCATTCATGTTTAAACTATGAATTGGTTGGAACCTATTATATTAGATAATTTTTTTAAAATAAAAATTGAAATTAATTAATTAGAATCAAATTGATTATTAAGTTTTTTTTCACTCATTTTTATGCTTAATTCAGTTGGATAGACTATTAATTTTCAGTTTTACATAATGGAAATCGAATTGCTCTAAATTGAAAAAATTCTCAATTTCTATTAAAATTAAAACCGTATGAATCGAACGGATAAACGGTTTAGTCAAGTTAAAATCTTATATTATAATTTATTAACTTTACCATGACTTGTTTATGATGACGTGGTAGATTTTTAATATTTTTAATTATGATAAGCATAATATTAAATATTACAAATATATTTTGATTGTAACCCCAAATAAGATTTATATGTCTTTAAGTCTATAAGTTTGTCTTCTCATTAAAAAAAAAAAAAAAAAAAAAAAAAAAAGATTTTATATGTCTTTAAGTCTATAAGTTATGCTCTTCTCATTTAAAAAAAAAAAAAAAAAAAAAAAAAAAACTGAAAAACAAAAAAAAAAAAAAAAAAAAAAAAAAACTGAAAACCTCTCTCTGTCAACACCCTTGAACGACGATGATAATTCTAACGACAGAAGACGTTTCCTTCAATTCAAGGTCGAACCATTACCTACACGGTCGCTTGAACCAGAAACCACGACGGATCGGTTGAATTTTGCCTTGTTCTCTTTTCGTCTCCCTTAATTCTGTTTTTCTTCGGCAGTGCTGACTTTCAACAATGAGAAATAATAATTATAGCAGACTTGTAATTAACTTTAAGTGGTGAGGACATTTTTGTACTTACGGTCATTTGAGAAGCAAAGGTTTTGAAAAACCATCGTTCTGATGCTTTTTCTGAACCATGGTTTTGATTGGGCAAAATCGGTGTCTCGATAACTGATCATCGGTGAAGATAAAATTCACCGAGTAAAACAGGTTGAATCGAATTTAATGCGGTCCAATCCAACTTTTTTATATAATATTTTTAAATATATTTATTAAATAAAATTAATGTATAAGATAAAAAAAAATCCGTTGATATCAAATAAAAAATATTTTTAAATTTAGATTTTATAAAAAGAATAAAAAATTAATAAAAAATTTTAAATAAAAACAACAAAATATGACTAAATTTGATACTAAAAAAATAAATAATTATAATAAAATATAATATTAATTTTCACATTTGGAATTAATGTTGGATAATTTAATTGTTTTAAATAAGGACTTTGAGTTTAGAAATAAAGAGATCCAAAAACTAAAAAATCAATGGTCCAACTTTTAAGCGCCTAGGTTTTGAATCCAACTAAATTTTAATCGGTTGATTTACCGGTTAGTCGGTTTTCATTCAATATTTATTGATTATACTGGTTTTGAAAGCTGTCAATTTTCTTATTTAACTCAAATTAGACCACAGTTTGATTTTTAATTAAATCGGTCGAACCGGTCGGTTCGATCCGTTTTTCAGAACAATCGTCAAAATCATACTTTTTGGGGTTTAACTAAACACCTCCAAACTTGCTAACTCTCCCTTTTTTTTTTTTTTTTTTTTACTTGCTTAACTCTCCCTTTTTTTTTTTTTTTTGTGAAGTGAAAGTCTCAAAACATACTCTTTATATATTATTGGAAAAAATTTAAAAAAATAAAAATATTATGTTAAGTGAACGGAATAAAATTAAATAAATAGGACAAATGATATAATTTCTAATTTAAATTATTAATGTATTGATTATAAAACTGTCAATATTTAGTTAAAAATTTTTTTTTTTTTTTTTTTGTGAAGTGAAGTCTCAAACATACTCTTTATATATTATGAAAAAATAAAAAATAAAAATATTATGTTAAGTGAACGAATAAAATTAAATAAATAGGACAAATGATATATTTCTAATTAAATTATTAATGTTTGATTATAATTATTATCTGTCAATATTAGTAATACATTGATTCATCCGCTATTCTAAATGTAAGAAATTAAATAGTAAAATATTATAAGATACTTAAATCACAATTTATATAAAAAAAATTCAAATTGAACTAAAAATCATGAAAAATACTCAAACAAATCTAATATATAAATGTGGTTTGATTTATTTGAGTAATTTAGTGGCTTCAGGATGGTTTGAGGTAAGAAAAACTAAATTTCAAATTAATTTTTACTTTTGAATATTAAGATAGACAGCCAAAAAATAGAAAATTAAAATAAAAAAAAAAACAAAATAACAATACTATGAAAAACAAACATTAAACTATCATATTCTGCAAAATATATTAAAAACAACAATTACAATGAAAAATTTTTAAGGCATCATTGTTTTGTATCCTTCTCAAAGTTAATATTTGATTTATGCTTTGTTTGGATGAGTTTAAAATATGAGTGGATGCATAGAAGGTGAAAATGTCTTGAGATTTTCAAAATTTCTTATTTGGTTTGGATGAAAATATCAAAGAATGTGTAAAATAAATTTATTTTACACTTTCTTAATCTAATTTTCACTCATTTTCAGCCGAGAAAAAAAAGTAAATAGTATCACTTTACATCATTATTTTACTTATATTCTTCTTTTACTTCCTTCTTTCTCTCAAATATAGCATTAGTCTCCCTATTTCTACTAAAATAAATAAAAAATAAATACTTTATATTAATTTTGATATCAAATATAAAATTACAATGAAGATAATTGAATTACGTTTAATTACCTTGGATTATAAATACTTTTCAACTAAATTTGTGTATAAAAGAGTATAAAAAAATTATAGCTTTAAAATTTAAGGTTGAGTATAACTAATATAATCAATTTTCCAATACATACATAATATATAAGAAATAAATTATGTATAATATTTATATTTTGATTTAATTCGATTTAATCGATAATTATGATTTTCAAGGCATAAATTAAATTGATAACTAGTTTTTAAAATTTAAACCAAACTATCAATTTCTCAAAATTACAAATTTTGATTTATTTTAGATTGATGTGATTTGAGTGAAATGATTTATAAGTATCCTAATTTTATTCAAAATCATTTTTGCATTTACAAGAAATGATAAAAGAAAGATTTGATAACAAGAAATTCCATATGAAAAACTTCAAAATTTAAAGCAAATCCAAGGCAACTTTGTTCTTTCCGCGCGTGACTTCACGCCATTTGCTCCCGTAAATATCTGCCCAAACCATGGGCATTTCCGGTAACAAAAGAGTAAATGAAAGCGTAAGCGGGCCAAAGTGAAAAAACAGAAAAAGCAAAAAGTTTTGATTGTTGAAAGAAAAATAAAATAAAATAAAAAAAGGAGAAAGATATAAATTTCTATTAAATAAAAATTATTTATATCATAATATTATATTTTTTTTTCATTTTTTTAATAGCGGACGCGAAGAGAACATTGCATTGTGGTTTAATATCGCCGTTGAGATACGGAAGCCAATCTCTCTCTCTCAAGGTTCTCTTTTGTCCCTCATCGGCTTCATGTTCTTACTTTATTTTTCTTCTATTCTCTCCTCGCACAGATTTCTTTCGTTTTCCTTCAAGCCAAGCAACGCCGAGAAAAAAAGCGGAGGAGGTAATTGACTTATGCAGAGAGGGTATTAGAGGAAGGTCGTCTTGTATGAAGAGAAAATCTCTAGAAGTGAATCAATTTCCTTTATTAGCGCAGTTAATATTCTTCGATCTGGTTTTTTTACCCTATTTCAGACTTCAACTGGGAATTCTTTGTCTTTTTGCATATTACATATCTGTTACATACGGTTCTTCTTCAGCCTAAGTTTTCCGGGAATAGCTAAGAATTGTGTTTTCTTTGTTAGTTCTGCTGAAGCCTTAGATTTCGTACTGTGGATTTTGAGCGGCGGCAAGTGTGCAGGTTATTTCATCTGTTTTGGGGTTTATAAGGAGTTTTTGTAGTGGTGTTGCTTCATGCCTGATAGGTAGGTAGGAAGGCAGATAAATAGATAGATTAGGTTTAGGGTTTTTGTTTTGGTTTTGATGCCGCCGGAGCGATTGCCGTGGGATCGGAAAGAATTCTTTAAGGACAGGAAACCTGATAGGTCCACGCCCCGATGGAGGGAATCGTCTTCAAGTCATTATGGATCGTCTCGTGATTTTTCTCGCTGGGGTGGATCCAACGAGTTTCGAAGGCCTCCTGGTTAGTTACTTATTTTAGTATTTTCGTTTATTTCTTCTTGGCTCTAACTTTCTATAGCTCAGTTCAGTTCTTTAATTGGTTGCTTCAAGTGGGGTTTTTGAGGCAAATGGAAGAAATTTTATTAGGGATTATTCCTTTGATTACTGCTATCCACAAAGTTGCAATCTCTGGTTTATCTAAAATTTTTGGGGATATGTTAATGAGTGGGGTTCACAGTAACTTGTGGTCATGTTTTCTTCTCTATAATGGTCTGATTTTTCCGGAATAGATCTGATTGGTCTCGTTTGGTTTATCGTTGTATGATTGTTCTGTAGATCTGGAACTTATTTGCTGTGAGAATTTATTTAATTGATTTTTCTTTTCTTTTCTTTTTCCCATTTTGAAGTTCAAAATATTTTTGGGAATATATCCTTTGCTTGTGTCAATTATATGTAATTTTTCCCGTTTTTGTTTAAATATTATTTGAAGGTCATGGTAAGCAGGGTGGCTGGCACCTGTTTGCTGAAGAATCTAGCCGTGGTTATGCACCCTTTCGTTCAAATGATAGGATATTGGAAGACAAGAACTACAGGCCATCGGTTTCACGTGGAGATGGTAAATATGGTAGGAATAGTAGGGACAATAGGGGATCTTTTAGTAGCCAAAGGGATTGGAAAGCTCATTCATGGGAAATGAGCAATGGGTCTCCAAGCACGCCAGGGAGACTGCATGATGCGGCTAATGATCAGAGATCAGTAGATGATATGCTAACATATCCACCTTCACATTCTCGTTCTGAATTAGGGAACAAGTGGGAACATCTTCATCCAAAAGATCAGCATGATAATATCAAGGCAGCTGGTGTCAGTGCGGTGGGCACAGGCCAGAGAGGTGATCGGGAGAGCTCACTGGATTGGAAGCCTCTTAAATGGGACCGCTCTGGAAGCTTGTCTTCTAGGGGATCTGGTTTTAGCCATTCAAGTAGCTCAAAGAGCATTGGAGGTGGAGATTCTAGCGAAGGAAAGGCTGACATGCAGCTTAAGAGTGCATCCATAGTCCAGTCTCCTTCTGGAGATGCTGCTGCCTGTGTTACTTCCGCTCCATCTGAAGATATGAGTTCTAGGAAGAAGCCACGCCTTAACTGGGGTGAGGGATTGGCAAAGTACGAGAAGAAGAAAGTTGAAGGTCCTGAGATGAATGTAATCAAAGATGAACCTGTTATTTATTGTATCAACATAGAGCCCATCCATTCACAAAGTTCAAACTTGGTAGACAAGAGTCCCAGAGTCTTGGGATTATCTGATTGTGCATCACCTGCGACTCCATCTTCTGTTGCTTGTTCTTCACCAGGTAATTAACAATCTTCTTGTAACTCGATAGGTAATTTGCGATTAATTGTGCATTTTCCTTTCTTGCGCTTTTGGTACTTTTTATGAAACTTTGACCTCGTTTCCGTTCTCAAGAATTTAATTACCTGCAAGTATCTATTGTCTGTATTATTTGATTGTCAACACATGCGTGGTGTATTTCTGAATATCTCCATGTTAGAACTGATAATTGAAGCTATGTCAAGGGGACTATGGATGAACCAACCCAACTTAAAAATTTAATTGTGGTTGGTGGAAATTATGCAATGCTTGTGACAATAAGGTGAATGCCTAGCTACCTAAAGTTGAAGCTGCTGAGTCTGGCATTTTCATTTGTTCTTAAATAAAAAGAATGTTCTCTTTATCTTTACTATTTTTTTCTTCTTGGAGTGTCTTTTTGATAACAAAAATTATTAATGTGGGAAAAAATGATGCGTCCCACATTACCCGTGGAGTACGTCTTCCTCTATGAGCTAGTTTTTGGGGTGAAGTTAGGGGTCCGGTCCCTTATCATTTGGTATAAGAGCTCTGGCTTCGTAGGGTCGGTGTCTCATGGGGTTCGTCAAAACGCCGACTGAGGCAGTCGGGTCTTATGGGGGTGGGGATGATGCGTCCCACATCTTATGAGCTAGTTTTTGGGGTGAAGTTAAGGGGTCCGGTTCCCTTATCATTTGGTTATAGAGCTCTTTGGCTCGGTAGGGTTCGGATGTACTCATGGGGTTTCGTCAAAACGCCGACTGAGGCAGTCGGGTCTTATGGGGGGTGGGGATGATGCGTCCCACATTCACCCGGCTGAGTACATTCCTGGCGCTAGTGTATAAAGGCTGGGTTCAGTCCTTCCTTTACGAGCTAGCTTTTTGGGGTGAAAAGTTAGGGGGTCCAATCCCTTATTCAAAAAATGTCCGCGGAGTACATCCTGGGCTAGTGTATAAGGCTGGGTTCAGTCCTTCCTTTACGAGCTAGCTTTTGGGGTGAAGTTAGGGGTCCAATCCCTTATCAAAAAATGTGGCCCATACCAACTCCATTGGCCATGGGCAAAATATTCATTTTATTTTATTTCTTATGTAAAGCTGCCTATGTTTGGATGTGTCCATGTGATGTAATATTTGTTCTCCTGTGTAATTTGTTTTGTTTGCTTACAGATCATGTTAACTCTTTCTTTTTCCCCTGTCCACGAAAAGGATTTTGTGTTGATACCTATTTATTGCAGGTGTGGAGGAGAAAACACTTGGCAAGGGAGTAAATGTTGATAATGATGTTGGTAATTTATGTGGTTCACCCAGCTTTGGGTCACAAACCAATAATGAAGGCCTCTCTTTTAACTTAGAGGTTTTGGATGCTACTTCAATATCTAATTTGGGCGCTTCGCTTGTTGAGCTGCTTCAATCTGATGATTCTAGCTCAGTGGACTCAAGTTTCGTGAGGTCAACTTTGATAAATAAGTTGCACATGTTGAAGGGTGACATTTCAAAGGCTTTGGAGGTGACTGAATCTGAAATAGACTCGCTTGAAAGTGAACTGAAGTTGCTGAAATTTGAACCTGGAAGCATGTATCCTGGTCCAGCAGCATCAAGCTTTTTCCAAGCTGTGAATGATGCAAAACCTTGCAGTGAACAGGGGGCTGTTTCCAATGATATCCCTCGATCTTCTCCATTGCATGTTATGGCCTCTGGGTCTGGACAAGTGGAAAATAGTTCCCTGGATGATGGTGTCCTGGAAGAAGTTAATGTTGCTATTAAGGATGATGATGTTGATAGTCCTGGAACTGCCACATCGAAATTCGTTGAACCATTGTCAGTGGTGAAGATGGTTTCTTCATCTGATATGGTGAAATTAGATCACTGTTCGGGTGATATAGGTGTCCTTCGGATTCAGACCATGGCATTGAAACCCTGTGTGCCTTACACCAATAAGGAGGATGATAATTGTGCTGCTTGTGGGGATGTTAGTATGCTTATAGAAAGTAAAGATGTTGTGCCTTTTCCAAGTGATGTGAGTTTTGCAGAAGATAATTTATGTAACCTAATATTGGCTGCCAATAAAGAATCTGCTAACAGGGCCTCCGAAGAATTGTCTACTTTATTGCCTAGGGATCAATGTAAGGTTGATGTTTCAGAAGTTTCAAATGCTGCTTTGTGGAAGGCTGATGCATTAATTAAAGAAAAATTTGCTATGAGGAAGCGGTTTTTAAGATTTAAGGATAGAGTTGTAACTCTTAAGTTTAAAGCCTTTCAGCACCTGTGGAAGGAAGATATGCGCTTGCTTTCAGTAAGGAAATACCGTGCAAAGTCTCAGAAAAAATATGAATTAAGCTTGAGGACGACACATAGTGGGTGTCAAAAAAATCGTTCTTCAATTCGCACTCGATTCTCTTCTCCTGGTAAGAACTCTCAATACACTTTTATTTTAAATGGCAATGGCATTTATTGCTTAAGCTTGTCATTGAATATTAAATATTGGGTGACGTGAATATGTGCTTTGATTATATGACAAGCATTGAAGTATGCTATAGGTTTATATTATTTAGTTTGGCACAAATGAGTGATGAAGTCCACCTTTCTCTTATGACTAGGATTGCTTTAATTCTTCCTCATTCCAATTTATAGGATGTATTAATTTGGATATTTGAGCTATTGATTTTTTATTTTAGGTTCATTTATTTGTAAAATTTTAGTAGAAGTATGTGCTGGTGTTTACAAGTTGTCTTGAAAGGTAGTAAATTGGAAAGGAATATCAGGTTCTATTATTTAATATGTACAATATGTTTTTGTGCTGCTTTATTTTTATCTTCTCATGTTGGTGCTTGTTGCTGTTCTTCAAGAGTGCATATTATTGAGAATGATTTAGCAAGTTATTGGACCCTACTTAGCTTTCTGTCTGAACAGCAAGTCTTTTTTAATCATGCATATGGTTATACATTGCATTTTATCCTTGGGCTAATTTTATCCCATGGAAGGAGGCTTCTGTTCGCACATTGGCGTCCTTTCTGTGTCTCTAGTTAGATTCCCTTGAAAATCTTATCCAGAAGATGAGCTTTATGTTTGGGATTTTGTTCGACATGCATCTCAAGTTAGTCTGGTCATTGGACCTAGTTATTGAATTCCTTTGTGCTGTGATGGAATGCCAAATGCATGATTGCAGTGCTGGAGCTCATTGCATGTGGCCAAGTGAATTATATAATGAACAATTTGGCTGATCCGTAGTACTTGATCATACATTTTTGTGAAAGTTAATTTGTCTAAGGATAGTTTCCGGAAGTTTACTGTACACATTGACACCTCAGCATAAGATTTATAAGCTTTGCAAGAGGACTCAGTAACTGCGTTCTTCATCGGCATCTACTATTCTGAAAAGGGTCAGCGAAAGTTTTGAATGAAAGATTCTCTTGCAAATTCTTTGGAAGTAGCCTCAGATGCATTGAGGTGGTTGACCCATTTTGAAACCACATTGATCGTATATTTGTGTATTTATAACCATTTATCTGGACATGCCTGGTTTTGCACTGAATGTTTGCTGGACATCAGCGGACTTGCATGCTGAACATATTTTTGACAAGATTTGCTGTCAAGATATTTGTACATGAAAGAATATATTTGTGGCAATTGTGTTTGATACATCAATGCACTTTAGGCCATACAATTTTGGAACTATTTGCCTCCTAGGGTACTATGCGCTTTTTGGAAGTTGCTTTCGTACAGTATTATGCACATTTTGGGAGGAATTTTGTATACTACTATGATCATTTTTATTTCCTAGGTGGATTTGATGTTATATATTTTGATGCTACAATATCTGGGACATTTTCAGATGGCACAGTTCTGGTTCATTGCCTTCTATTACGACATTTTGCGCATATTTTGTGTCAATTGATTATATCGACCATAGATTCTATGTCAAGTTGGATGTGCTTCATTGCTCATTTTGTCAATTCAGGGATTGGCTAAGTTTTTCAGTGTTACAGGAAGTTAATTATTGAGGAAGGATTATAATGCAGTTGATAGAAAGGGCAGTGGGTTGGGGCTTTATGCTTCAGTGTGATTATTGTCATACTTCCCATGCTTGACAAGGTTTCCTCACAATGATTTAAGGTGAATATGACGTTGAATTTGATTACGCCTTGGGTTTGGTCATGTTAAGCTCTAGAGGTGAAGTGAGTTGGCAACTTCTATAGCTGCCCATTTGTGGTTATTTATGGTGAAAGATTGTTCCAGTTATGCAAATGCTTTCTTAGAAGTAAAAACCTTCCTTGTCAGCTTCTGCCGTTGTGTTTCTGAGTGGATAATGAATTATGATGCTATTTCTTATTTGTTGAGAATGATTGGTAGTTGATGATCTCTCTTATTTGAGTTGTAACTTCTGATATCTATTTTTTATAGCTTTTGAAATTGTTTTTGCAGTTGGAAATTTGAGTCTGGTGCCAACAACAGAGATGCTTAACTTCACGAGCAAGCTGCTGTCAGTTTCTCAGAACAAGCTTTACAGGAATGCTTTGAAAATGCCAGCATTAATTTTGGACAAAAAAGAGAGGATGGTTTCACGGTTTGTCTCCAGTAATGGATTAGTTGAAGATCCCTGTGCTGTTGAGAAGGAAAGAGCTATGATCAATCCCTGGACCTTAGAAGAGAGGGAAATTTTCATTTCTAAGCTAACCACTATTGGCAAGGATTTCAGGAAAATTGCTTCTTTTCTTGATCATAAGACAACTGCAGATTGTGTTGAATTCTATTATAAAAATCACAAATCTGATTGTTTTGAGAAAACAAAAAAGAGTAAGAAAGTGAAGTCCTCTACTAACTACTTAATGTCGTCGGGCAAGAATTGGAATCGGGAAATGAATGCTGCCTCGCTTGATATTCTGGGTGCAGCTTCAGTAATAGCGGCTGATGCTGACAATTCTATGGGAAATCGACAGATGTGTTCTGGTAGAATCTATTACGGAGGCTACTGTGAATCCAAAATACCACATGGTAATGATGGTAATTTAGATCGGTCAAGCAATTTTGATGTTCTTGAGAATGAAAGAGAAACTGCTGCTGCTGATGTGTTAGCAGGTATTTGTGGTTCAATGTCCTCAGAGGCAATGAGTTCTTGTATCACTACTTCTGTTGATCCTGGGGAGGGTTGTCGGGAGTGGAAGTCACAGAAGGTAGATTCGGTCAAAAAACGACCTTCCACATCTGATGTTACACAGAATGTTGATGAAGATACTAGCTCAGATGAGAGTTGTGGGGAAATGGATCCTTCTGACTGGACAGATGAGGAGAAGTCGATCTTCATACGGGCTGTTTCATCCTATGGCAAGGATTTTGCTATGATCTCACGATGTGTCAGGACAAGGTCTAGGGACCAATGTAAGGTTTTCTTTAGCAAGGCTCGTAAGTGCCTTGGACTGGATTCGATACATCCTGCACCAGGAAACCTAGGAACACCAGTGAGTGATGATGCTAATGGAGGTGGAAGTGACACGGAAGATGGTTGTGCTCTTGAGACTGGCTCAGTTATCTGCAGTGATAAGTTGGGCTCCAAGACAGATGAGGATTTGCCATTGCCTGTCATAGATGCAAAGCATGAGAAATCGAATGCTGCAGAGAGGGAAAATGTGACTGCTGACTTAAATAATCCGAAGGAGAGCAATGTTGCTAGATCATTAGAGCAGAATGACTCTAAGGATGAAATATCATTTGTTTCTGATGCTTGCAAGATGGGGGACAAATCTGAGCTAGCTTTTGAAATTGATACTCACCAATCTGAGGTTGGGCAGGCACAGGAAATTTCAAATGAATCAGTTAATTCAGAATCTAAGAGAGATAAACCGATTGAACACAGCACTTCTGTTGGAGAACCAATGTACGTGGATGCAGCTGATCCTGGCCCATTAAATCCAGTTTCTGGTATTGAACTTAAAGTTATTGCTGAGGTTGCTGCTAATGGAAGCGCAAATCATGTGGAGCAAAAAGAGGTTTTGTTGCCTGAAAATAGTTTGAACAGTAAAAGTGGTTTGATGAAAGGTTCGAGTGCTAACAGAGATGCATCCTGCTTGCCTTTGGATATGGGTTCTAGTTCAAACTTCAGTGTAAATGTGGAGAACATTCATCATGTGTCTGGGGAGTTCGATTCTGTGGCTGAGTCTCCTACTGTCTCATTGCCACAGGAAAATAATATTGCTTCTGGTGCTCCTATGTTACAAGACACTGTTTCCATTCAATGTGAGAGAATGCATACCCATGAGAATAGAGATGGGCAGGGTAAAGAATCAGGTAGTGGGGATGATCATTTACAGCACCCGCCAGGGAAATCTTTAGTGAACTGTAGCGAGTCCTTGCAGATTCTGAGGGGCTATCCGCTGCAAATTCCAACAAAGAAAGAGATGAATGGGGATATTTCTTGCGGACTGCTTTCTGAAGTTCAAAAGAGCTTTTCAACTTCAGATTATTATCTTCAAAAGTGCAATAGCAGTTCAAAGACCCAGTCCTCATTGCCTGAGCTTCCACTACTCTCCAAGCACGCTGAACATGGCAATGATCATTCAAGAGACCACTCTCGGAGTTTGTCAGATACAGAAAAGCCATGCAGGAATGGTGATGTTAAACTGTTTGGCAAAATTCTGAGTAACCCCTCATCTTTGCAGAAGATGAGTCCCAGTGTACATGATAACGTGGAACATGGCCCAAAGGCAAGTAGCAAGTCATCAACTTTGAAATTCACTGGTCATCAAACTACAGATGGAAGCAGTAATGTTTTAAAGTTTGATCGTAGTAATTATCTTGGCCTTGAGAATGTCCCTGTTAAGAGTTATGGCTTTTGGGATGGTAACAAGATACAAACTGGGTTTTCATCTTTACCCGAGTATTTTTTAGCCAAGTATCCTGCAGCATTTAGCAATTATCATGTTTCCTCGTCCAAAATGGAGCAGCAGGCTTTGCAGGCTGCTGTGAAGTGCAATGACCGTAATTTGAATGGTGTATCAGTTTTGCCTCCAAGGGAAGTGAGTGGTAGCAATGGAGTTGTGGATTATCAGATGTACAAGAGTCATGACAACAGTAAAGTGCAGCCATTCTCTGTAGATATGAAGCAGCGGCAGGATATATTCTCCGAGATACAAAGGAGAAATGGGTTTGAAGCAATCTCGAGTTTACAGCAGCAAGGAAGGGGAGTGGTAGGAATGAATGTTGTAGGACGAGCGGGAATTCTTGTTGGTGGATCCTGTACGGGTGTTTCAGATCCTGTTGCAGCCCTTAAAATGCACTATGCTAAAACCGAACAGTTCAGTGGGCAAAATGGGGCTGCCATCATCAGAGAGGAGGAATCCTGGAGAAGTAAGGGTGATATAGGCAGGTAGGAGTGGTGAGAGGGCTTTCTTTCTCTTTCGTTCTTTCTTTCTTTATTAAAGCAAGTCCTCAACGGCAAATATCTTCTTTTGCCGAGCCCTGTATAATAGTTTTTGTATTGTTTCAATGGAATGATAGAGCAGTTGACGACGGTTCTCAGGTCCGTCTTTTTGGTAAAAAAGAAAAAAAAAATATTAATTTAGGAGCTTGTAATATTGCAGCAGCAGCAGCTTTGTATTTGTTGTATTTGATGGAAATACAGAAATAATCTGTGAAAATTGGAAGGGGCAATGTCAGCGCCCCTCCATCATTTGACCATTTAGAGGATTGACTGACCGTCATTTAGAGGTTTCTTGGTGTAGCTACTTTTGCATTACTGATAGACATGCTATTTTCTGCTGAAACTTGAAGTCAATGGATTTGTTGAAGTCCCAATATATTTTATTCTTTTCGTCCTTTTATCTTGATCTTCTCAAGACTGACAATAAAAAGAATGTACAACAAAATTCTTGAAATCAATGTGGTTTTCAACAGCTGTCATTGCTAATTGATTGTTGATGGGTACTGCTTATAAAAAATCCATTTTTGATTTTTCCTTTGGTCAAAACTAACATGCTGTTTGCTTTTATTGCTCGCTTCAGATATTTTTTTTTATATATCATTTTTGTCTTTGTCCAACTGCTATACGAGCATATATATTAGTCTACACTACGATAAACAAACTCTGAATAAATAAAAATAATATTACATGAGATGATGAGGTACAAAAATAATGGCATATGTCATACCAGACACAAACTGTTTCCATATTCATGTCAACCTATCTAGCTTTTATAATTTCCCGCTTCTGCCCTTGTTTGGAGGTTTGATGGAAGAGGTGCTGTCACTTTAATTACCTACAATCAACAACAGTGAGTAAATCAACCCATATATGTCTATATGTATGTGTAATTAAAATCTCTCTCTCTCTCTTCTTCTTCTTCTTCTTCTATTTTATGAATATTTATCCTAAAAATGAAAACTATTTACCATGAACAATGACCCTATAAAAATGTCTACTGTGTATCCAAAACCAATACCTTCTCCTAAAAGTCATGTCCATGCTTTAGGATAAAGCACACTGTAAAACTTCATGTAATTTTTTTCAAGGATATATAAGTAAAGATGGTTTAACATGGAAAAAAGGCCTACCTCATTTGTGGTTGGGTGTAAGAGGGATAATTGATGTGCATGCAAATAATAGCCACAATCTCCAGGAACAGGTTTTGTAGGCCTCTGATACCCTCTACACAAAGTTCAAAACAAACACTGGTATGTATTACTAGGGCCAATAGAGAAACAAGACGAAAGAAACAAAAATATATTAGTCAAGAGAAACAAGAAATTGTTTGTGTAATAATACTAGTATTTCAATACCCGTCTTGGGCGAAACTTTCATCCACGAATTCAGAATCGAAGCACTTAGGCTGCCCACCAACATCATAAAGAGGATCACCTGATAAATAATTAAATATAAAACAATAATTAAATGAATGATGTTAACTTGTGATAACTCAAGAACATAGCTCAAATTAAGTACATTACAAACTAAAATTGTCATAAACAGTAAAGCAAGGCTCCTCAAATTTTATTGGAGCTGTTAATCTGCACTGCATGCATGCTAGTGACATACATAAAAATATGACAAAATAGATCCATGTTAAAAGAACTAAACTTTCATTATTAGTGGGCATCAGTTGCATAAAAATGGTGTTCAATCTAAGACTAGAGAAGATCTTACTATCAATAAAATAATAAATATGGTGTTTTTCCAGGCTTTCTGGGCTTTGTTAGTAGTGGATCTCATATAGTTGGGAGGAGTGTTCCTTTTTCCTCCATTTCACCTAGACAGGGCCTTGCGAGAGATATGAAATATCCACATTAAACAGCTTAACATTAGTGACAAAGAGGTTGGCAGCCATCAATAATTTTATCCATCATATAAAAAAAATAAAAAAAAAAAAAAAAAACCCCGGCGTCCGATTTCACCTTAGGAACAGAGGCCTTTGCGGGATGAGATATGCAAATTTATTCCACAATTTATATTTAAACAGCGCATTAACACAATTTTTAGTTGACAAAGAGGTTGGCAGCCATTCAATAATTTTTATCCATCAATATTCATAAAATTAAAAATAAAAAAAAAAAAAAAAAAAAAAACCTCATGAAAATCAAGTAATATCAAAGTAATATAAAAAAATTCCTTGTTAACAGAATATTCTGTTGCCAAGTGGTTTTTTTAATATTAAACAAAAAAATAATGACCACCAGTTTTGTTAACTTTCTAGATAGTTTAATTATGATACAAGATCCCTTAGAATTGACTTGGCTCTCATAAGCAGATTTGTTCGCAGAAAGAAGAAATATTTAAAGAGAAAACAATGGACCAAAAATTGAGGTCTTGTTTCCCTGAATGGCTTCGAATTTATTGTGGCCAAATGTGTGTTTTAATGCGTTCAGGTCTTTAACTTTTTATTTTGAAGTTGATTGAAATTCATAGGCACTACAATTTTTGATCGGAGGTTTAACCTAGCGGAGAGGATGATACCTTATTGAAAGAAAAAAAAAAAAAAAAAAAAAAAACCTCATGAATCAAGTATATAAAAGTAAGATAAAAATTCCTGTAACAGAATATTCTTGCAAGTGTTTTTTAATTAAACAAAATGACCAGTTTTGTAACTCTAGATAGTTTATATATGATACAATCCCTAGATTGACTTGGCTCTCATAAGCAGATGTCGCAGAAATATTAAAGAGAACAATGGACAAAATGAGGTTCTTGTTCTGAATGGCTTCGATTTATGTGGCCAAATGTGTGTTTAATGCTTCATCTAACTTTATTGAAGTTGAAATTCATAGCACTACAATTTGATCGAGGTTTACCTAGCAGAGGATGTCCTATGAAAGAAAGGTGAATGCGTATTTGGTGTGGCCGTCCTGATTCAATCTCAACCTGTTTAACATAATAGATGAAGATGTTCATAATACAATCTTCTTCAGAAGACTGATCATCGAGAGAATCTCTAAAATTGCAATCTGATAGATTCAAGACAGACTTGGATACCTGGACCAATGTGTGGTTTCCCTGTACATCTCTCTCAAGCACTTCAACTTTGCTCAATGCTGGCTTACCTTTTTTAACCAGAAATAGCAAGGACGTATCATGATCAGAGATATTGCTGAAAAGCCCCATAGTAATGTGACAGCAGAAAATGAAGCAATAAGCATACAGCAAGAATGCTAAATATTAAATGCACTTGTAAACATATCTGAACAAATATATAGACCATGGAATTTGAGGAGGCAACTAGATAGTTCAAAAAAGGCAAAAACAAAAAGAAGAAGAATCTTTATTTAATAAAGGAAAGCAGTTTAACAAACCTGAAGGTGAAGCAACATACAATCCTTTGGCTACTCCAGGATACCGCACTGTTCCAATTGGCTGCTTGATGATAACCTATCATGCAAATATACTATCTAATGTAAACTTAGTCCAGGAAAAATTTAATCAAAAAACAAAAGCAGCAGATGGAAAAGGTTCTTTGAGCTATATGCGGTATAAATGCCAAATCTATATCAAAACATGGTCAGAAAGGACAAACATTAACGAGCAAAAATAAAAAAAGAGCAGTGTCCCTGATGCCTGACCTTATCCTCTACGATTATCCCAACAACTAGGGCTCGATATATCTTTGAAATTTTCCTTCTCTTGACAAGCAACGTGCCAGTATCACTGTATGTAAGATAATCATGCATTTCACAAGCTGAGAATGTATTATTGAAAATGGAATACATATAATGAGTAATTTTTATTCCACAGCACCTAAACATACAGAAAGCTGCTAATTATGAGAGACAGTTTAAACCATTTTTCATTTCAATATTCACAATGTCAATCGCTTGTGTCCTCTTCTAAACCACGAATTAATTTGGATATCATTACTTGAATCAGGAATAAATGCGTGAGATATCACATTTGCTTGATTTTATTTAGTTTTTGACACGTAATGCTATCAGGCTATGCCGACTTGTTGTTAAGTATAGCCTCTGAAATATTAGTGGGCTTAAGTGTTGTGATCAGGTGGTGTAAGTTAAGAATTATCAGTCAATGCCATCAGCTTAGAATAGAATAGCAATTGTAATATAGGATTGATATGTTTGCACTATGCAGGTAACTCAAGGCCTTTATTCCAATTTGTCTACATCTGCTAAGAGAGAATGTAATTCAGGACAACATAGTTCAACTAAGAAAGTTTATGCTATCCAGAAAAGGAATTTATGTCATTCCTTTTGTTTCTTTACTTAATGAAATGTTTATAATGTAATTTATTTACTTTTCTTTTTCTCTTCCTCGTTTCTCCCTTTCCATAAAATCCTTGAATAAAAAAGTGTGTATATACAGGGATAAAACTGATCTCATGCTAAATTTCCCAGTCTCTGTCATTGAAAAGCCATGAAGAGCATTCAAATTAAGCCTGTAGGTAAACTGTAATCCAAATCGAATTTCAATAAGCTTTGCAGAATGTTCCAGATTCCCAACAGTTATTAAATCCAAAAAGAATATTAAAACATGACCAAAGGAACAGCAGGCATCTTTGCAATCATGGCCTCAAAGGAAAAATAAAAAGGTTTTGAATTTGATATTAGATGAATTTTACACATTCGTGAAACAAAAATAGGTGCAAAAAACATGGAATTCTCCACTAACCTGTTGTCCCCAACAAGGGATGTGCCATCAGCAAAATATGCTGCAATGCGAGTCTTGGCAAGCTTTGACTTTGCACAAAGTAGTATTCCTGCAATCCATTGGCTACTGATCAAACCACAGGTTATTTCAAATGAACATACTACCCAGAACATCACTAACACCCAGCAAGTGAGCCAGCTCTCAAGTAACAGAAGCACAAAATGCCAGGCCATGTGATCTATGAAGAGACAACACCAGAAGTCTCTGGTTCACTAACATAAATTTGCCTATTAATCCATTACATAAAAGATCTAAATAGTGTACCATGTGCAAAAGACATTTTGCACAGTGTGCTCGGGGAACTAGGAGCTCAGCTCAGATAGGCATAGCGTTGCAAGAAGGCTATTACCATGGTAGAAACCTATCGTCTAGTTGTAAGGAGCAATCTTACAGTTGCAACAGAGCTGACCTCACCATTTTATCAAGGCTTCAGTTCTGAATTTAACTTTGGAATTATTAACTCTTACAATTATATGAAGATTTGCATCCTAAATTTGACGACAAGTACATTCCCTCAATTCTCAACATTTATTTTCCTTTTCCAGTGAATATTAGATATTTCATGCAAAACTTCCTTTGATCAATCTGCTTCCTTCTGATAACCAGATATATAGATGAGGTCAAAAAAATAATTTCGCTTTTAATGTCTATGACCCTTACAGATTGCAGAAACTGTAACAGGAAAACAATCAATTGTCATGTTTTTCATGAAATATTTCTAGCTAACCTGATGTGCCCCTTCCTAGGCGATGAACGGGAACAGGATGTGATTCTTGACTTGCTAGTGAAGATGTCTGTTTCCTCGCCCACCATTGGAGCTGTGTTAAAACAGTTCGCTGCTGGAAAAGCCCTCCAGGTAAAACTTGCAGACAGGAAGGCTTGTTTAAAGCAATCTGATTATGCAACACAGTTCCAAATCAATCAGATGAAAATAAATGACTGTTCACATCCTAATGCATAGATATGGCAATGCAAGACTACTAATATTTGGTTGTTGCAAGGGAATGGCAGAGATCAAAGGCTACAATACATATACAACAATTTAGCTTAGTCAAAATCAACAATTTTATGGATTCAATTGCAAGATTCATGGTTTGCAAGACAGAGAATGTATTTTGTTTTCAAGTCTTCATTTTCACATCTTCTTGGATACTAAAAGCTAGAGAACCAAAAACACAAGAGTGAATTAAGACGACTCCAAAAAATTTATTGAGCAATGAAGCACAAAGTGCAAAATCACATTCATTAAAACAGTCTTATAAACACATCCAACATAACAATTTACAGTTCAATAGAAACACAAAAAAAATTGAGCCATCAATATATACTACTTCAGCTTGAGCAATCAAAAGTTCAAAAAAAAAAAAAAAAAAAAAAATTATCAAATTAGTCTTTCCATTTTTCACATCTTCTTTGGATACTAAAAAGCTTTAGAGAACCAAAAAACACAAGGAGGGTCGAATTAAGACGACTCCCCAAAAAAATTTTAATTTTGCAATGAAGCAACAAAGTGCAAATCACATCAAATTAAAACAGTCTTATAAACACATCCAACATTAAACTAATTTACAGTTCAATAGAAAACACTACAAAAAAAATTTGAGGCCATCAATTATATACTACCTTTCAGCTGGAGCAATCAAAAAGTTCAAAAAAAAAAAAAAAAAAAAAAAAAAAAAAAAAAAAAAACGAACATTCAGTAGACAACAATAATTCACAAACCATATAAAAATTGAATCACACATTAAGCCCCCCAATGCATGATGTATTTACAAAGTTACCCCACTTACAACACCTTTACCATGGTCATTTCAATCTTCATATAAAATTAAAAAAAAAAAAAAAAAAAAAAAACGAATCAGTAGCAACAATAATCACAAACCATATAAAATGAAATCACACATAAGCCCCAATGCATGTATTTACAAAGTTACCACTACAACACCTTACCATGTCATCATCTTCATATAAAATTTGAAGCATGTAAGGCGCATCAGGTTCTCTCCAAGGAAGCCTATGATAGACAAGCTCCGAACCAGACCTAAATGATACAAACATCATCATATCAATATATACAAACACAATAATATACTGTACATCTTCAATTCCAACTATACAAATAAATCATAAATGAACAATCCTTGATAATGCAGTTGGTATTAGAACAAACCTGAGCTTTGTATTGGATTCTTTAACAACAATACCATCAATTGATATCTGCAAAACTAAAAAAACGGAAAAAACATAAAAATCTGGGAATTAACCAATTTTGGAAATGTACTGTAACAGATGGAATTATTCACTTCTAATTGTGTAATATAGAGATAAAATACAACCTGTCCATTCTGGATTCGCTGCAACCAACTGTTAAATTATTAGTACAAATAATTAAAAAAAAAAACAAAAAGTTTTTACTTTTCATGGTAGAATAACAAGTAATGAGTTTAATTTACCCTTGTAATGGAGCTGAATTATTGTATTTGCCAGAGTAGAAGTCTATCAGTGTCAATTCTGTAATTTTCCAGAAACACGCAAAAATTCATCGTCAATTTTATATCAAAATTAACCAAAATAATTAATTAACGACCGACAAAGGATTAAAAATTTAAAAAAGCGAAACTTTTTTGAAATATATTTGAGGAGTAAAGGTCAGAGAGAGAGAAGGAAAACCTGAATCGGAGGACGAAGCAACATCGCTGTAGAACAATCCGTCGTTGAGATCCGGCCAGGGGAGGCCAAATGACCTTAGCAACTCCCCTGTTGTTGTTTCTAATGTGTTATCGGACATTTTTGTACTGACGGCGCCGTTTTGGTACATCTCTGGGAAGCTGCTGCATCTTCTTCCGGCGGAGTGACTTTCAATGGGAGTAAATTTTACTTGTTTTGATTTTCAGTCCTTTATTTTTGAGAAATTACATTATGCACCTATTTACTATTATCAAATTGAAATTGTACTCTTCTCTGTTAAATCTTTTTTGATAAAATATTAGGTCTGCAAAATATTTTTTTTACTTAATTTTATTTTTATATTTTTATAGGTCGAAAATATTTAAAGAGTACGGAGATTATCAATTTTTAAATTTTTAATCTCTAATACTCTGATATAAAAAAATATTAATAATAATATAGATTATATCTAACATGAATTATAACAATACAATTTTTTTATTTGATAATAAGAATTTGTGAAAAATATATGAGAATTATTTTTAAGAATAAAATATATGAGAATATGGAAGAAAAAGAGTTGGGTTATATCTCTTTAAAGAATAAAGGTTAGTTCAAAGGAAACAAAATTTATGATTGTGTTTTATTAAAATTAATTAGTTTATTCTCGTATTTTTTAAAATATGTTACTCTTTTATGTATTTTGCTTTCGTTATACTACTATACATTTCTGTTTAAATTTTTTATTTTCATTAAATAACTTATAAAAAGACAAAAATGTCATCATCTTCTACATAAGGGTGGCCACGGTTCCGGAACTGGAACCGAAAATGGAACCGAACCGAAAATTTCCAGTTCCGGTTCCAATTTGGAACCGAACGGTTCCGATTCCGGTTCCTTAACGGTTGCAAAACCGACGGTTCTGATCGGTTTTCCGGCAAATTGTGTAATTTTAAATTTTAAATTTTGAAGACTGGTTTTTAAAATTTAAAAAATTTGTGAAAGTTATTTCTAAAAAAAAAATACATCTAAAAAATTAAAAAATGCTTCAATTAAATTTATTTTTTTAAATCCGGGGTTCCAATTTTGGAACCGAACGGTTCCGATTCCGGTTCCTTAACGGTTGCAAAAAACGACGGTTTCTGGATCGGTTTTTTTTCCAGGGGCCAAATTGTGTAAATTTAAATTTTTATAAATTTTTTGGAAGGACTGGTTTTTTTAAAATTTAAAAAAATTTTTGTGTTGAAAGTTATTTTCTTAAAAAAAAAAATACAATACATAAAAAAATTAAAAAAATGCTTTTCAATTTAAATTTAATTTTTTTTTTTAAAGGACTTACTTAATTATTTTTTTTTTTTAAAAAAAAAAAAAAAGTCTTTCAACTGGAAATTTATTTTTTTTTTTTAACATAAGTTTTGAAAACATAAATTAAAAAAAAAAAAAAAAACTTGTCTTGACAACTTAATTTTTTTTTTTTAAAAAAAAAAAAAATCTTAAGTTGTGCCTACGTATCCTCTGAGTTTAGCAGGAATCAAAAAAATTAAGAGATTTCACAAATAAAAATTTTAAAAAAAATAAATAAATAAATAAAATCTGACAGTTCTCTAATGGCTGTGAGAACCGGCGGTTCGAAACCCTACGTTGTTCTAACCTGGGCCAGAAGGAAAAAAGGGCTTGAACTTAATTTTTTTTTAAAAAAAAAAATTAAGTTGCCTACGTATCCTCTTGGAGTTTAGAGGAATCAAAAAAATTAAGAGATTTCACAATAAAATTTAAAAATAAATAAATAAATAAATCTGACAGTTTCTAATGGCTAGAACCGGCGGTTCGAACCTACGGTTCTAACCGGCCAGAGAACCGGTGGTTCCATCCGGTTCCGACTGGTTTATGGAACCGTCGGTTTGTGGTTCCAACAATACTGGAACCGGAACCGAACCGAAAATCTCCGGTTCCGGTTCGGACCGGTTCCGGTTCCCGGAACTGTAATATGGCCACCCCTACTTCTACATTTCAATTTTCTTCCTCTTCCATCTAAACTCTGACCTAGAAAAAAATAAAAACAAAAAGCATTATAGAGATATGCAATATCTAAGTAGTTTAAGCTTCAAAGTTACCAAGTAGAGTTATTTAATAAAATTCTTTCACAAGGGATTCTGGTCATGTTCTTGCATCATCAGATGCTAAATGGGTTTCCAATGCCGAAGTTGCTTCCATCATCAGCAAAACCATCCAATATGCAATTGGTTATAGATTGCCATCGGCAATCAATACAAAATTACAACATTATATTTCTAGGATTGTGCTATAAAACCTTTGAAGCAATACTATCAGATACAAATGTTGCAGTTATTGGAAGATTTATGAAAGAATATAAGATTATTTTGAAAGAAAGAAAAGAGCCAAACAGTCCACCATATCCATCAAATGCTTCCTATTGTGCAATACTAATGGAGGAATCATACCCTTTGAGAATCAAATGATTGATAAAAAATATGATGCCTACACTCTTCCCTTGAGATGTATAAATTTTTCCAAATGTTGCTAAGTAATAACTGCTCAGTTAGAGCTTCAGACTCAAATGGAGTTAAGTTTGCTTATTTTTTTTATTTTTTTTTTATTTTTTTTTCTGGGTCAAATAGTTGAGATGGAAGAGGGAGAAAGTTGAGATGTAGAAGATAATGGTAATTTTGCCATTTTTTTGAAAATTAATACCAAAATGTACAAAATTTTGATGGAAGCACAACATAGTTTGATCAGAGGTAAAATAGAGAGATATTTTAGTGTATTGTTACAAGGGTATACTAGTTAATTTTGACAAAATATAATGATGAAATCGTAATTTTCCCTGATGAAGTAATCATCCAAGATAAGGATGTTGATCTTATTTTATTTATTTTTTCAACTAAATATTGCATTGCTTGTTTACCAAAATTGAGAAAGATGATTATATTCTCCCTCCATCTTTTATATATATATATATATATATGCCTAATTTGACTTTCTGATAGGTTAGAGGAAATTAATTAATATAGTTACCTCATATTTTTTGTTTATTTATTTTTTAAAATATCCTCTACTAATTTTAAATGATGTATATAAAATTGAGAATATAAATATATATTATATTAGAGTATAATAAGAAATTAAATAATAATAAATTTTTTGAAAAAATAAGACTATTTTGGAATAAATAAAAAAAGGAAAGTAAATCTATATACGAGACGAAGGGAGTGTTTTTTTTTTCTTTCTTTCTTTATTTTCCTTTCTTTTGCTGGTTGACTTAGAATTTTGAGTGGAAGTCTACTTTTTATTTATTTTGTTGGCTTTTTATTTTTTATTTTTATACAGAAAAGTATATATTTTATTGATTAAGATGATAATCACTAATAATAAGACCTTGTATATTTATCGGATGCTGATATCACATCTTAAGACTAGCATTTAATCAAGTTACACGTGGAAGAGCAGAAGCACTTTGTTAGCTTGCTTTCAAACCAAAGTTATAGTTTTTTCAGTGTTACAGAATTAAAGCTGTAACATTCAAAAATAAATTTATGCATTTGGCCGAGGATTGAGGAAGGGTCGCACGTGGGATATGGCAGCCACGTTCATCTGGAAGGTGGACTTGGCAATTAGCCATCCATTTTTGCCTAACAGCTAAAAAGTCCATTTTAAAAGTCAACACAAATGCAACTGATACTTTGTGTATTATTTATAGTAGCAGCCTTTAGTTGACCTGCATAAACATTAATTTCAACTAGAACTGAAACTTGAATTACCTTCTGGTGCTGAAAATTCAACTAACTGTAACAGAAAATCAAACATTTGTAAAAGATGCCTCAAATAAATCTCACTCATTTTTTCATCACTTTTATTTCATCAATAGCTAAAATCAGGTCCTTACACCACATGGGGAATAATAATGGAGAACAAGGAATGAACTAACAATCACTTCTTGTTAGAAACAAGAATTACAATCTGTAATAAATAGTACACTTAGTGCCAAGAGAAAGAATCAGCAGAATACATCTGCTGCTGACGAAGAAGTCCCGGCAACCTGAAGTGCAACTGGATATTCCACCAGATTACCACAATTTCTGCCTTTAACAGCAACAATGTTTAACTGACTCGAACCACCGACAGATATTTCTGCAAGAGACATTTTCTTTGCAGCCACTGCCTTCAGACGGTATCTCTCTGCTCTAGATCCGATAACCTGTCCCAGTATAGAAGCTGCGATTGTAAATGCCATGGCTGACTTGGGCATCAACACAGATTTCCTGAGCATGCCTATGAATGGAACTGCTGCATGGACAGCTGTGAACCATGATAGTGAAAACTTTTCAGTGTGTTCCCTCCATATACCTAAAGGAACATTTGCAGCCATGCCCAACAGCCCAATTGCGAGTACTTTAGCAGGTAAGGGTTGAGGCCGAAGGTTTTTAGCAAAAGCTGTCCGCGCTATAGCTGCTCGGGCTGCAACCACTGCAGGTGGGCATCTGAGTTTCACACCAGGTGGGGGTTGGAAAGCCTTTGCAACAAGTGGTAGGACATTGCTAACGGCACGATATGACTTTGCAATAGGGCAGTTTCCATTTTGCAGCCACTCATTGCTTGATGCCTCATGATTGGACTGTCCTCCCTGAAAATTCATAGAAAACGGTCAAAAGGGCAATTCAGACAAAATATAGAAATCTAAATTTTGATCACAATTTCAAAATATAACACATCTCAAATTCAACACTTTCCAATTCATTTAATATTTTGAGAACCTTCAAGTATGCAAAACTCTCAATGTGCACAGAGAAATAATTGGCATGTCTATTTAGGAAATTAACACTAATTTACCTGTGGGGATGACTTTTTCTTGGACGGTTTGGAGTTTTTCTTTTCATTCTTCCACTTCTTCGAAAATGAGTCAAAGCTGAAGGGTCCCCCAGGTCCAAAGGATGAAAGACTGATGGTAGCTGCTTTTGCAGCTAAAGGATTGAACTCAGGAAGGGTTGGCTGGGACTGTTTAATAGAACTTGAGAATGATCTTTCTGAAAGGGGGACTACTCCATCATGCCCGTGGAATAGCCTGAATGCCATATCAAAATTGGGACCATCTTCGAAAATTGGACCTTTGCCTGTTCGAACCTGTCAACAAGTTTTAAGGAATGCAATGAGATTAAGGCGACAAGTAAGGATACATATTTAACCAGGCTAGATTTTAGTAGCATCACAATCTTTTGTTCCCAAAAGGAATTAGAATTTTTCATCATATAAAACAGGCAACACTTAAGCTCATGCAAAAATAAGTCTTGGATAAAATGATGATAAATTTGAAACACAAGGAACATAATAAGTCTTAAAGCAAAAGTAAATAAAAACATATAACTTACTGGCATTGGGAAAGGCGCGGATGAGGCAAAGGAGAAATTAGTAGGCTCATTAATGTTTCTTAAAAATGGACACCTAATAATATCATGCTGAGAAGGTGCCTGTTCCTCATTTAGGCCTCTGAAGAAAAAGTCCATCTTTATAGGAAAGAAAGTCTACCTGCAAAAGAGTTCATAATATTAGGAACATGAAAGCAAAGTGCCAAGTGGGAAACTAAAATTTCATACATAGGTTATAACATCTCGCTATGGTAAAAATCAGCCTGTTATTAGGCTAATCAAGTTAAGAAAGGTCCAGGCAAGAAACAAGGGTAAAATCTCTTTAGCTAATCCTCAAGGGTCACAGTAGAAAACAAGATACATATAAAAAATCAAAACAATCCCAGCTCATATTTATCAGTAATGGTTAAAAGCGTAAATTTTACAGATTAAATACCATGTGACTTGATAGTGTACAACATTAGAAGCATGCATGAACTAGCTCGAACAAACTCTCAAAAGTAATGTAACAAAGATAAGGAATAAAGAAACAATTTCAGTAAGAGACAAGTAATAACAGTGTTTTGAGATTACCAAATGAATTGGATGCTGATTGTTGTGGGTTAATTAGGCTCAAATGGAAGATTTCCGGGTTTATGGAGTGAAATTCAGAACTTAGAGCTCAAATTGGATCACAGAATTCTAAATAAAACTAATTTAGCTTTAAAATTTATTAATAAAATTGAAAATTCATTCCTCTACTGAAAAGTTTACAGCCTACAAACCAAAAATGATACCAGATAGACTAGGACTCCTAATAAAGAAACCATGAAGTTTCCAACTTCAACAAGGAAAACCTGCATTTTATGAAATCAAATTTGATAATATAATTACTAATTTCCAAATACTAAAACTTTACCAAATATATTATAATACTATAAATTCAGAAATATTTCCAAAACCATAAAAAAACTGAAAGGATTACAATAAGCTTGGATCTCAAAAAAGAAAAGCAAAAACCCAGTTGAATTCTAAAACCCAATTTCAAAACAACATCCCTAAAACAATCGATCTAACAAGTCACAAACATCTAAATCAACAAAATCCAATCTTTTTTCCCATTAAACAATAAAGCTCACAGTTAACAAAATTCAGCACTAATAAATCATGATCACAGCAACTAAATTAAAGAACAAAAATCAAGCCCAGAAATGCACAACAAAATCTAAACACCGAACAACAACAAAAAAAAAAAAATCATAAACAAGAAATTCAACAAAATTATAGAATTGCAGAAGAAACCCAGAAGCATAAAACGACATACCTGATATTGCAGTGAAACCCAGGAGGCGAAGAACGAGAATGGAGAGGAAAAAAATTCTATAGATAATCGGAGACACAGAAAGGAATCAAAGAGAGAGTTAGGTGCCAAAGATGAAAACGAGGGAGATTATATTTGTTTATTGAATTGGAAGATGAAGAAAGAAGAGGGTAGAGAGACAGTAAACGACGCCGTGCTTAGCACACGCCACTTGGTTTAATAGTCAAAAGTTGGAAACGGACAATCGGTCTGGGTTTTGGTTAGGTCAGCCATGATAATTGCGTGTGTTATAGTTAGCATTATTCTATTCACATTAGGGTGTTTCTTGCCATTTTTCCTTTGGTTGACCAAATCCTTTTCTTTTTTCTTTTTTTTTCTTTTTTCAATTTGATCATACTTCTTTTGGAATTATTTTCATTATTTTTATTGACCCATTGCATTCATTATTTGGAGTCTGCTTAGTATTAAAATCAAAATTATTGTTTGAAAAAATGTCAAAAAAAAAAAATTATTGTTTGAAAAAATCATTTTAAACTTTATTAGAAATAGAATCTAACAATATGATATAATTGTTTTTGAATTTTTTAATATTGTTTTATTAAGTTTCGTCTCTTACTAATTTGAAATTCGGAAATTATTTAATTAATATAATATAAATTTTAACATAAAATATATTATTTATTAATAATAATATGATCCTAAATGTCTGGGAAGATTCTTGGTTGCCTGAACCGACGAGTCTATATGTTACAGAGAGTTGTGTTTTTTTCTCCCATGAGCTCTACTTTAATAAATAGTGGTTGCAGTCGGAACATGGATGCTTTGCAGGAGAGTTTTAATGTTAGAGATAAAAAGCATTCCTCCTAGTTTGTGGTTTGGGCAAACTTTAGAAAAATTGAAACCGGACCAATTTGAACTATTTTCGATTTTTGGTTTGATTATTTGATTTTTAGTTTTTAATATTTTATAATTTTGAAATCAATTATTTTAAAATAATTATTTTTTAATAAAATTGAACCGTTTGATCGAATTGAAATAGACCCAATTGGTTAGATTTTGATGGTATCATTCTTGACAGTAAAGCTTTATTAATGGATATTTTATCTTATTTTCAAATGTTTGTGAGAAGATCAAAGAATAAAGTTGTATGCTTATTAGCAATTGATGTGAGTTCTTTGTTTGATCTTACGAAGTGAATTCTTGTTCCTTACAGTTTTATTTCCAATGTTGTTATTTTTGAGTTTAATTAGTAAAATTTGGTTTTTCGTTGAAAAAAAAAAAAAAACCGAATTCAAGACCCTATTTATGTTTTTTCTAATTTTCTAAAAAAGGACTAAATTGTAATTTTATTTCCTCTGAATAGACGAGTGGATTTATATCGACAAGCAATTAATATTTGTTTGTCGCTAAAGCCAAGTCGCATTAGGCTGATGTACATGAAATAAAAGTCACATGAGAAAAAAAATCTTAATTTAAGCAAATTTTATAATTTTCATCAATTCTTTTAATATTATATTATACTAGTCTTTTTTATGAAATGCGCTATATGTTGACAATACTCGTTATATTTTTATTTTTTATACTTTTCAAATTTTTTATTTATATAATATTAAAATATAAGTTTTTGTTTAAATTAAAATAAATACAGTTAGTTAATTTATATTAGATTTTGTCGAATAAGCTACTTGTAATGTTATTTTTTATGTACTCGTTATATTTTTATTTTTTATACTTTTTCAAAATTTTTATTTATATAATATTAAAATATAAGTTTTTGTTAAATTAAAATAAATTACAATAAGTTTTTGTTTAAATTAAAATAAATACAGTTAGTTAATTTATATTAGATTTTGTCGAATAAGCTACTTGTAATGTTATTTTTTATGTACTTGATTCTATTTTTATATAGTGAAGCAGTCTCAAAATAAAGTTCAATCTAATTATTATACCTAATCCTTTAATCCCTAATTTATAAATATAGATTCTTAAAACCCTGATAGGAGCTCAAAATGAAAATCAAGTAATCACTCAATCTCTAAACTTGTCTTAAATTCTAAATCAATATTTATATACAGCTATAATGAAAAATAATAATAAATTTTATTTACCGATAGGTAAAAAAAACGAGAAGATGATCTGAATTAATAATGATAATCATTTTGATTATAGTGATAGTAGTATTTGTCCGGTGCATTGAAAAAAAAAATATATAAACATACACATAAACTCTTGAAACCCAAAAGAGAAATATCTAGTTCTAGTTTTTTTTTCAATTTCATAAACACTATTTTATTTTCAAGTCAAATATATTTAGGATATTAAAAAGAAAAAAATATCAAGAAAATTAAAAATGTTTAACCAGAAGGCTATCTATTTATTACAAAGGAGATATAAATCTCTTAATAAAGTGATAGTTCCAAATTAATTCAATAACCAAAAAGAAAATAATAAATAATAAATTTTTATTAAGAATAAAACTCTTTTAAGAACTCAACGTATAATAAAAAATAAATTATATTAAAAGAATTATCAATTTGAATTTCAAAAATAACTCCGGAGATGCTATAATTTAATTAAATTTGATTTTGATTGAAAAAAAACCAAGTCAATAAATGAAAATTAAAAAATAAATCATGCTACGATCCAATATTTGTCACTTAATGAGTTTATTTAAGTATTTTGTTTCTATATTATTCTAAGTTGCAAATTTAAAATAAATAAATAAGTTAATTAAGTAATAAAAAAAGATTAAATAAAAGAAAGGTTATATCATCTCCAAATAAACCCACAATTTTTCCTACAACCATAAAAAAAAAAAAAAAAAAAACCATAAAAAAAAAAAAAAAAAAAAAAGCATTTACTTTTTTTCTTTTATATATATATATTATTATTATATATATTTATTTATTTTAAAAAAATTTTTAGAAATTATATTCAATCAAATAATAAAATGTATTTTTTATTTTATTTTAAACACAGATATTTGCTCCATTCATGAGAATCCAACTCTCAACCTCATCTAAAAAAAAAGAGTGTTGAACTACTCATCCAAACACTCATAAGTATAAAATGTAATTTTTGAATTTGATACAACTAAACTATTTTAAGATATCCTAAATTTCATTGAAAACGATATCAGAAATCTCATTATTTTTCTCCATCCTCACATTTTTATATATACAGTAAGATATATATACCACTCAAATAATATATATATATATATATATATATATATATTATATATATATATATTATATATGGGATTGATATATATATTTTTAAGTTTATTAATCTAAAAAATTAACGTTATTAAACCTCGTTCCACATCAGCAATTTAAATGAGATAATTCATTATAGCTATTGAAGAAGCTCATCGCATTCGTTATGTACGTTGAAAGCTAGTTTTTGCGCCCTATATATATATATGGATTGATATATTATATTTTATAGTTTATTATCTAAAAATTAACGTTATAAACTCTTCCACATCAGCATTAAATGAGAAATTCATTAGCTATTTGAGAAGCATCGCATTCTTATGTAGTTGAAAGCTAGTTTGCGCCCATACAGAAGCTAAGAGATGTTTAATCAACAATTGATAGCTGATAAAAATTTCAATTAATAGTTAACTCCATCAAATTTCTTTTTAAGCTTTTTTTTTCCTATCAATTACTATACGTTCATATTTAATTATATTTGAACTTCATTTATACAGAGTGTATATATATATAAATATATTATTTAAATAATAATAATATTTTATATTTCAATGCCAACCACTATTTTACCAAATAACTTATATTCATTTAACTAAAACCTATATAAATATATTATTTAAAATAATAATATTATTTTATATTTCAATATCAACCTCTATTTTTACCAAATAACTTGTATTCATTTAACTAAAACCTATAGATATTAGTTACCAGCTAAGCTAATACAATAGTTAAAACTAAATAGATCTAACCTACGTGTTGTGGCTCAATTAGCAACATAGACTGAACATGTGAGGAGTTGTGATTAAGTTAGCTACGCAGGTTGAGCATTTACGAAGAGCTCTTGGATTCAATCTCAGTTAGCTACGCAGGCTGTGCATGTGTAAAGAGCTATTGGATTCAATTTCCGCTAATCACACCTACATGAAGGAACGCAGAATTTTAACTGTAACTAAACCCGGAACAAGATTAGAATATTTTTAGTAATAGAGTCGGGATACTGGTGGTTTAAAAAAAAAAAAAAAAACCAAATAGATCAAAGTCTATAAATGAACTAAATGAATTGTAAAAAGTTTATTTGAACTTATTTGATAAGCTTAATGAATTGAATTTAAGCTTATTTATGGAGTTTCTTTAATAAAAAGCCAAATTTGAACTAAATTTTGAGCATTTAAAAGTCAAAAATATATTATTATTATTATAAACTATAAACTACAAACAAATCAAGCATATTTTCCAAGCTTGAGTTAAACCGAGATTGACGCAACGCACCTCAGCTCATCTAGAACCCTCAAAAACATTAAACTCGTCAGTAGTCAAATTTTAATAATCGATTCACGTGACTAGCCAAGCTAATTAAAAGGGTTTATTAAACTATTAAATTAACTGTTGAAAACACAAATCCTGCATACGGTATTTCACTATACAGAGGGACTCAACAGTGACTCACCCTTTCGTAAAACACATTCGCAAAATCCACTCTTTTAGGTGCATTATAGAACACAATAATGACGACAAGAGACAAAAGTAAACATTTAGGTTCAAGGACATGCTCAAAATCACCATTACAACGCTCATATAGGCATAGGTCTTAGCTTGACAGTAAGTGTACATATAACTAAGTCTTTTTTACTCAAATCAACCCCAGGTCGAGCAGAATTAAGCGCAGCCCAGTGGGCTGGACATTGGGGACGCTCGTAGTTTAACACCAAAAAGAAAAAAAATAAAAAAATAAAAGACCCATATTCAACTCCTCAATGCCAAAAGTAAAAAAAAAAAAAAAATTCAGCTTGGGTGATTTCTATCTAGTGGAAATAAGATCAACTTCATAATCTGTGATGTAAAAGAACATTTGCATGTTCAATCTTATATCCTATGATCATCTCATTTCATCTCCGATACGAAACAAATTCATGCATATGCATATATGACAAAATCAGCTGCAGAAAAGTGTTCTAGATCAATGCAAGAAAACATCCATTTAGATGATCCCAGTTAATGTGAACTTAAAGTTTAATATGCAATAATAAAATCAAACAAGAGGTCAGAAAGTTCAATAAGGTAATTGTTTCTTTCATGGCCTACCTTCTTTGCATTGGAGTATGTATCTCAATTACATTTGAAAAATAAGGCAACAGTATAACAGTTCTTTTTTTGGTGGGGGTGGGGGGGTGAGAAAAAAAATAAAGCATTGACAATTACGACTAAAGGTTTACTTCCTATAATCATTGATAAGCACGCTAAAACTCATTTAGCACCTGGTTCCTCGGCTGTTCTCTTGTATTCTGGCTTCAGTTCGTATGATCCTTGATTAGTACCCTTATTGTTGTAGACACAAAGTTCTTTAAGGATATCCTTCAGAAATTGCTGTAAAAAGAAAAGATCAATAGAAAATGAAAAAGGTGAGAATGCTAAACAATCAATTCAACAAGGAAAAAGCAAAAAAGAAAAAAAAAAACGAAAAAAAATCCCCAACAAACACAAGGAGAAAGAAAAAGAAGAGAGAGAGAGTTTATAGCATTCCTCAGAAGTGAAGAAACCAAGAAAAGGCTGTTGAAAGATGCCTAGTAATATCATTCATAATGTGATAACTCATAGAGAACATGAAAATAACCAATTATATTAGAAGATTAACAATTTCATTTCACAGAAACAGCGAGATAAGTTCACTGCAGACAACCACATATCTGAGTCACAAAAAAGTATGGATACAGACTGCAAATATCTTCCAAATATTTTAGCAGCTTGGAATAAAACAAGCCAATTCCACCTTCTTCCTGGTAGAAGTAAAATTTAAATTTAATCTAAGAATAACAGCATCCAGAAAAGAATACAGCTACAATACTAAAAAACCTCTCAGAAATTCTAATATGCAGAGGCCATTTCTGCATTGATCAACCATGGAGCTAGAAATTCATTCATGATTACACAGGGTAATGGAATCAGCTGGATTCATATTAGCCTCTCTTCTTCCAAACCAATATCTTATTAGTGCTTATTGGATGCATCACTGATACAGAATACAGAAATAAAAGATGGCATGGTTGAAAAAACTTGTCATTTAATAATAAAAATTAGATGAATAGAAGGTACTTCTGGAACTAAGATGACATAATAATTTTGTCAGGTAGCTAAGTAAAACTGCACGACATGATTATATAATGTTGGGCAGTTAGATATCAAGCGAGGAGAATAATCACAGCAAGACAAACGAGTGAAGGGGAACAATGGACAGTAAATACATTTAGCATCAGTACATAAATGGTTAACAAATACATCAACCAATTAATATATGAGTAATATGACAATGTTTAGTAATAAATACATCAATTTCAGGGAATTACAAAGGCAGAAGAACTAAAAATTTCGAGCATTCAGATCAGTGGGTTGGAACTTAAGTAAAATGTGAACTACCACAGCTTAATGATAAAATCAGATATGAAGTTGTCAAGCCTAAATATTTGGGCAAGGCTTGAAGGCATAAAACAAGAGTTTGGATTAGGAGGTGTACATCCAAGATAATTCCATGGCATGGTACTTACTTCCTGCAAGTGGAATATCCTCTATAGAGATAACCATGTTCTTGAAAAAAGATAAAAAGAAAACACACAACATGATTCGGTATAAGATCAAGCATAGATTACTAGGTTCAATAAACAGAATAAGTAAGAAAACCTTAAGCAGAAACCAATTGGTTAAAAGTACATACTTCAGGTTGGTCAGTCTCTTGGATGAGTTGTCTTAATGTCCAATTTGATTGCCTTTCAAAGAGCTTAAACATGATATCTTCCATCTCTCCACGGTCTCTCCTTGTTCTTTTCGTATCTGTTGCTTTGGCAGGTGGTTTCTTCTTCTCCTATTGCAAAAATATCAGCTCTTCTCATAGTAATTTTTGATAGTCAATGTGGTAGATATGATCTGATCTTATCATAAACTGGCAAAAAGAGAAGTGTCTCCACAAAAGCAAAGTGCAATTTTTATATAAATTACATGCAAAAAGAAGTTAGCCATAAGTACATTGGGTGTAGAGGCAATAAATAATGGCATGGGCCTCATATGACTCCCAGTGTCATTGTCGATGACCTGAAATGAGAATCAGACAATGATTAAACAGATTAGATAATCTACATAAGATATAAGACACTGGGAGTTTGTGAAAAGACTACCTGTATTTGTCTGCCCTTGGTCATATACTTCTTAGTCCTTTCACGACAAATTTTTGCATAGTTCTCAAGGTTTTCAGAATGGGGCCTCATGTCAAATTTAAATAATATTTTTCCCTCCACAGAAACCTTTCCTGTTAGACAAAGATATTTACTACTTTAGTGCCAAATTCCAAATGTCATAAAAGCAAGCCAATTGAGCTGATAAAATATTCTTTATTTAAATGTTTGTGATTCCTGTGTGCATTGAAGCACAGATAATAGAGTTCAAAGAAGGAACCCATACAAAACATTAAAGAGAGAGAGAGAGAGAGAGAGAGCACACAGGACTTGTCGACTCTTCATGGCATAATGAGAACAAAGAAGAAACACAGTGAGTTCTCATGTTAGGAAAATAATAAATCCAGAAGGATAGTAAACAAATTTCCATGAACCACTACCACTTCTTTTGTAAGTTTAACACAAGCTCAAGTCACTGATTCTTGATGATCACCCTTGTGAAGAGGCAAGAGACCATACAACTTTCACATCAGCTCATTATGTATATTTGTATCTAAGTTCTAGCTAACTGTGGCATACAGAAAAATTCATCCTAATATTCTGTTCTTTGAAAAATTAAAAATGTTAAAGGCCTTTTTCATTGGATTTGATCATGCTAATATGCCTACCCAATTTGAACGCCCTACTTTCATATAAATGAAAAATTAACATGATAGGACCAGATTTTAACCAGCAAAGGAAGTATGAAAACATGCAAAATTTATATAAAGCAAAAATGAGGGGCAAAAAGGTGCTAGAGAAGAAGAATAGCATGTAGATAAAAGCTATTTGTCAGAGCAAAGTGAAAAATTCACAATGATCGAGTCACTCTATTCATGAAAAAATGAATTTCAAGCAGAGCATCTCAAAAAGGTGCATGCTTACCTTGAGATGACTCAGAAAACACAGACATCGGGATAAAATCTTCAGACATATCCATGGAGTAAGACTTGGGTGCATTTCCAGATTCATTGTCAGCCAATTCCATGGTGAACTGAACAGTCATGTGACTTATAAGATAGAGGAGAACAAAAGGATGGAAATTGAAAAACATCAAACACAGTGTGCCTCTGAAATTTGTTTATAACATTGTTCCATCAAAAAAATGTGCTGGGGAGTTGAACGTAGGCAGATTAAAGAAGCTGTTCTTCCTCACCATTCTGACAAAACTTCTATGCTTCATCCAACAGTGCCAAAAATAAACTTAAATGACAATGAATTTAACTAAATTCCATCACCATCTTAATTTAAAGAAGAATTACAAAATGAAAACAAAGTCAATTTAACTTGTGTATAAGTTCCCTTGCAAATCTTGTAGTTAAAGAGGCACAAAAATCAATATCACTTGTTATCAAATTCACAAAATGACACCCAAAACGTATTCAGTTTCATGAACATAGCAATAGTAATAGAACTATTTCTTTGGGAAAGCCATAAACACTGAATTTCTCCATTCCAAAAAATCCAACACTATAAAGATTTTGCCTCTTTTACTCTGCATTCATCCCCCCAAGCCCTCCCCCCTTGATATCAAGACAGAAAGGGAACATAATACAAAAGATGCAAAATTAAAAAGCTCATGCAATAACAGAATCATATTTCATTTACATTTCAGTATTTGTGAAACCAATAACTTGCCTCAGATAAGATAAAAACAAATACATGATATTAAAAAGTGACATTCATCAAATAACAAAAAGATATATAACAGCAAAATGACATGTAAAAAGAATACAAATTCATAATTTCAACATAAAAATTCAAGAAAATGCATGCAGAAAAACAATACCCAAACAAAAAAAAATCAGTATAACACTGCATGAACATGAAAATGAAAATACTAACAAAATATCACATAATATAAATAAAAGGAAAATGGAAAGAAGCCAAAAACCCTAGAAATCAAAAAAATTTTGTAAACCCGTCAAATCAAGAAAACAAGACATGCAGGTACAAAGATTATAATACATAAACTTTCAATACGTATAAACCAACAGAGACATAAAAAGAGACAATGTATGAGATTCGAAACCTGACGAGAGGAGTTATCATCTCCGGAATTAAGAGGGTCGATGGAGAGGACTACTTTAGCAACTGGGCGAGAAGGATCATCAAGAGTTGGGTTCTTCAAAGAGCGAGAGACCAAAGCAGGGCATTTCATTAACCACACCGCTTTCTCTGCTCTGGCTGTCTCCACCGGTCCACCAATGACAACACCACCGCTCCCGCCGATCTTATTACTATTCCGGTTGGTACTAGCGTTGGTTGTATTGCCAGAGTCGTCCATGGCGGGAGAAACAGAAGAGAAGCTGAAGTGAAAGAAAATGGGTCTCTATCTGTGAAAAAATAAAGAATGAAACGGTATTCGTTGTGTTGTGTTGTGTTGTGGGGGTATATATACATATATGTATATATACTCGTAATTGTTGTCTCCTAAAGTGTATTTTTTATTTATTAAATGTAGATTGGAAAGATTGTGTGGTTTTGAAAACAAAATCAAATTGGGGATAATTTCAGTTCAGTCTCCTAAAACTATTTTTTAATTAATTAAAGAAATTAACTAAATAGTAAAGGCTAATTACTATGTAGTGCTAGATTAGTAGGTTTTAGTCCAATAAATTAATAATAAGTAGATGTGAATAATAATATAAAATCATTTTATTATTCTAGCCAAATTTAATTTTTTAAGATATATTTCTTTTAAATAATTATGATTTAGAAATACAAATGCTATTTTTTTATAAAAAATAATCATTTTTAATGAATTCAAATATTCAATAAAATATCCTCATTAATGCGCAATAATCTTTTTAGATAAATCTATATATATTCATGAATCAAGTTTGTAATTTTAATATTTTCAAAAAAAAAAGTTTGTAATTTTAATGAATCCTTTAAATGATCGTTTTATAAATATGAAAATAAAATTTTTACTTTGCATAAATATTTTAATAGATTTTAAGATTAATATGTACAAATATTAGTTACTGAATTAATTTTGAATAAACAATCTAAAATCCAAACATAAGCTAAACAAATACTAAAAACTTAAAAAAAATATATTCATTAAAGTTTGCTTTGATTTGAAATAGGTTAGGAAACATCGCGCACACAAAAAAAAATCACAAATATTAATTCTATCATAAATTTTTTTTTTATTTCAAACGTATATAATCACGTTAGAAAAAGAAGTTAAGTTTTAATTTCATTGAGAAAACAGCACTATAAAAAAATGAATTATATGATTTAGGGCATTATATTGAATAATAAAAATAAACGTCTAATTATAGGATAATAAATAAAATGCTTATATATGAATTAAAGACACTGATAGTTATAAATTAATTTATAAATCACAAAGTCATATTTCATTTGATCATCAGAACCCGAATATATTTAAATTCCTACGCTATCGCCACATTGATTAAGCTCATGTTAGTAAAATGCCATGAAAATAATCTTAACTTGATATTGTTTGCAAAGAGAGATTCACTTTTTTTTTTTTTTTTTTTTTGATTTGAAATAGGTTAGCGAAACATCGCGCATCAACAAAATAAAAAATCACAAATATAATTCTATCATAAATTTTTTTTTATTCAAACGTATCATAATCACGTTTAGAAAAAGAAACAGGTTAAGTTTTAATTTTCATTGAGTGAAAAAACAGCCACTATAAAAAAATTGCAATTACTATGATTTAGGGTCATATACTGAATAATAAAAATAAAAACGTCTAATTATAGGATAATAAATAAAATGCTTATATATGACATTTTAAAGACAATGATAGTTATAAATTAATTTATTTAAATCACAAAGTCATATTTCAAATTTGATCATCAGAAACCCGAATATTATTTAAATTCCTACGCTATCGCCAATTGATTAAGCTTCATGTTTAGTAAAGAATGCCATGAAAATAATCTTAACCTTTGATTATTGTTGCAAAGAGAGACTTCACTTTTTTTTTTTTTTTTTTTGCTAAGTACTTTTTTTTTTTTTTTTTTTGCTAAGTACGATTCTAGTTTTTTTTTTTATTGCTCAATTATATTCAATAGGGGAATCCATACAAATTTTCTAAGAGTAGAAAAAATAAAATGAAAATAATAAATATTTAATTATATCTTTGTATATATATAAATATTAAATGATATTGTTAATGATTTAAACAAACAAGAAAATAAAAGGTTTTGAAAGTATTAATGATAATTATTAAGTTTATTATTATTTAAAAAAACTGAAAATTTAATGCATTAATTCAAACTTTCTATCAATTATATTAAAAAATAATTTTAAAAACATAAAAATTATTTTCATCTCAATAAAATAATATTTTTAGCATTATGCTATCTAAGTATCTTAATATTCTAATTAGTCGTTGTTCCGAGGTGTTATGTTCTATATATATATATATATCAATATATATAATATATATATATACTATATATATATTATATTTAAATAAATATTATTATATATTATTATCAATTATCTTATCATTTTTAAAAATTTTTTATTTTTAATATAAATATTAAAAAAGATTGAATACATATTTTTTTATTGTCATGTTGGTTTTCAAGAATATACGAGAAATGAATTAGGATACCAAGAAATTGTTCTATCTATAGAAGTTGATATAGGCATAAATTTTTTTTTCTTAAATTTAATAAATTCAAAAGTTATATTTTTAGCTGGATCAAGTTGGATGATTGAATAAATTTTAGTTTCAAAAATTATCAATTATCATTGTTATATATTAAATATTAAATTAAAAAAACAATTAAGTTGGCAAATCAAAATATAAAAAATTAAGGGAAAAAAAAGTAAAAAACTCAAAATTTTCAAAAAATGAAAAATAGGCCTCGGAATATGCTTCGGATGCTGATATTTATATATATTTTTAAATAATTATTAGTTTATTGTCATATTTAAAAAATTCAAAGATTTGTGATCTGCGCCGTATATTTGCCACTTTTGATGGTCATTTTGATCTTTCTTTTCGATGGCCTTGAAAGAGAGCATATGGGTATAAGGTTAATTCTGAATCATCTAATATTTATGATTCCTCTTCAGAATCAGAATGAGCATGCAAAATCAAATTTGCATCAAACTATAAACGCATAATTAAAATGACAGAAGATGGGTGTCAAAAAGAAAACGGTGCTAAACGCGGTTGCAGCACAAATTCTCGAAGAAAAGCATTTATTTGGCATTCTCCTCCTCTTTGCACGTCTCTCTTCCTCAGCCTCATTGTTCGTCCTTTTTTTTTTTTTTTTTAGAAAGCATTTATTGGCATTCTCACTGCCCTCCTTTGACACGTCTCCTCTTCCTCAGCGTCATTGTTCGTACCCTTTTTGTGTTTGTTCGTCCTTTTTTTTTTTTTTTTGCGTATGATTATCGTATATATAGAGAGGGGGAAGGGCGTACAGATAGCATTAATTTTGATTGTTTCTTAGCAGATTTGAATGGAGATGATGATTTTGAAGATATTTAAAGATGGCTGTAGATAAGGATTAGATACAAAGATATTGATATGATTCAATTTCAAAAATAATTTTTAAGATATTAAATATTAAATTAATCATATTAGATATTAATATATGGCCAATCAAAATAGGGGAAAATAAATTAAAAAATTAAAATTATAAGAAAAAAATATAATATTGAATAAAGATAACACTTTAAACATTCTCTTTATCTCAACTTTTATATATACTAGTGTTAGAACGCAATACTAAAAAATAAATAATTTTTATAACTTTGACACAAACACAATATGAAAATTAGACGGTTAACACGAACACGACACTTTTAACCTGCTTAATATCAGAAATAAATTCAGTGAGTTATGTTGACCCACACACAACTCGTGTAACCCGCTTAATATCATAAATAGGTTAAGTGGATGTATTAACCTAACTTTTGGTATATGAGACTACTTCATGCAAAAAACTAATTAACTAAGATTTTTTTATTACCAATAAAAATGAAGTGTTTTTTTATTTGCTTTTGTGTTATTGAAATAAGAAATTTAGTGTTTTTGTATTTTATGTTTATTATAAATGATTATTTATTTATTTGAAATATTAATGTCTTACTTATTTAGTGTAATCTGTTTAAAGCGAGTGAATGTCTTACCTTTTTTAAAAATTATCGTATCTCGTACGTTCTGTATCTCGTGTCCTATTTTCGTGAAACTCAGCTCCTGTGAGACTACTCCATACACCAAGCTAATCAACCAAGATTTCTTTTATTGCCAATAAAAAAAATAAGTATTTTTATATATTTTTGGCGTCATTAAAATAAGAAATTAAAGTTTTTTTATTTTATGTTTATAATTTATTGTAAATTATTATTTATTTATTTGAAATATTAATATATTACTTATTTGGTGTAGTATGTCCCAAGTATGCGGATGTCCTACTTTTTTTTTTTTAATTTTGGTATCCTATACGTTCAATTTATATTTTTTAAATTGCTTATATATTGTTTATTTAATAGTAATGCATTGTTTATTCACATTCTTTTTAAGCGCGTGGATTACTTATTAATTATTTTGTAAGAATAAAGAGATTTATATTAATATATTAAATGCTATAGATAATCTTTTTACTGATATTATCTTGATAGAGGGATTATCTGAAAATATAAAACAACTTATCTTCTTACAATTGTCGTCATGATACTTTATTTTCTTATAACTATGCTAAATAATTATTGTCCGCCTCATACTAGAGGTTTACAATTGGCTTCCATATAATGCAAACTGCTTTGCTTATATATATATATATATATACATATATATATAAGGTGCTATAGATAATTCTTTTTACCCTGATATTATCTTGATAGGAGGGAATTGATCGTTTTGAGAAAATATCACAAGAAGCACCAAAGCCTAATCCTCTTACACCATTGCTTGCGTCATGATACTATTTGATTTAATTTTCCTTTATAAACTATGCTAAATAATTATTGTGCCCTCATACTAGTTAGTTTACAATTGGCTTTCCATATAATTTCGCAGATACTGCTTTGCTTATCACCTAGTGATAATTAGTATACTATACTACCATATATATAGTATAGTATATATAGACATTACTAGGTATCACGTACTAATATACATACTTATATCTTGATAGACCACTTTAGAAGGCGCCTATGGACCATATATAAAATGTTTATGTTTTAGTTTTTAATATATTTAATGGTGAGTAGGTGTGGCCATGGTCACCGAGGTTGAGCACATGGAGAGGATTAACAATAATTATTCAATCCCATCCCAAAATATGGGGACATAGAAATAAGAGTTTACAATCTCAGATTCAATAGATATGTAAGGTGCCGTATCCCATCCCATCCTCAATATATGTAGACACTATGACATA